CTGTTATTGGAAGAATTAGGAAAACATGTATGGAGACATTAACAGGTACCAGAGACTGCCCTAAGCACTGGGTAAACTCATTTAATACTCCAGACAGATGTCTAGTACTGAGGCACAGAGATCAGGTAATTATGTTCAGTTCCACCACTAATAGGAGATGGAGTCAGGATTTGACCTTATCAATCCAGAGAACTACTAAAACATTCTGCTATATTGTTTATCTAAATATATGTGTTGAATCTAATGCAGTGTCTAACACATAGTAACCACTGCACTTGATAAACAGTGCTGATTAAGAACAATACAGCTTTTGAATCTTATGGGAAAGAGAAGTCCTGTGGCACTCCTTGTCCAACTTATTAAGACCACTATCTAAAAATAACTGAGTTCAAAAAGTCCCTTTTCCTATATGTGAGAATAAATAGCTTGGTTTACAATAATTCTAGCAATGGAGCAGAGCAGAAAGAAGTACAAAATATAGATTTCTCCTGGGACAAAATTATGAAGAAATATTCCTCTACGTGAAAAGCACTTCTCTCTCCTGTCTCTGAGGAGGGAGGCTCACAGCTGATGGAGCATTACAGGACATTGACTGGAGGTAGGCGTGGCGCTGACACCGAACCCCCACTGCTATCATTGCCAGGTAAGAGCCTTTAGTACCCAACTACCAGATGCCTCTCCCAAAGTAATGCACTCTACTCACAAGGTAAACATTCAGGGATGGATTTCAAGTGGGAGGTGCCTACATGGAGGGATGTGAACGGCGCTGGATGAACTGACCCTGCAGCCCAAAACAACTTGTATATCAAGGGATCTACCTAGTCTCTATGCCTAAATTCCACAGCTTAGCGCTTAAGGCTTTTAAGTATTCACAACACCAACATAAAGCCTTCAAAAGTGAACAAACACACACCCATGAGCGTTTGTAAGAATACCCCCTCTGCAGGGATTAGTTGATTACTTAGGAAGGCAAAGTCTTTTAAAAATCAAGGAAGCACTAAGTTGCAGAGACAGGGGAGGGCCAAAAGAAAGTTGATGGAAAGTGGGTTAGAAAAGCCAGATGAAACCAAGGGCCAGCACTTGTGATGTTATCAATGATTAACTAAAACAATTAGTTCACCGCTGGCCTCAGCTTCTATCAAGTCCGAAATCTAACAAGGGTGGAGTATTCCTTATCATTGCATAAGGAAATTTGCAAATAAAGCTGGAAAAAAAATAATATATTTGCCAAGTTAGTCCTTTAGCAGAAGCTCCCTTCCTCGGAAGGTTCTTCCTAGAACTCAGGTATAGGCACTGAGAAACTGGTAGCATCAAAATACACCAAAGACACACATCTCAATTCATTTATATTTCTTTGATTTAACAAAATTTGACAATACTATTGGACATAATCACAGGAGCCAGATTTTTTTTCCTAAGATTTACAGTTTTAGAAGAGTATCTCTATCCGGTTTTTTTTTTTAAGTCTTTAAAGCAAGGATAAAGCAAGGATGCAAGAAGTAATAGAGCCCAGCACACAGTAGTCATTCAAACTCTCCCTGCCTGTAAGTCCCTGGTTGCCGAGGCCCCAGTGGGGAGTGACTGCTACCTCGTGAGCACAGAGTGCTCCTCTGCTGAAGCAAATGGTGCTGTCCTGAGATACTCAACCACCTACAAATGCTGGCTCCCACTACATATTATGAGTGCAGGTCCAATTTCATTTTCAGGGTCTTAGTTCCTAGAACAGATTATCTTTCTACAGTGGAGGTCTCACTGGAAAGGGGTTTCTACTCTAAGCTTTGGAAGCACGGGGTGGGGGGTGCTGATCAATGAAAACTAGAGTTGCTGCTTATAGGTTCTGCACACAGTAGTTGGTTTCAGTATTTTGTCAGGCTTACTCTGGTGACTGTAGAACGACAGAATGTAGCCATTAGAAGTCTAGCTCAAGGACCTGGTTTTAAAACTAAAGGCCAAGACATTAAGACTTATCTAGTCATATACTCATTCAATATTGAAAATTTAAAACATACCACTTTTAATTTAATGCCATTTCTTTTAAAAAGAATTAGAATGAAGTACTTAATCAACCAACCATGTTGGTGATACTGGCCTGTAAGTAGTATGTTGAGTGAGACTAGTTCAGATACTGTTACAGAAATGAACAGCCACATATTCTTAGTCAACCACTTTTGACATTTTTATTTTCCCAGTAACCATTTTTAATAGCTTGTCATCTTTATCTGATGACCCCTTTTTTTGCAACAACTTAGGTGATGATCCCCAATTTCAGTAATCTGGTGAAATTCAAACTCAAAGGAATGTATATTCATTTTAACAGTAGACACAGTAAGCAATGTACTAATTTTCTACTGCTGCCAAAACAAATTACCACAAACTTAGTGGCTTAAAAACATAAGGTATCATCTTACAGAAGTCCTGCCTGGGTTGGACCAGGCTGTCAGCAGGACTGCATCCCTTTTTGGAGAACTCCATAGGAGAAATTTCCCTTGCTTTTTCCAGTTCCTAGAGGCTGCCCTTACTACATCTTCAAAGCCAGCAATGTAAAATCTCTGTCCCTCTGTTGTCACTCCTCTCTCCACTTTGAAGGACTCTCGTGATTCAATGGGGTCTACCAGGATAATTCAGGTTAATCTCCCCCTTTCGAGGTGCCTGCCCCAACTCACATCTGCACGGCCCATTCGTCATGTATTCACAAGTACGGGATTAGGGCACAGACCCCTCTGGGGGCCATTATTCTGCCCACCACAATCAGAGATATCAAAACAAGCATTTTTTCATTACTCATCTTATCTCCAGAAAAATTAATATTATTCAAATATGTTTTTATGATAGGCTTTACATACAGGTAAAGAATATGGTGAAGCACAAAACCCAAACCTACTTTTTGTATTGACTCAAATTGAGATCAATGTGCACATTATTTCAGTTGTCTAGTGATGTAATATGGAATCCAACCCTTTTATCAAGGGATATACAAGTTTTAATTATCCCTTTTCTGGTATCATTTCCCTTTACTAAAACAAATAGGTATTTTTAATTCTAAGTTCAAAATATAAGAAAAAATATCAAGTGTTTCACAACAGTTGTTCATTAGAGATACTATTCTTAAATTTCTTCAAAACATTTTGAGGTCTAAAGACAATGGTATTTATAAAAAAGAATTTTAGTTGAATAGGGTATTTGTTTAGTTACATTAGAATTTAAAATACTGCTACTGAAAAAGTTCTGATTCTAATCAGCCAAAGAAAGAAAAAATCCATTATTACAAAGACAGCTAGAAACTGTGTGTGGTCTTTAGGTGCAACAGAGCAAGTGACTATAACTTTTAAACAAAAAATGAGGCATATACTGTAAATAAGAAAATTTTCTGACTTTTTACTTTATCTGTACAGTCTTAAAAATAAAGATTATTGTACTATCTGATACATAAATGTACATTTCTAAAGGAAAAACAGCCAAAGTAAACAAACAAAAAAAAACACCCTCTCCTCCAAAGTAAAGGTCAGTTTACTGCCAACAGCTGTGACTCCTTGTAGTAAGCAGCATGGGAGTCTGAGACGTTTTCTATCCATTAGCCAATAAAGTGCGAGAAAGAAAGAAACAAGACCTGTAGAGAGAAAAAGGTCCACTCTGCCGAAACGAAGTGTCCATATTTTTTAATGTGCAAAAATTGAAATGGATCTGCAAGCCATGCTGATTCATACACAAATCTTTATGCTTCCTAATTTTATTCCTATAAACCTTCCTCAAAGCAGACATCAAACTTTCTATGGAACAACCAAGTGTGTATTATTTCATATATGTTATTTATCAGTATATATTTTCCTAATTAATATGTCATACTCTTTTAATGTACATCTTTTAATTCCCTTAATGTCAGTAACCTGAGTACTTCTGTCCAATGCTGTTCTATGTCGATTTTGAATTAAAGGAACTCATTTTGTAACATGAAAAAAGAGTAAAACATTTTAAACTAAGGTTCTATTTTTATCCTAACCAGGAATTAATGAGACTCTTCAAGAAATATGATGTGATCCCAAATAGACTGTGTTCCAAAAGTTTACTCATAAGCTGAAAAGTATCACTACCACAGAAAATGACTATCAGATACCAAGCTAACCTATACACATCTAGTTAATCATTAACGAATGGTAGGTAAAAACAAGCAGAAAAAGTACAATTCTCAAAAAAAATAACCAAAATAGTGAAATAATATAAATATTAAATATTAGTACTTCAGGAAATTACATGTAAGGTAATTTTTCCATATAAAATCAGAAGGGGAATTTCAGCTTCTTTTAAAGATCTGAGAATCTGATAAAACTGATTCACTTAGAATTTGCTTTAAGCATCCTGTTTAGGACAACTCTCCTTTACTAACTAGGATTAAATGACAATATTTAAAACACTTAGCATAGGTCTGGTATGAAGTAAGCAGTATAAACTTTACTTACATGGTTAGGGATGATTTAAGGCTCATGGTAACTAGGCAGCAACTTGAAGAGAAGGCAACAAACAAGATGTATGTACATCTATGCCAAAAAGAATCACCTGTGACAGTGTTAATAAGGTTCTTTTCCCAATCCTGTCTTCTAGAAAACCTGGGTCTGAGGCTTTTGGAGGCCAGAACTAGAAAATAGAGTTCAAAGGTTACCCTGACTACAGGCCTGGTGGAGCAAAGGCTAACCAAGTCCACACTGCAGGTAAAAGTTACCTGGTGGTCACAGCCCAGAAAGCAGATGGAGACCTAGAGCTGAATCCTGAGCACTTAAGCAGATGGAATGGCCTGCTCTGCAGGTCAGGGCGGAGTGGTCTCCTGAGGGAGCAGGAGGGCACCGGCAGGGCTGCACCGGCAGCCTTTCACAGCACAACCAGGCTCAGTCTGTGGGCCCTGCTGTCAACACACCGACTCTATTTGACAGATGTGAGCATAAGGGAGAATGGGGAGAGGACGGCAAGTTGCTTGCTCTTGTTTAAAAAAAGAAAAAAGAGAAGGATCATTATTGGATTAATCTAGTGATTCATACACTTTAATGGGCATTAGGACCTCTTAGGCATGCCTTTAAAATGCAGAGAACTAGGCCCCATTTTAAATATTCTGATTGCACAGATCTAAATGATGAAAATATTCAGCCAAATTTGGGAATTCATCAAATTATAGTTAGTTCAACAGATTAAACTCTGAAGTAAAATTTAAATACAGAATGTTATGAATTCATATGATCTCACAAAGTAACGTCGTAAAGCTGCTGGTTTGGAAAAACACATAAAATACAACAACATATTTTTGTATGATAAATAATACGTGCAAATGTCTGAAAACATTTTTCAAATGCTAATCCAAAGTAAGTGACACAGTTTCTTCAAATATATAAAGTGCTTTTTGAAATAACTAAATGTGCTCTCAAGTTTTAAAATTTGAAATTTAAAAATTATATCTGATATTGATACTATAAAGAAAATAAGACACCATATTTTATTTTAGAAAATTCAAGTCTTTTCATCATAGCTGAAGGAATTCCATGATTGAGTATATATTGTATTATTTTCCAATATTTTCCATTCATTTTTTAAATGCAGTCATACACCCGAGTGTCTCGAACTATATAAATACATCCATCCATAGTCTAAGCCTCACCAAGATTTCTATCATGCTTCTTCAACAAGATCTGAGATGAACCACTAGTAAAACAGGTCATAAGATTATTTGGATTTTATGAGTTGGCCTGCTGAACTCTAAAATTTCATAAAAACAAATTAAATTCTGCATTATGCTTATTATTATTATTTAGGAAATGACTATTAAGGCTTTATTGTAGGGGATCATAAAAAATCCTATTGTGTACAATGTAAAAATAGAGAAAATAATGGTTTACATAACTTTGAATTACTAAGGGAATCATGGTTTTTCCTCTCATTATGGACTTCTCAAAATCAAAGCTGTTTTTCAGATTAAAGTTACATTAGAGTTCACGGAAAATTGCACCCCTAATTTAAGAACATAAATGTCTTTAGATTTAAAAAAGGAATAAATAATACATAGTTTTAAAAAAATGTTGCTGTGGGGAAAGGTTATTGATTTTTGTTTCACTCTTTCTAACAGCTTTTGGTTTGCTTGCTTTATACAAAGAATTGCACTGTCATTGTGAAGACAGTTTTTGATTCAGTTCCAATGCTCTTGTATCTCCATGAGTTTTGGCATTGCTCACCAGCACCTGTGGGAAATCACATACAGGAGCATTAGCATTTTGTTCATGAACAATATCTACATTTAGATTCATGGAAGACAAATATGTCAAAGAGCAGTAGGCAATATCAAACTACACAAAAAGCGTGACTACATGTAATCTTTCATTTTTGCTGAAACAAATTGTTCACCTAGAACTAATATCAGAAATAAGAACAATTTATTCAAACGCTCAATTCGTATAGATGCCAACATTTTGAATGTGACCACTCTCAGCACTGTATAAAATTAAAGGTTTTGTTTGGCAACTTTGTTTACAATACTGTCACTTCTTAACTCTTACCCAAAAGCCCATTCTATGCATAGAACTGTCCAAATGACACCGCTTTCCTTTAACACAACAGTTTAGGGTTGAAGCTCTAGATTCTAGGTTCTATCAAGAAATCTTCTGTGATTTTTACCAATTCCACAAACTAGAAGATTTCATGTAAGTTGGTCAGTTGATTACTGAAACAGTTTTCAGTTGTTCATTTTCAAATACTGTGAAAGGATCCAGATTTTGCTCTCCTTGCAACTTAACAAGTTAGCCCGCCATGGTATCACTCCTGGTACAGCAAATGACATGAGCATCAACAGATTTGCATCTGTTCCCGCCCCTTCTAAGTCTCCCAGGAGTGACACAGATGGACACATAGTTTCCCACATACATACTGGGGTGCATTACAAGGGGGGAACACTGAGCCCAGGAGATCTGAGGCTATTATAGTGGGCAGTATACAGGCGTACCCTTTGCTTATCGCTGTCCCTCAAGATTGTCACTACATGTGCATCCTTGAAAATATCTTCTGGCACAAAGGGCAGTCAGGCCCTCTGCTCACAGGACGTTCAGAAATGCCAGAGACCCGTGGTGAAATGTCTCCCAAAATTCATGTAAGTTCTTCTCTTTTGGTTTGTGATATGTTGATTATAATGCCTTTCTCCAAACATTGTTTTCATTAATATTTTTTAAATATTATATATTTCACCAAAGGTCAAACAGTACTTCAAATGTTGTGTTTTAAAAACACTTCCCATTCATTTTTATTGTGTTTTAAAAATTGCTGGCTGAAGTTATGAGAATCTTAACCCAATACATGTATTTTATACTCTACATTTAAAAAAACAATTTTAGATATATGCAGACATTTGTATATTTAGATACTAGAGCCATCCCACAAGAAACAGAGTAGAAATTGTCACATGTATTTTATAGAAAAAAAAAGAGGTAGAATAACTTTTCTAAAGATAATATGAACATCCCATTAACTGTTGCTACTTCTAATTGTACCATGTCTACCTATTTGCCTCGCGGCAGTGATCAAGAAATACCACAACCAGCAGCTAGCACCTTTGTCTATCTCCTCCTCTTCTACGCAGCACGTTAGGGGGATGTATTTCCTGCTGGTTAAGTCACTAGTTCTCAACCAGGGGTGATTTCACCTCAGGTGTCATTTGGCCATGTCTACGAGACAATCTTGGTGTCACAAGTCGGGGAGAGGGAGGATGGCAGTGCTGCTGGGATGCAGTGGGCACAGTGGTCAGGGATGCTGCTGAAACCCTGCAGTGCACAGGACAGCAACCCTCACCCCTCTTCCAACAAAGGTCCACATGAAATACTCTGAATAAAATCAATGCCTTACATCAATGAGCTCACAGTCATTTTTGGCATACAAGTGCCTCAGAAGGTACCAACGTGCAGTTGATACAATAGACTTGGGATAGCCAGGCTGATACACCAGTCTCTCCAAAAGCCGCCGTGTCTCTCTGAGAAAAAGATATTCAAAGCATATAAATAATACAAAATATTTCATTGACTAGTCTCTTATACCCATTATTTTTCTTTTGTAGATGTGGTGCTAATTCACATTTAAAAAATTTTTATAACAATAAAGGTAATAATAATGGTTAACATTTATAAAGTGTTTACAATGTGCTATGTACTATATTGAGTATTTTACATATATGGCCACATTTAATATTCACAACCTTGTGAGGCAGATTGCTGTTATTATCCCCATTAAGGCTCATTCCAAATAGAATGAGGAAGGGGCTCCTATTTTATGAGCACTTCTGAGTGCTCTATCTCTAATGTTTTTTGAAAACAGGAAGAATATAAATAAATCAATAAATTATCATAAATAGTATAGAGTGGAATAAGAACAAATACTCACTATCTATACTAAAGCCTAAATACATAGTATTGGGCTTTTAGTATGTTTTCAAGAATGTGTACAATGTGAGAATCCATGTAATAACAGGCTGATTTACAGTTGTGTTCCAATTTTTTCTTTCCAAATTTATTAGTGCCTAAGACTCCAAAGATGTCTGTACAGGTAGAAACAACCTAAGTAGTGCTAATTCAGAACTGTGGAACATGAGGATCTTATAAATAGCATTGGTTTGAAGCAGGAACAGAAGAACTTGTCTTGAGGATGCTTCTACATGGAAACCACATAGTGAGTACACTGTTTTTTCCTAGACTGTATGTTTATTTGGGATGATTTTGGTGGTGATAAAAATTACAAGAGGTACTAACAGAGATTATGAGGGAAAGGGGGTTAGAGCCCTCTACGTAAGCCACGCTGAGCATTAGCGGAAAGAGTTCATTAGGAAGTTTAAATCATAGCATAAAACATTTTTTGGTAAAATCAGTCATATAAATGGCCATAAATAAATATTAATAAATCATGCTGAAACTGCTGATTAGCCATATCAGCAGATATGAAATTTAGAAAAATAAATAGAAAAATAAAGAAAAATTAGAAAAATTAGAAAAATAAATATTTCTAAATATGTCCTAATTCTTCCTTAACACCAATTTTGTGGTATTGGTGTGATCTCTGCCACATATTTACATGCATCTGTCTCTACTATTTACTCTGTTCCAGTGATCTATGTTTCTAAACCACTGATTTATGACTGCTCTGTGTTATGTGTGATACTCATTAGGGCTAGTTACTATTCTTAGTATTTTGAAATATTCTTTTTCCTGCTTTTTAATTGTATTTTTTTCCATTACCATTTATCCACCTTATACCCTCTCCTACCTCCATCTACCCCCCACCCTGACAATTGCCACTCTGTTGTCCATGTCTGTGACATGTCCTTTTTCTTTCTGGCTCGATCCCTCCATCCTCAAACACACCCCCCACCCCAAAGCTGTCAGTCTGCTATCTATGAGTCTGAAACATTCTTGCCTGTTTTATCATCCATATGACCTTGAATTAGCTTTCTTTAAATTTATTTATAATGCAACCCTACCCTCCAATAAAAAAACTGCTGAAAATGTTTTAATCTGAGAAGCTTTTGGATTTTCAGATATAAAACCCACATTATTTATGTATATGTCTTTTCAATAGTTATTACTTTTCTCATAGTTTACTGGCTTGCAAGAATTTGTGTCCATCTAGCCATGAACTTCGGCAGTTTGGTTTTGTTTCTAACATCTGCAATACACTAGTGGCTCATCCTAAGACAGTAAAGAGCAAAAGCCCCAAGGCCTTCTTCACCCAAAATACTGTTGCACCAAATCTCATGTTCTGTGTCTGTGTTCGGATTTTTTTTAAAACACAAATGTAGGGCTTTATGTCATTCCTTACTGGGTTACTAGAACCAGTCTTTTTAAAATAGATACAGATAAATGAGTATGAAAAGTTGTTAAACTAATCAAAAACCTTTGTTTGCTTCCTAGAAGGATTAAAAATAAATATTTCTAAGAAAAAACATGAACAAAGACTCTTCACACCTTGCCCCCATTTTGCGGTTGAACTGTAACAAAGCTTGTGCAAGGATGGCCAGCGGACAAAAGCAAAGTTTCAAGGCTTCAGTTGTAGCTTCCTGAACCAAGGACGGCCAGTGATCATCGGAAATGTTGGCCTGTAAAAATATAAGACAAATATCCAATCAAAGCTTTTGACATGTTTACCTTACAAGAATGCAATTCAACTCTCATTTATTCAACGCCTACTTGTCCAAGGTGCCATGTAAATGCGACAAGGAACATAATTCTACAAAATGATTGAGATCGGATTCCTGCCCCTCAGGAGCTGCTACGTAGCAGTAGACTAGGATAAAGGAAGGTTTCAAAGACAAGATATCACTTAAAAACACTAAAATACTTGTTAAAAGAAAACACACTATTCTATTATATAGGTGAATAAAATATATCAGTTTAGTTACTAAGCTTATGGTCTACCAAATATACAAAACTCAATTTAACATAGTGAGAAATAAAAAGTCCCACATTTCAGAAATTATCTAAAAAGAAAGGCTGAAATAAGATATCTTAATAAAATCCCAATACAGAAAAAACATGCAAAGCAGACCAGAGATGAAGAAATTAAATTAAAGTCATCAATATTGAAAACATCTTTTAAAGAATCTCACTTTATGGATTAAGAATAGAGTTAACATATGACCCAGGAATCCCTCATCTGAGCAATTACCCAAAAACTTGAAAACATTAATTTGCAAAGACATATGCACTGCTTTGTTCATGGCAACATTATTCACGGTGGCCAAGACATGGAGACAACCAAGGTGTCCATCGATAGAGGACTGAGTAAAGAAGATGTGGTACATATATACTATTCATATACCACTCAGCCATAAGAAAAGATGAAATACTCTATTTGCGACAACATGGATGGACCCTGAGAATATCATGCTAAGCAAAGTTAAGTCAGAAAAAGTTATAAACCATATGATTTCACTCAAATGTGGGATATGAGACTGAAACTCTGACACAGACCACAGCATGGTGGTTACCAGAGGGAGGAGCATGAGGGGTAGGAAAGGGTAAAGGGGCCAAATACATGGTGACGGAAGAGGATCTGACTGTGGGTGGTGGGCACACAGTGCAATATACAGATCGTGTATCACAGAAATGTACACTTGAAACTTTTATATAATCTTATGAACCAATGCCACCCAATAAATTTAATTTCAAAATGAATAAGAAGAATTTCACTTTATGGAGAAAATGTTAAGATATATATATATATATTACTTAAGTTGCAAACTTTTGTTTCTTATAATATATACTTTATAACATGGATAAGTTATTTCCTAGGAAACGGTAATGAAAATAAGCACTCTACTGAATTATGTAGAAGGAAAAATACATTTTAAATCTTTCACTAAAAAACTCAAACTGCAACCAAGATTTCATAATTACAAGTAGCTAGAATATACATTTCAATAAAGTTAAAATGAGTCAATACATAGTCCATTTCAAAATCTAAATGATAAAAGGAAAAGAGCAATAAACTTTGAGGGTAGTACAGGCAACAGTGATTAGTTTAATCAAGAAAGAGGAGGCCATAAAGATAATGAATTTGTAAAGAGAGAAGTGAGGCATCATCTACAAAGACAGGAGCAATGGAACCCTGGGTGCATCTGGCAAAAAAAAAAAAAAAAAAGGCAAAGTCCATACTAACATAATTATTCTGAGTATATTTTTGAAACCAATAACACAAACTCACTGGTTGCTTTTATAATACACTCTATAAATTCCAAGAACTCATTCATATAAAGTATTCTGTAAAGTTATCCCAAAGGTTATTACATAAGGAAAAAGTTGCTATATGTAACTGGTATGTTAAACAATGGGACCAGAATGTTTATTTTTATTTTTTTTAAAAAGATTTTATTTATTTTTAGAGAGAGTGGGAAAGGAGAGAGAAAGAGAAGGAGAGAAACAGCAATGTGTGATTGCCTCTCACATGACCCCCACAGGGGACCTGGCCCACAACCCAGGCATGTGCCCTGACTGGGAATCAAACCCAAGACCCTTTGGTTTGCAGGCCAGCACTCAATCCACTGAACCACAGCAGCCAGGGCAGAATGTTTATTTTTGTCTCCCATTATGTCTTTAGAATTTATTACATGAGGAAGACTTTTCCTCTGTCCCTAGATGTAAATTTACAGTAGGCCCCATGACTCTTACATCTATGTTTTTTACACTGATTCACAAACACAGTCTTAATTAAAATGTCCACTTCTTTTCAATACTTCAATCTTCATTAAAGTAATATTTGTACCCCACTCTAAATTCCTCAGCGCCCAGCTGAGATATGGTTACGGGCAGCAGCAGATGGCTTGTTCCTCCACCCAACGGTCCCATCTATTCTTTCTAACTATGGTTTCAGGCCTCTAGTGAACTACCAGAAGTCTAGATTTCACTGGTGCCATTGTAAGATGACGTCTAGCTCTCCAGAAATTTCACAATCCTCCAACTTCAGTCTTCTAATTCCTGTATAGTTTCCTCATAGGTTAGTCTTTCTACCTTCTTCAGAAATCTGTATCTTGATCTGATATCTCACTGTGGAATTTGACATTTAAAATCTTAGTTACACCTTTCAGTTTAATATCCTTGTCAGCCCCGGCTAGTGTAGCTCAGTGGATTGAGCATGGGCTGCAAACTAAAGGGTTGCCAGTTCAATTCCTAGTCAGGGTACATGCCTGTGTTGCAGGCCAGGTCCCCAGTGGGGGCCACATAAGAGGCAACCACACATTGATGTTTCTCTCCTTCTCTTTCTCCCTCCCTTCTCTCAAAAAAAAAAAAGGAAAAAAAAAAGAGAGAAAAACAAATCCTTGTCATACATTATCACACATACAATTGCCTCTCATAAAACAGTCTAATTTTAACATACTGCTTCTCTGCACACTGCCATCTATTCGCCACAGAAACATGGAGTCTCCTTATAATAATAATTCTTGGGTGTCAAATCTTAGAATTTATACTCTTTTAGTCTAACTTATTATTTGTTAGTGGTATCCTGGTTTTAGGTAGTGCTTTGAGGTTCACAAATACATTTGTAAATTTTATTTGATATCCATAACAACTCTATAAGAAGGCAAAGTAGGTGTAATCTTCACTATTACAAAAAAAAGTGAAGGTGGACTGCTCCAAACAGCTTAATTGGCTGAAGTTCTCACAGGTATTAAATAGCAGAACCGGAACCAAGGTTCTTAGAGAAAACACCTTTGTGGCGGTGGGTGGGGGTGGGGAGGGAGGCACACATGGTTATTACCAAACTGCAAGCTAGTTCCCTCATCTGTACAATGGGGTTACTGTGACTATTAAATTAGTTACCACGTGTGAAGCACTATCATAGTGCCTAGCACAAGCTGAGTGCTATCTATATATGCTTGCTACTATTTATTCCAGGTCAGATTAATTTCCCAGAATTAAGAACAAACAAAAGAAGCATACCACTAAATAATACTTATTAACTAACAAACACTAAGACTAAAAGAGTATATACTTCTCCAGTTCACATATTCAAGAGCATGTCCAGGTACTGTGTGGCTTCCATAGCTCACCACCTGCTGACGTCACAAAGACTTTGGCTAAATATAAATATGGGACAAACAAAATGTTTGAGGTATACAGTTTCGATTAACCATGATTTCTTTCCACCCAAAGCACCTCAAATACGACTACAATTACTATTTGTCCATTTATTAAAAAATCATTTATGAGGAGCCCTTAGGCATATAGGCAGAGGGGGTGCAGCAAGGATGCAAAAATGACCAAACAGGGCCCCTGACCTATAGAGCTATTAAATGTGCTGTACATTAACAGCACCATAGTGAAAAAGTCCTAATTCTTATATTTCTTTGTCAAATTGTCTAGTTAAAACAGGTACGCAATGCTGACAATGGATTAGTATAGTGAAAGTATGAGTGAATTCAGGCCTGTCTAGGACAATTTCTTCTAATAATTTAAAACCCCCAAAAAACGACAGTTTATCTTTGAATTACGGAAGTAACCCACATAAGATAAATTCAAACACTAAGGAAATAAAATTAAAAATTCTCCTCTGCTGTCCCTTAAAAGTCTCCAGTGTTATATTACCCAAAGTAACTGTCATTAAGATTCTTTTATATCTTCCTATATGCCTACAAGCATGTACACAATACATACTCAAGGTATTTAGAGATACAGACTCTTAAAAACATATAATATACTCAACTAAGATATCATAGACACTGTGGTGTAGTTTGCCTCCCCACACATCCACTTAAACATTTATTTTGATGAGTTTTCCATACCAGCACATAATGCTTCAAGACTAATAAGCTTATCTTGGTATTGGAAAACAGAATGTCAGGTCAAAAATTACAAGATACTACTTACAGAATGTCAAACTGAACTGAGAATTGAGTGAAAATGTTAATTATTGGCATCTTTTTGACATACGAGTAACTGTGTTGATTCTAAATTAAATCACCAGAAAACAAAAATGTGTATTCTGACATAATCCAACTTAAAATCAGAATCTTTGGGTTTTTTTTCTCCAAACACTGAGAAGGTCTGGCTAGAGTCTATGGGTTTATGTTACTCTTACGTCCACCAAGAGCCCAAATACAAAGTTTATCCAGAGACCACAATAGACAGCAATGAAACATTAGGAACTCAGTAAGATATCGCTATATAAAAAGCTTTCTTCTGAAAGAAAAAATAAAAGAATCAATTTTCATGATTATAATTATAACATGAACTTACCACACAGACTTCCAACGCAAGCAGCGCTAGCCTCAGCAGACTCGAGAGCTTTCCACTCCAGCTGCCCTGCTGGGATGCGACTTGCAGACTCTTTCTGTAACACATCTCTGCAGCACCCATCATTCCCTGAGACTGATATATGTGTGCCAGCCACTGAGAAACAAAAAAAGAAGCACCCAAAAGATTTCAGTTTAGTACACAGTGTGATATTCCACTTCCAACAAATTTAATAAACTCGAATGGAGTTTTGAATTTTTAAAAATTATTGGTAAGTTTTGTGCCCCCAAAACTAAAATCCCAGGTCAAAAAAGAGGTTAGCATTCTTGGCCATTCTATTAGCAACAGCTTACCAGTCAACCCTACTATGAAGTCTTAAAAAGTTTTCTAAAATGGCAAGTCAAGAACAAAATCAAAATGCAATGTAGAAACAGATATGTTATGTAAATACTAATCAAAAGTAAGTCTGTACAGCTGCATTAATATCCAAAAAAGCAGACTTTAAGAAATATTAAGAGATAAAAGTGGCTGTTTCATAAAGATAAAAGAGTCAATTCAATAGGAAGAAATAACACTCCCACATCTGTATATATCTAATAGCACAGAATTTATGAAGCAAAAATTTACAGAAATAAAAGGAGAAATAGACAAATCTAGAATCACAGTTGGAGATTTGAACACACCTATCTCAACAATGATAAAAGAAACAGAGAATAAGTTAGTAAGGGTATGCAAAATTTAAATATAACTAACCAGCATGACTTAAATGACACATTTAGAAGACTACACTCAATAACTGCAGAATATACATTCTTTGCAAGTGGATGCAACATCTACCAATCTGACCATACGCTTCGACATACACGAGTGTGAACAAATTTCAAAAAACTGAAATCCCACAAAGTATATTCTTATCAAGTAAAATTAAACTAGAAGTCAGCAAGAAAAAGCTAACTAAAATATTCCCACCATTTCATATACTAGAAATTTTGCAGCATGCTTCAGAAAAAGAAAAAAGAAAACACACATCAAAGAAGAAATTCCAGTGAAAATTTGAAAACATTTTTAAATGAATCACAATAAAAGCACTACATAAAATCTCGTGGGATGCATATACTGGAAAAAGATGAAAAACCTATAATATAAATTTCTATCTCAAGAAGCTAGGTGAAAAAAACTAAATCCAAAGAAAGTAAATAATGGAAGAAATCAATAACATATAAAGAAAGTATAATATCAAAACAAAAGTTGGTTCTTTCATAAGTTAATAAAATTGCTTATGTTAACAGGAAAAAATGTAAAACATTAATTATCAGTTAGAATGAAAAAGGGAAACTCCTTACAGATTTTATAAAAAAAGAAGATATAAGAACTTTATGCCAATAAATATGAAATTGAGATGAACTTTGGACAAATTCCTTGTAACTCAACAAAACTAAAGACACAGGAAATCTTAATAGTCTTATGACGATTAAAGAAATTTAATCTGCAATTAAAAAAAAAAAACACTTTCCCATAAAGAGAATTCTTGGCCTGAATGGCTTCAGTGGTGAATTCTTCCAAACATTAAAGAAATGTCACTCTTACACAAACTCTTTCAGAAAACAAAACAACAGCAACAAAGGGGAGCAACAACATAGATACCAAAATCTAACAAGAATCTTATGAGAATGAAAAATTATAGGTCAAACTCTATCATGAATAGAAGCACAAAAATTCTAAGGAAATATATTAACAAATTGGCCCAGCAACATGTAAAATAATAACACATCTTCTAAAAATGCAAGCTGTTTTAATATCTGAAAATCAATGTAACCCACAATATTAATGGAATAAAGAAAAAAACCATTATAGTACATACCAATACAATTTTTGATGAAATTCAACACCCATTCGTGATAAAAAAAATCTCTCTTGAAAAATTCAGAACTGAAGAGAACCACCTTAAACCGGATAAAAATAACTACAAAACCTACAGCTAATATACTTAATTATGAAATATCAAATGTTTCTTCCTGAGGTAGAGAATAAGAATGTTCACTTATCACCACTTCTATTTAACACTGTATTCAAAGTTCTAAACAGTGCAACATTGTAAGAAAAAATATAAAAATATCAGAATGAAAAGTAAAACTTTATCATTCATTTGCAAATGACATAATTGTGTATGTAGAAAACTCAAAATCATTTCAAAAGAATAAGTAAATTTAACAAGGTTGTTGCACAGATGACATACAAAAATGGAAGGCATTCCTAAACATTTGAAGCTAATAGAAAAAAAGACCACTTTCATTGGAACAACAAAAACCTAGAAATAAATTTAGCACAAAAATATAACAGACCTCTACACTGAAAATTATAAAACATGCTGAAATTTAGAACTTAAATAATTTGAGGGATATAACACATTCATGGATAGAGAAATTCAACAGCATTACTTTGCCACTTCTCTACATATTAAACTATAGGTTCATGCAATTCCAGTTAAGATCCCATCAGGGTTTTTGTGGAGTGAGAAGTTAGAAGGGAAAGTAATTGACAATTTATATGTAAATGCTAAAGACCTAAAATGACTGAGACAAACTGGAGGGACAAGAAAGTGGGAGGTCTTAATATTACCACATGTCAGGATTGATTATAAAGCTATATGCAGGAATAAACAAATAGATTAATGGAACAGAACAGGGAGCCCTGAATGCAGACCCATACATACACAAGTCACCTGGTTTATGATAAAAGCATCACTACAATTCAGTGCGGACAGAATAGTCTTCTCAAAGAATAGAGTTCTCAGAGGAGTAACTGGTTGCTAATAAGTATGACAATAAGACTTATGCACACACAATTTTTAAAACTCACACGAACCACTGAAATGCCATAGACTATCCTGTCATGAGAAAGGATATTCCTATCATGGTAGGAATATCTGTAATAAATAACTTAAGACCTTGTATACTTGCGACATATTAAAAATCACTATATCTATACTAAAAGTAAAAATAATTCATGGAAAACATAAAGAGATGTATTGCAATAACTGACATACAATAAACTGCACCTATTCAAAGCACACAACTTGATGAGTTCTGACATAAGCACACATCTGTGAACGATCACCACAATCAAGACAATGAACACATCATCATCAGAAGTCTCCACCTGCTGCTTCGTAATCTCTTTTGTCTCCAATGTGCACCCTTTCCTCTTATGCTGTGTCTCTAAGCAACCACTAATCATTTTCAGTCAAAACAGACCATTTTGCATTTTCTAAAACTTCTTATAATGAAATCACAAAGTATAAACTCTTTGTCTGGCATCTTTCACAGCATTAACATGGTAAATGCTGATTTTCTGCTTTCTAATCGTAACACCCTTTAAATCTTGCAAATGAGATTTCTGGTGAGTTTAAAAGCAACACAAATAAAAATGGAGGATAACCTGACCTTAGCTAATATCACGGAGTATTTTAGTTCAGGACTCATGTTGAGAAAGGAGGAGATTTACCTGCCAAGCTGGAACAGAGGTTGAGTTGGACATGACTGTTTTCTGGAGCTCATCAAGTACGGCATCCGGAAGAGGCTTGTGCGATTCCAGGAGTGGTTTACACTGAACTTGTCTCAAAAGTAAGATAACATCTGGCTGATCAGGGTTACATTTTAAGTTCTAAAATTTAAACCCCAAATAGAAATATATCAAATCGGTCCTTAAATATGAAATGTAGTAGGCAATAAAGCTATTTTCCATGCTGGGGAAAAAAAATCTAAATTTTTCCTTTTCTTATTAAAAAGATAAACAACTGCAAAAGTAAAATAAATAAAACACTAAACATCTTGGAAATATCAAATTCTACATATAAATAATCTTTAAATTGGTTAATACTATTATTGTAGTTTATGGGTCATTCATTTTAGATTTGCCACATTTTGCCATGTATAATGTGCACTTTTTGCCCAAATATTTGGGGAAAATAAGGAAGTGCATTATACATGGGTATAACAGTTACATGGCATGGGGATAATAATAGGTATAATAATCCTGTGTATGGTGCACAGAAAAACATGGGTGCATATTATATACAGCAAAATACGGTAGTATGTCCCTTTCACTTGGTTTATTCTCAGGTGATATCCTAAGAACTTTAGGTTCTGAACATAAATAACAGAACTAAGAAAATATGAAATTAACAATGAAGGCTAATACTATTTCTTATTGGAGAAACAACTGTATGTAAAAAGGAAAGATCTATAATATTTTTCCTTTCTGAATCTCTTAATGAAGATATCATTGTGTGTCCTTCCCCAGGCACAGACTTTGTACACATTGGGAGTTTCCCCAAGCTATTTACACCCTGAAATACATACATACATACACATGTGCATTTTATATATGTATCTCCTTCCATATATACATGAAAGAACTTGAAGTTCTCTATACAAGTCCTTCCACTACTATTTTAAATATTTCTTCCTTTATTGCTTGTCTCTCAATAACATGTTTCTCTCTCTTTTTTTTACTAATTAGGTCATAGTCTTAAATGTATTTATTCCTGAAATAAATACAACATAATTGCTTTTTTCTAAGTAAGACACTGGAACAATAAAATGACAAGGAAAGGTTCATAAAAGTATCTGTTACTCTGTCAGACAGAGCATAGCCAACTGTCAATTTAGGATTACTCTCACTATAAAATATTAACCTGCCCTGAGCTTAAGTGGAATTTCTTAAATAAAAGATAAAATATATTACTCTGCTTTTCAGAGAATTCAAGGGCTGGAGAGATCTTCAAAGACCCATTCTTCTTTCTCTGAAAAATTTATACTGCTCTTTCAAAAAAATTTCTTGGAAGACAACACAATCTCCTGGGTAAACATTTATGAAACATGATGTTTTCAGGAAAAGTGATGCTTAAAACTTTCCTGCCGCAATAAATTATTTCTGAGTAGGTCTATGAAACTTATATATTCCTTCAGTAAATATTTATTGAGCACTTACTATGTGACTGATAAGGTGCTAATTAGAATTTACTCACAGAGCCTATAATTCAGGTATGTAAAAACTATTCTGAAGGGAATAAGCAGAAATCAAAGAAAAGTACTGTCTCCTTAATTCTATCTATCTATCTATCTATCTATCTATCTATCTATCTATCTATCTATCATCCATCAAGAGCTTGGATCCTACAGTCAAACAAATGTGAATTCCAATGGTAACTTTATCAATTTATAGCTGTGAGCTCCTGTGCAAAATTATCTTCTCTAAGCCCAAGTTTTCCCACTTGTAAAAATGGGGATAATTATAAATACCTTTGCCCTCAGGATTGTTGTGAAGTTGAAATACCAACTGCTAAATGCAGTGACTGGCTTGTGTAAGTACTCAATATGCTGGGTGTTACTGTCATCATTACTATCATCGTTACTACCACTACTGCCCCCAACCACCACCACATGCTCTTTAAATAACATGCACTTTATTTTTGAAATTATTTTCCAAATAAGACAAGAATCCATAAATCTCAAAGGGCAAATCCATAACAATCCGTAACAATACCTTTGTGCAAAGGGCTTCAGCTTCAGCTATTCTTCCTGTGTCCGCCAGACCGGTGACGGCTTGGGACAGGGACCACTTTTCAAGGGATTCATGGTAACTTCCAAGGACTTCTTTGTCTTTAACTATAGACAAAAAATGTCAATGTTTCCTTTTTCTGCAAATTATAATGTGTTCTCAGAGGAGTAACTGGTTGCTAATAAGTATGACAATAAGACTTATGCACACACAATTTTTAAAACTCACATGAACCACTGGAATACCATAGACTATCCTATCATGAGAAAGGATATTCCTATCATGGTAGGAATATCTGTAATAAATAACTTAAGACCTTGTACACTTGCGACATATTAAAAATCACTATATCTATACTAAAAGTAAAAATAATTCATGGAAAACATAAAGAGATGTATTGCAATAACTGACATACAATAAACTGCACCTATTCAAAGCACACAACTTGATGAGTTCTGACATAAGCACACATCTGTGAACCATCACCACAGTCAAGACAATGAACACACTCATCATCATCAGAAGTCTCCACCTGCCCCTCGTAATCTCCTTTGTCTCCAATTCACATCCCCTCCTCTTATCCTGTGTCTCTAAGCAACCACTAATCATTTTCAGTCAAAACAGACCATTCTGTGTTTTTGAAAACTTCTTATAATGAAATCATAAAGTATATACTCTTTGGCATCTTTCACAACATTAACATGGTAAATGTTGATTTTCTGTTTTCTATTTCATTGATCTCTACTCTTCATTATTTCTTTGTCATCTTACTTTGGATTTAATTTCCTCTTCCTTTATCTAGTTTTTTAAGGTAGATGCTAGATCACTGATTAGAGGTCTTTCTTATTTTCCAATGCAGACATTTAATGTTAAAAGCAGTGGTTTAGTAGGACCATAGAATTTTGATATTTATTTTCATTCAATTCAAAATATTTTCTATTCTTCTGATTTATTCTTTAATCTGGATTATTTAAAAGAACTATAGTATTTAGTTTCCAAATACTTGGGAATTTCCCAGATATTTTCCTATTATTGATGTCTAACTTAATTCCATTATATTAAAATAACATAATACTTTGTATGACTTGAATCCTTTTCAATTTATTCAGACCTGTTTTATGGCCCAGAATATATGTGGGTAAATGTTCTATGTGCACTTGACAACAATATGCATTCTACAGTGGTTAGAAGTGTACTACCACTGCCAATTAGGTCATATTAGTTGACAGTGTTGTTCAAGTCTTTATTATATAATTACTGATTTTTCTGTACAATTGTTCTATCAATTATCAAAAGAAAGGTGTTGAAACCTCTAACTATAATTGTGGAATTTTCTATTGCTCCTTTCAATTCTATCTGTAAGTTTCTGCTCCATGCATTTCCCCTCCAAATTCTTCATGTTTTCTGCTATTTTACTATAAAATACAATGTACATTTTATGTTTTTTACAGTTCTGTTAATCAGTGCCTGGATGTTTATTACAGGTATGCCTCAGAGATTATTATGTGTTCAGTTACAAACATCTCCAAAAGGGAGTCACATGAATTTTCTGGTTTCTTAGTGAATATAAAAGTTATGTTTATATTATACTGTAGTTTATTAGGTATGCAATAGCATTATATCTAAAAAACAATGTACATACCTTAATTTAAAAATACTTTATTGCTAAAACTGCTAATCAGCTTCTGAGCCTTCAGTGAGTTGTAATCTTTTTGCTTTTACCTATATTCTTGCCTTGATATTGATGGCTACTGATTAATCAGGATGCTTGCTGCTAAAAGTTAGGGTGGCTGTGGGAATTTCTTAAAATAAGACAATAAAGTCTGTCAAATTGATTTTTTCCCTTTACTTGAACACTCAAGAGGCCATTGTAGGATTATTATTTCAATAATACCCTAGGCCTCAGAGGCCTTATTTCAATATTGTGGGATGTCAGGGAATAGAGAGGTCCATGGAGAGGGCCAGAGATGGGGAAAAGGAGGTCAGTGGAGCAGTCAGAACACACGCATTTACTGGTTAAGTCTGTCATCTTACATGGGTGTGGTTGCTGGTGTCCCAAAATAACTACAATAGTGATGTCAACAATCGTTGATCACAGATCACCGTAACATATTCGGTAATCATGAAATATTGCAAGAGTTACCAAAATGTGAGATATGAAGTGAGTAAATGCTGTTGAGATGATACAGAAAGACTTGCTCAACACAGGGTTGTCTTGAACCTTTAATTTGTAAAGAACACAATAACACATGTATGTGCAGAGTGTTATGAAGCAAAGTGCAACAGAATGAGGTAGGCCCATATTATGTCCTCTTGATGAGTTGATTCCATAGAAAAATGACCCTCCTAATCACTGCAATGTTCTTTGTCCTGACTTCTAATGTGTCTGAAATTAACATGGCCACTCTAGCATTCTTTTGATTACTGTTGGCATAATGTATGTATCTTTTTTCATCCTTATACTTTTTAGGTTCTATTTACCTTTACATTTAAATACAGATTTACATTTTTGTCTGTATGCTTCTTTTTGGCAGTAGTTGGCTCTTGCTTTTTTATCCAATCTGACAATCTCTGCCTTTCAACTAGGGTATTTAGATCATTTATATTTAATTTGATTATTAATATGGCTGGGTTTAACTCTAATACATTATTACTGTTTTACAATTTGCTTTGCCTATTCTCTGTTCCCTTTTTCTCTTCTTTTGAATAATTTTTTATGATTCCAGTGTATCTACTTTGGTGGCTTATTAGCTATAACTCTATTTTTTTGTGTCTATTTTAAGGTTTAGAGTATTCATCTTTAACCTGTTACAGTCTATCTTTAAGTAATATAATACTGCTTCACTTATAGTACAAAAGTTTTACAACAAAATACTTCTATTTTCTCTCCTGGCTTTTGTGCTATTGTTGCCATATGTGCTTTAAACAGTCCATCACATTCCGAAGAGATTTTCAGCATATGTCGTTTGTAGATTTGTTTCCACTGATGGAGCCTTCTCCTCACTATGGGTGGTACTTTTCTGCTTCTTTGCATACCTATTAAATTTTAACTGGATACCAGACATTGTGAATTTTATCTTGCCTAAGGCTAGATATTTTTGTATTCCTATAATGTTCTTCAGTTTTGTCCTATAAGTAGTTCAGCTTCTGAAAAATGATTTGATCATTTCCAGGCTTATTTGTAAACTTTGTTAGATGAGACCATAACAGCCTTTAGTGTACAGCTAATTGTCCCCACTACCTTTTGGCAGTATTCTTCTGAGTCTTTTATCCTGCATTTATCATTATAAAATGCTTTTAAAACTTACTTGAAGCAGAAACAGCAGACAACAGTGCCAAGTATAAATCCACCCTCTTTGGCTGAGTGTTGTTCACCAGAGCGAGTTTATCATCAGCATAGCAGGCTGCCATTAGTCCAGCCCAGACAGCAGGATCACCTAAACACAGGGAATATAATTAGAAGGCTTGTTAATATTGCTGAAAAACTACCAAAAGTGAGAGCTTATAAACACATGAAAAAATTATTTATACCTAGAAAAATTCCATTTTCATAAAGGAAACTAAATATACTTGTTTTTAGAAGACACATTACTACATTCATCCTTTAAGATTTGCCATCTTTGTGAAACATATCAGAGGATGAGAAATATCCTATTAAGCTTTTCTTCTAAAGCTGGTTAGTTCACTTACCTAGACTACTATGCTACTGTGGAAAGGTCAATTATATTCACTTTCATTAGATACCAAGGACAAATCTCAAACACGCACTCATGCTCTCAGTCCATGTTTCAAAGGCGCAGTCTTAGGAGAAGCAAGATCACACCATTTCTCAGCTCTTAAGAAAAGTCTGAGCCAAAGGCAAAGCTCAAGACAACTTCACTTTACCTATATTCTGACAGCCAGGCATGAAAGTCACTTTGTCTTATAGGTGAGATCATATGGTATTTGTTCACCTATAAGTGGAACCTAGTCAACAAAACAAACAAGCAAAATATAACCAGAGACATGGAAATTAAGAACAAACTGACAGTAACCAGAGGGGAGGTGGGAGGGAATAACAGAGGGAAAAAAGGGGAAGGGTTGCCAGGAACATGTATGAAGGACACATGGACAAAGCCAAAGGGGGGCAGGATTGAAGGTGGGAGGTGGGGATGGCTGGAGTGGAGGGGAATAGTGGGGGAAGATGGAGGCAACTGTACTTGAACAACAATAAAAAAATATTATGTTAGCATTTTAACAAAATTATCATATTGTGATTAAAATTTATTGTAAAAAAAAAGTTTCTCATTCCAAGTGAAGCAATTATATAATTATATACTTTTTCATTCATTTTATCTTCCCTTCCTTCCTCACATCTTGATAGAAGCCTCAGAGGAAGGGATGCAAGGAGGGTGGGGGGGAAGACTGACAGAGTAGGTTGAAGAAGTAATAATAGAGATTGCAAGTATAGGCTCCTCTTTTTAAGAAAGGTAGCTGTGAAAAAGGCTGGAAGGGGACGTGGAACTCAGGTTTTTTAAATTTGGTCTTTTATTTTATAGAGAATATTCTGCAGTTCACTTCAATGGTTACTATTTTAGTCCTGCTACCCTTAAAAAACAAATAGATAATTTTAAAGTTCCACAAGGGGGTGCTAGTTAATGAAAAGTCATTTAAGCATACATTTTTAGCTTTAGTTTTCTATTTTTTCTTACCCTAACTGCCCTATCCAGTATATGTCTCCTTGAAAGTCTGAAGCCTATATATTTCATTTATAGATGAACAGTATTATTGCTATGAGCACAAGAATCACAGAAATCTTATGATCTACATAAGATTATATACTTTTGTTAAAAAAGTATAAAAATTATATATCTCTATATTATATTATAAAAAATTATATATCTCTATATTGCAAAATAAATTCTACCCCAGATAACTACCTTATCTTAAATAACACAAATTCCAGAATCAGGCAATGGCAGCCATTCCCTAGAATTTATAAGATCTGACTACTGTATAATAGAAGGCACATGACCTAGTGTGAGCTTTGGGTTTAAGGTCTACCAATGACACGAGCTATGTGGCAGCTTTTCCTCTGGGATTTTTCTGAGGCAACTAAACTAGATGATGGCTCGCATTCTATCAGGTCTAAAGTACTATGATTCCAGCTGAGGTGGACTCAACTTCTGAACAGTGATCTACTCCTAAGATTAACTGAACAACCCTTTTAGGAATCTTAGGGTATTTTGTTGTTTAGATTTTGGTATGGGGAATGGACATTAGTTGCTAGATATTTCTTCTGTCACAATTAAAAAGAATTGCTGTTTTTATGAACTCTTTCATAGATAATCAGCAACTCAAATTCCCTAGTAAAGTGATAATATAAATACCATATATAAAAATATATAAAACATTTTTAGGTATCATTTAGTAAAAATACTTCTAATATCACAGAAACAGTAAATCTAGCAGAAATTGGATTTCCTTCCATTAAATTCTAAATTCTTGAGATTATATTTAAATTTCTGAAAAGATCCATTGGAGTTCCATCTATCAAAACTTTACTTTGTTCAACTAAAGATCTACAAAGACTAGGTGTACAGCTTCTACATGTAACTACAATTATATTCACTTCCACTGGACTCCAAGGACAAATCTCAAGCAGGTAACTCATCTTCATCACTCGGTCCCCGTTATAAGCATCTTATAGGATGACTTTGCTTCCTTAAGTATGTTTTTCTCCAGATAATATAGGAAAATCGGAAAACCTCATTAGAGAGAACCTTATTTGGGCAATATTACCTTTCTAAAGTTTAGGCCACTTAAAAGCTAACAGATCTTCTATAACTGTGGATCACAATAAGAATTATTCAGAGTAATGCCATCTAATACTTGCTTGAAAACTGTTCCAAAAATCAGAAGCATACCCAATGTGTAAGAAACTTAAATGTTGAGGGTCTCTTTTTGTTCTGATTATTTTAAAAATGAAAGAAATAATAAGCAACAGGATATGGGTCTATTTATTTGTTTTATAAAACAATGTCTGATGTTAGATATTCTGCAGTTTAGTTGGGACCTTCACCACTTACTGTGAAGATAACATTCAATCTGTTCTTTGTAAAATTTGTTTCCCAACAGTCCCTGTCCAAAAGTAACTGCATTCTTGTCTAACAACTGTTTGACGTGGTCTGGGGAATAAATTATTTAATGCTATATTTCATATTAAAAATAATAGTATGTAAGAATACATCTCTTAACCCTACACTGCTAGACATCCTAGCCTTCTGTGGTAGCAGGAGCATGCTGACGCAGTCCATATGCAGTTCCTCAGTACCTTTTGTGATGTATGATATGCATACAGCACACCTGGTTAGAGCTAGGAAAAGCTAGTGCAGGTGAGGCCAGCACTTGGACATTTCTAACCATGGAAGACATATTTCCAATCCTCAAGGAGCTAACTACACAAAAAGTTAACAAAATATGTTCATGCATTAATAAGTAGCTATAGGTAAACCTTATTTAAAAAGCCTGACAGAAAATGAAAATAAAACTACTTCTTGAAAATATATTAATTCAGCTTTTGAATAATAGGTAGTAAATTATCTTTAAGCAGATAGTCCTTTAAACCTGCTTCAATAATTGATTGTCTCTTAATTATCACTAGCCAAATGTAGATAATCAAATATTTATATGTAAAATTTTCAAATATTTTCTTAACATTCCCTTGTCTTATTTCATAAAAATACAAACTTTACTCCCCTAAATCACAAATGAAAGAGGAACAGAACCCTAATTAACAAAGTAAATTATATTATATTCACCTGGAGAAAGAAGCGCTGCCTTCTGAATGGTCTTCAGTGCAATATTTTTTTCATCTTCTGCTGAACTGCTTCCCATAGCCAGCTGATTTACTGCAGTGTACAGTAATGCCTTCTATGTAAGAGAAAGGAAGGGTATTAGGCAATTCTCTTTATAGTTCCCTAGCTTTCAAAGTAACTAAAAGTATGACTTTATTGGATATGATGTGATCCCTAAGCCTAGGAAGAAGAATTATTCTTTCATCAATAATATTATTTACCAAGCAGAACATTTCCTTTACTGGGGCAAACTAACCTTTCCATGATTTGAGTCCAGAATGTGAGCCACATTTCCTGCTACAGCACCTCCCTATAATAGAAAAGAACTGATTATTTAAACAAATGCATAAACTTTCACAAAATAATAAAAATTGAGACTGATAAAATCTCCATTAAATCATTTGAAAGGTTCAGTTTCATCACATTCACAATGTCTTAACTCCTTTGAGTATCAACTTATTATTATTGCTTTAAAAGACCAGTTTAATATTTTATAAAAGAAAATTTTTTTTTACTATAACCATTTCAACTCTACCCAGTACAGACCTAAAAGTTTTATGATTTTACACTGATACCACACAAATGTACATATTTTCTAACAATATAAAAGATTATGAAAGACTGCAAGAGAAAGAGAGATAGCCAGGGTGAGAGACCACAAAACCTATTATAAGATAAACTAACATAGTTTCTCCACAAAAAACCACTAGTTTAAAAACTTCCATAATCCCTAGTAAAACGAATGAAGTTCGGAGGACCATGAGGCTCATCACTGCTTCAATAATCAGCTCAATACTAAAATGAGAGAAACATGCATGACAGGTTTCATAAAGTTGATTTGAAACACTTCATTTTTAAAAATTCAATTAGATTTTTACCTGGAAAAGAAATGAGAATGATTTCATTTTAAATCAGAAGTATACTGCAGTCTTCATTTTATATCAGAAGTGTATAAGTGTACCAGAAATGTTTTCAAAACTAGGGGATAATGAGGGGAAAAGAGGGAAGGGTGTTCAGGGACAACTATAAAGGACACATGGACAAAACAAAGGAGGGGTGGAATCAGGGGAGGGAGACAGAGATGGCTAGGGGTGGGGGGAGTGGTAGGGGGGAAAGCAGACAACTATACTTGAACAACAATAAAATTTCAAAAAAATCAAAAAAGTGCTAAAAATGAACTTTTAAAAATGTCAATATAAAACAAACAGAAGATGGATTAAAAAGAAGAAAGACAACACAGCAGAGTTGAAAAAGGACTCAGGATTTAGATGTGGGATAACCCATCACCATAACCACTAGCTGTGATTTTGTACAAGTTATTTAATCTCTCTGTCTCCAGCATCCTCCTCTATAAAATGGACATTAATTGTGCTGTCTTCATATGTTGGGATCAAATGACAAAATATATAAAAATGCTGCTTTGCTACTCAGAGTGTGGTCTGTATATCAGCAGAATCCGCATTTCCTAGGCAACTGTTAGGAATGCAGACTATCAGGCTGCATCCCATACCTAGTGAATCAGAACCTGAATTTTAATAAGACCATCAGGTGATTTTTTTTGCATATTAAAGCTTGAGAAGCACTGGGATAAGATTTAAAAAACATGTATGCTTCAAAGCACTGAATAACTGACAAAGATATTAAGGTCTTACCAGGTCAAAACTAAAGGTTAAAACTGGAATCCAGGGAGATAAGTAAGCAGGGATGCCACTTCTGCCATTTGCAGATTCTAACAAATTTGAATTTTCATTTTGAAGGACCCATGGGCTAGCAGGTCAGAAATCAAAGTCCACGGCTCACATAAGGAGGGGGAGTTATAAAGCTGAGACCCCAAGAGTCTATACCCTTGGGTTAAAGGTGAATCAGAAGTAAATTAGGCTTCAAGTGACCTTGAAACCCAGGCACATAGTAGCCTGTTTGGCCCAGAAACCTCAAGCTCTAAACCTTCTTTAAGGTGTTCCAGTCTGGTAGTCCTCCCAAGTACCTGGCAGAAATAAGTACAATTTCTATGAAGAGAAAGGTACCTTCATCCTAGGTCACACATTATTTCCACACAGAATTTTCAAGTATACACAATCAGGCAAGCAAAGAAATGAAGCCATCTCAGATGAAAGCAAGTGGGGCTGACCCACACAGGACCACAGAGACTTCAGATACTGGAATTTTCAGATGTAGTAAGCATTCAAAACCTATTCGCTTCCATCACTGTTTATCAACTAATTAAATAAGAAGCAATGAAAGCTCATATTAACCACAGCAGCTAAAAAATACTTTCTAAAAAAAAACTTTCTAGACTCCTGAAAATATCTGGCTTTTATGAACTAAAATACAATATGTAATCTCCTGCATAGAACATTAATGAGTCCATGTTTAGATTTACATCTTTAAACATTAGCAGTGTTCTAGTGCTCATTTTATTTTTAAGGAGCTTTTAAATAAAATTATCTTTTGGGATTCAAAAGTACAATAGCTAATGCTTCTTAAATGGCAACGCGGCAAGCACCACCTCATCACATGGCTATTAACATAATCTGTGTGTGTTCAAAAGAGCCCGCCTGATTCTCTGTGTCGTCCATAGTGCCCAAAGCAGCACAAGAGTAGGTGGCAGAAACTCAATGTAATACTTATTGAATAAAAAATGGAAAATTCAGTTAAATAGCAGAACTCCCTTGCTAAAAAATTAATTTTTTAGAATGATAATGCTACTACTTTAAAATTATACTATTTACCACATCACAAGTTACTTAATTTTTTTTACCATGATTTAGAACATTACTCACCTTTGCATTTCGTTGAGTGTGCTGAGCAACCACTCGGGACAACAGAGACCAAAGAGCCGGATCAGCAGGGTTACTGCAGAGATCGTCAAAGGTAGAGAGAGAGCTGAGACATGGGAGTTACTTTATCCATAAAAAGTGCAAGCAACCAACATTTTATTTAGTACTTAAGTTTAAAATCCTTTAGACATCTAAAACAAGTCCATATAATGTCCATGTGTGGTTGAAAGTGTCTTAATTTTTAGAAAACACATTTTATACCTCTTATATACACCAACAGTCCTTATAAAAATAAGAAAAAAAATCTGCAACATGATGATTACAAAGCCATGAGATCTAATTCAGAAAGGATAAGTAAATGCAGTATGTTGTATGCAAAGAAAACACAAAGAGGTGAGAATTGTGAAAGGAAAGCAAGCCACTGACATAACACTTTGCTGCTGAAAATGAACAAGCATGGCTGCTAGTGATAACAGTTTTCTACTTTCCAAATTTTGAATACATTAATGAATGCTTACGTGGCCAGAATATTCCTAAGACCACCAGAATGGACAGTATCAGATAACAAACTGACTACATCACAAACTGGAGAATTCATAAGGGCTTCCATACTAAAACAAAGTTTGGAAGGGCAAAATTTCTGTTCTCTCTCTTTTTTAAAGATTTTATTTGTTTTTAGAGAGAAGGGGGAAGGGATGGAGAAAGACAGGGAAAGAAACATCGATGTGTAAGAGAAACATCAATTGGTTGCCTCTCACAGGCCCCAAATGGGGCCCAGGCCTGCAACCCAGGCGTGTGCCCTGACTGGGAATTGAACTGGCAACCTTTGGCTTTGCAGACTGACATTCAACCAACTGAGCCATGCAGGGCTGTTCTCTATTTCTATTAACTAAATTTTTTAAGGAAAATCTTCATAGGTAAAATAATATGTATAGTCAGCTGATTCTACAGTTTCATAAAGCCACATTTTGGTTTCCAAATGTATATGCTTACCACCTCATTTTATATCCTTGGTAAATTCCAAATGTTAAAGACCACCACATCAAGTATAATTAGACCCCAAGTTCACAAGCCCAAATTTACCTGTGAACAGCTTTAGATGCTTGTCTCTGCACGGCCACACTGCGGCCCTGCAGTGCATAAATTGCTGAAGTAAGAAGGCACCTCTGATAATCATTGTCTTTCTGTTTGATGTGCTTCAGCAACTCATTAAGTGCTGCTTTTGACAGTGTAGCATCCTGCATCGCCAACCCTAGAGCACACAGGGCTTGAAGGCTCTCTGCGTTTGGCTCCTTTAAGATAGAGCTGTAAATATATTTTTAATTGGCAATCAGCATGAACATAGTACTCTATAACTATTAAAACCTATTTAACATTTAGTAGAAAAAACAATATACTTAAAAGACGCACCAAATTAAACCCAGCATTAAGTAAATATAAGAACAAATTGCTTGACTTCTTGGGACAGCAATTTCCCTGAATATGTGAAGCCTTTAAAAGCATCAGTGGCCTTTCACAGAGCAGCAATAACCAAATTTCTTTTCTGGTCATTACATCTAAGTTTTACAAAACAAACTTAGTATTTTTAATAGTAATTATGAATGTTATACCATAAAAAAACAGAGGAACTTCCAGATACTTTTTAAACAGTTTATGAAAATAGTAATTTTTAAAACATTACAAAATATTATCTACCTACCACTCTATCTTTTTACTGTTTTTTTGGGAGGGAGAAACAAAATACTTAGAATTTAATTTTGACAAAGAGGTATAAAATCATGAATCTTCATGGGCAGCTCTGGAGTTAACCACTTACCCAGAGCATACATAGTAACTTTTTTACATTATAAGTGTTAAGAGATGTAAAAGTTCAAATATGGAAGAATGTCAATTTCTATCAATATCAGTAACTGCACTGTATATTGGTAAAACTAAAAAAACACATAGTAAAATATAAATTACAATACTGATGGTAAAAGATGAAATTCTCATTTGCACCTTCATTCAAAAGGAAAAAAAAAACCTATCTACTCTAATACCAATATACAAAAATCTAAATTATTACTGGAATAACTAAATCCCATTGAACTACATGTGCTGAACACTCAGTAACTACATGTTGTCTTGTACCATGCTCCAGTGGCTTTACACGCAGTCATTCAACATGATACGTTCTGTGAAGTTGGTGACCGGACATTTTCCCCTTATATATTGAACGTAAGTTCACTCTCCTTAAATAAGCACCTAGGACACTGCTTAGTTCCCAACATATGCATGTCAAGCAAGACTGATAAAGAATTGGAAACTGAATTTTTCAAAGAAAGGATTTTTCATAGTTACATCCCAGGGGGCAGGGAGGGAACAGTTGGTAAGTATTAAGTTTGAAAGATGATGTGCAGAGAAGCAAAAACAAAGAAATATAAATCAGATAAAATACCTAGTCCTGGATCCAACAACATAAAACAAGAAAGTAAAAGTTCTTCCCTTCTTATAAGAGAATAGGAAAAGGAAAAGATTATATTCTATTATTTTTCTCCACTTTTACCAATGTCCAAAATGATTTTGGTAACTGTACTTGAACAATTAAAATTTTTAAAAATGTAAAAAAAAAAATGATTTTGGTTACTGTTTTAACCTAACACTCATCTCATTGTTTCTAATACATTAACATCTAAGATTCTTGCCCCCAAGTCACTTGCAAATTTGGGTTCTCTGAACATGGTATGTAAGGGAGGGTGGTAATCTGGAGATGCCCACAGGTAATTTTTGGTTTTCACAACGACTGAGGAGTGTTGTTAGCATCTAGCAGGTGGGGGACAGAGATGTAATTTTCCTGCAATGGGGGGACAACTCTGTACCATGAGGATTCGTGCCACTGAAAAATGCCAAGAAAGGACTCACTGAGAACCACTGTCCAATAGCATATATTGTTTACTGTTTTTGAAGAAATTAAGATCAACATTCTAAAAAAAAATCCAGAAGTCAAAAAATACCATGTAAAAATAACCACATATATCAAGGCTATTATTTTTAACTTATGCCAAAAATATAGAAATAGTTACAAGTTATATTGGTAGCATTTTTTTTATTGTATTGGTAGCATTTTTTTTAAAAAAGACTCAATTTTAAATGAACTTTATCATGTTAACCTGAAAAGGAAAGAGGAAAAAATCTTTCAGGACACAAAAGGCCAGAAAACAAGCAGTTACAACTGCCTTCATTAAAATTTTAAGATCCTACTAGATTAGGTGATCCATTACTCTTTTCAAAAATAAATAAAACAGAGTGTGCAAGATGATTCTGAAAGACTGGAAGGATCCAGGACTAAGAATTAAGCCATAATTTTTAGTTCTACCGGTGACTACCAGTTCAGAGCTTGGGGGGTCCAATCCCTTTTGTTCATCAAAAAGTTCTTAAAACATTAGGGTCTTCATTTTACATTGATCCAAATTTGAACCCAATCTTTAAGCAACTGGTTATATTAAGCAATGATATCAACTATACATACCATTTAAACAGCAGTGTCTTGGCTACATCCATTTTTCCTTGTTTATACTCCGTTATTGCCAGAGCTGTCAAGATATGGGCTTTGTCTTGCTCTGATTCAACAACAGACAATGCTCTCTCGTAGGCTGTTACATAGGGATAGAAACAAAGAGAAAACAATATATAAGCAATCCTGACTGATAAACTATGAGATTTTTCCTTTCCTAATTCTACTTTTCAAAAAAGATCTAACTAAAATATTATCTTATTGTTCCCTTGATTTCAGGAATAAAATTTTATAATCTAATTTCATTTAGCTGTTCCAAGGTGATTCTGGGGATATCATTAGGATTATTATGCAACGTTTCCTAATTTCTAACTTCAGCATCTGCAGGGAGGGAGGTCTCAGCCACTATCTGTAGAACAAGTGGAGGCTGGCAGTCACCAAGAGAGCACCAAAACCCCCGTGTGGTGCAGACCGACAACTCGACCAAACAACAGATCCTCTCAGTGAGCTGCACACACAGAGGCTGGGCCCATGTATGTGCACATGTACTCAATTAGCACTTTTGCAGAAACCAAAATATACTATTACTAACAAAAGTTGAGGTCTTCATTCATCAAAAATATACATTTAAGCACTGTGAATTAGTAAAGGCCTGCTTTCAAACGCTGACTCCTATGTCAACCATAAGTGATCTTGGGCTCAGTTTCCTCATCTAAATAATGAAAATAAAACTCACCTCATGACACTGCTGTAAGAACTATTCATCATAATGCCCTACTAAATGGCAAAACAAATAAAAAGTGACTAGTATTGTTCCTGACTCCTAGTCAGATTGCAACCCCTACCCCATCTCAATACTGCATCTTTCTTTATGTAAGGTCTTCATGATCAAATTCCTCTCAGCCCTGGAAAAGTAAGATGTGGCCTTCAGCTTCAAAAAACATACACACCTTTGCTGCTATCTTCATACAGACCCTTCATAAATAAAGCCAATGCAAAACCGATGATGTCTTCTAGCTCTTCCAGGGGTGTTGACTTAAAAGCCTGGATAGCTTTATCATATTCACCAATGGCACTAAGAAACAAAACATAACTTAGTTTTAATATGAAAAATAATTTTGGCTTACATCTTCAAAATATAGAACATTATAATACCATGTTTCTTTTAATAACTTCATCTATCAGAGTTAAAGCTGCAGAAGAGACTTAAAATAGAAGACATATCATTTATTTCTCATAGGATGCATGAGGAATTTTGCTTCACATTTTGCTTCTTTTAAATAATGTGAAAATGGCCAGTTTTGCTAAATTGAAACACATTTTTTAAACAAACTTGAATTAAAATCCCAATTATAAAAGAATTTCAAATTGACTTTTATATAAAACTCTAAATATTTAAGCTTAATACATTAGTTAAATATTACTCCCATAAGTAAGGTTCTAGTACCTCTGATGAGCTTAACGAGTCATAAACACGTTGGCATCAAACCCAGCCTTCATGTGCACCAGAGGTGTCAAACTCATTGTCACTGGGGGCCACATGAGCCTCACAATTACCTTCAAAGGGCCGAATGTAATTTTAGGACTGTGTAAATGTAACTACTCCTTAACTAGGGGCAAGGAGCTCTACATTCGGATTTTGAAGGCAACCGCAAGGCTTATGTGGACCCCAATGAAAATGAGTTTGACACCCCTGGTGTACACTGTTTATCTGAACACCCATTTTTTTTAGAGGGCACATAGATACATTAAAATTCCACAGACAAAACTATACATTACCTTTCCTGTATTTATTAGGAACGAAAGTAAAAACTGTTATATGTGGTATTATACATAATACTTTATAATATCAAAAAATAACTTGTTTTGTTTATTTAAAAATGAAGAGAAACTGTATAAGCTCAGCTGCCATCCTGGGATAGTTATACTGTATCTTTCATATTCTTATTCAGTATCCATCACTATAGTCAGAAACCTTTTCTATTTTTAATGTTATTAGAAATATTTTCATAAAATCTTTTTAATCCTGCGGGTATGGATAGGAACTAAAAATACAAGCAATCTTTGCTTCTAAAATTCACTTTGTAAAGGTGAAAATTTAAAAATCAGTAAAATCATGTTTTGACAGATATTTTGATGGAAGGAAGAAGGCTACCTTAGATTGTTTATGAATAAATACATTCAATTTGGGAGAAGCTCTCAATCTGAGAAGTGCTTCCTTACCTTGAGCCAAAGACCTTCCTCCCATAACACCTGTTCTCTGGTCCTAGTTCTCTCCTCTAAAACAGCTAGATTTTTAATTAAAACAAAACAAAAAAAAAAAACAACTCTTTTGAAGCCAGAAATCTTTGAGAATCTGAAGGAAGCTATGTGACTCCCTCTCTACCCCCAAAATGTACACACATAGAAATTTTTATGTGCTATTTCAAAATAATTCAGAATGTTTCTGAATTCCTAATGTCCACTCCCTAAAAAACCATACAGGAAATCAGAATAAATATAATTCTTCCAATTAACTAGGCTTCTACTATTAGAGATAGAACTGCCTCTCTTCCAAATGTTCTCTTATACAGTCCACAACCATGGAACTAAACCTGCTCCTTATAAAGCCCGTTGGAGTCAGGTGTTGTTACAGATACAGGAAACTATTAGCACAGCCTGAGATTGTGGGAATTATGTATCCTGCAGGAATGTCACCAGCTCACTACTCCAGAAACTGGTCACCACCTCAATAGTCCCATAGCCTTCACCAGAAAAATCTAGTACAGTCACAGAATTAATGGGAAAAATATGCTTACCATAACAATCTGCCATAATTTCTAATTGTATCATTATAGGTAACTGGGTCTTCTGCATTCTGTAACAACAAAATTGCCCTTAAAAAAAAAGACAAGGTATTTTAAATTATCTTTATGCGGTAGCATTATTGTACCATTTTCCATTAATTTAATGTACAGATTTTGTTTTCATTTATTTCTACTAATTCTTATATGCTAGTTATAACACTTGTTCATATTTTTATTAAATTGGCACCACAAAAGAATACTTAAGATTTTAGAATGCGAAAATTACTTTAGTAAAGTGAACCTCTTAAGTGAAATTATTTATCATACTTGAGATTTGTTTGCTCATCTATGAGGGAGAGGGATAACGGGGAAAGAAGGGGAAGGGTCTAGTCAAGGAACGTGTATCAGGGACCCATGGGCAAGGACAACAGGGTGGGGATTGGCTGTGGGAGTCGGGGGCGGGTGGGGCAGGCAGGGGAGAGCAACAGGGGGAAAACTTGGAACTGTAATAGAACAATTAAAAATGAAGAAAATAAAATTTAAAAATTTAAAAAAGAAAGGGTGATGTGTATCCAAATGACCATGGAGCTGCCATTTTAGGCTGAAGGTAAAACCAGTGTCATATTCACTATATGTGCAGTTATAATATGTATCCCCCAAAAGTGAGCACCCTAAAGCTGTCTCGTTTTCTGTCTAAAAATCCTGCCTACTGTTGTATTCTATCATGTTCATATAGTTTGTTTACTGGTAAGTTTACTGTGAGGATGAAAGAAATAGAATTGTGATTTTTATAAACCTCTCTCCACATACACCTGAAAAAATAAGAACTTCATTATGCAGCCTCCAGTACCATCTAGTGATTATGCCTTTGAACTACAGAAATCCATTAAAAAGGGGCAAAGTATTTAGGACACCTCGATTACTCATTTTTTTATTTAACAAGGCCTCTTCTAAAAATTGATTTATTTAGACTGAGGGCAAGGATGTACCCCAGAAGTTATCTGGTCCTCACAAGATCAACAGTCTTTTCTTATTCATGAATCAATTAGTTTGCAGAGAACAAACCTTCAGGTTGATTCCCTGTCCTACCATTTTCCTGACTGGTCATTCCACTTGAGCACACACGCTGGCCTTGTGCGTCTGACATGCTGACGCCACTCCTGAACCTGAGCCCGTGCTCTTACTGGTCCCTCTGCCTGGAAGGCGCTTGTGTTGACCGTGGAATGGCTAGTGGCTTTACTTGGTTCAGGCCAGGCCACACTGCCTCCTTAGTAAACCAACCTCAAATTCACTGCCTGCTCTGTAGTTTCAGGTCCTTTATTTTGATTTTCTTTCTTTGCAATCATTCCCATCACAGATGTCTATTAGCTTATCGTGCGTCTCCCCCGACCAGAACATGAGTTCCAGGAGAAAAGGGCCTGTGTCTGTTTCAACCCTCTACTAAACTGACAGTGCCTGGGACACTGCTGGACATATAGCAGTTTGACAAGTATTTTTTCAGTGGATACATAATATAGCAGACTGAAATGATTCAAACAAATATATAATGTCCCGAATTATATTCTTTTCTGAATTTCTTCTCTGAATAAATACATTATTAATATTTAATAAAACGAGACAAAGCGGAGGAGTTGTTTGTTTTTTGTTTGTATTCCCTCTCTCTCAGGTTAAGCAATAAAAACCAAAATGTAGATGAAAATTTGGACTGCATATTTTCACCTTCTAAGATGTAATAATAATAGATTATGGAAGACTGGGGGGGGAATTAGAACATTTACTCAGCACCTTATTCATGAGAATGAGACTAAATTCAAAAAGGACAACGAGGATAACATCTCCAGTACATGCAGAGTTACCTGTGGTAGGCATCTGCTGCTTCCTTTTTCAGTTGAAGATGCTCATTTAAATAACCCAACATTGTGAAAGCTGGAGCATAATTCTGAATTCTTTCTGGAAATCCAAAAATATCTTTTCTTTACATGTACATAATGTTTGTGTTTATAAAATATTAGTTTCATTTTCAACTAATTCAATATTTTAAATACCAGATTATCTCCTGAGATCACTGACATAGTTAAGAATAGTAGTCTGATTACCTTGACTATAAAATTCCAGTAATCATTTTATAATTCTTCTAAATTACTGAATAGTATTTATAGTTATTATCTACTCAATGTTTTAAAGTTAAAATATTTTTATCCCTAATGGTATAATAATTTGAAAATGTACCTCATACCTCATGTTAAAACTCTTGACTGAATTCATAAAGAAAATTTAGTTTTTTGGCTAATCACTTAAACCTGTGATTAATTTTAGCAACAATTTTTCTTGCTGGTTGTGTTCCAATTTCTATGTGATTTTTTAAAAGAAGATTAACTCAGTATTATACACTAAAAAGAGAGTATGATTTTGGTATTGCCAATACAGTACTTTGAAATTTTAATGTCAAAAAACATCAAACATCCAATGATGTATAAAACAGAAACACATCTGATCTGATTAAAGTTGCTTCCTGGGAAGCAAGCATTCAAATCTCTTAAATAGTTTAACAAAAGAGAGTATGATCATATCTTAGGCAATGGTTAGGTTCTGACATCAAAGCATAAGGTGAAAATCATACGAAGTTACTCCTGAAAACTCCTCAAGTTACCACACAAGGAGAGGGTCACCGAGACTCAGTCAAACCGAGTGAGGAGATCCAGACCTTCCACTCACAGGCGCCCGGAGGCAGTCAGCAGGACAGATGATGAGACTGTGCTCTCTCTGCATTCTCCCTCGTCTCTCTTCGAATTTACTTATTTATTTTTGGCTAAGCACATGTAGCTGAATTTATTAAATGAGTATGTTATCATTATGACTCCATTACAAAGTTAAAAATGTAACTAAATGAGCTGTCAGGAAATGATTTGTTCATTGTTCTAAGTATCTGAACTTTGCAGAAAGTTAAAGATTTACCTCTTTATATAAATCCTTTCTAAATGTTACTCATTCTGTAAGGAAACCTATCAATAAAATTTCTGATCACATGCTTTCTCAGAGGCTCCAGGTACTCACTAGCCATTTGTTTTAGCACACTGCTAACATGTCGGTGCTCCACAGGGGTGGTCTGTAAACTAAGCGTGGTCCACTTGAGTGCCCCAGGCTCAATGCAGGGACAGTATTATAATCCTCTCAATATCTATGGTGAGGCATTTTTTCTTCTGCTTTTCACAATTTATCTAATTCTTTTTTTACTCAACTGCCAATATTCCTGCTTAAACACCTTACTTTCTTTTATTATAATTTTGTCAAAAGATAAAAAATTGCTAGTAAAACTAACATTTCTTGAGCACATATGGTATGTCAGGCACTCTGCACTCTTTGTATAAATCATCTTATTTAAACCCTAAGCAATCAATATTTTCATTAGTTTGTTATAGGCAGGGAAACTAAAATTCAATTTGGTAGTATGCCTAAGGTATTATCATGGCTACTAAATGATGGAGCAGAGAGTCAAACTCAATAGTAGTTGTATCAAGGAAAGGAAATTATTATAATAGATGGTTAATAAAACTTCAGCATTCTGTCCTTTTCCTAAGCCTAAATATATTTTTCCAGCATCTTAAAGAAAAATCAGGTATTAAAGTGGGAGGTTAAAGGCACTGCATTTAGAACTTAAAATATATTATCTTTGAGATTTAATTCCCAGATCTCTACAACCTAAGTATTATTACCTCTGCTTTCCAAAGTTAACAGAGGCCAAGGGAAGGAAAATACTTGGCCTACGGCTATAGAAACAGCAAAGGGCAGAGCCAGAGCAGCAGCAGCTCAGGCCATTCAGGCTCCAAATGCTTTCCACTACGACACAGAAGTCACCTTTATCTTGAATCATTAGCTAATATTTCATCACTCTTCAAAAGTCCTTACTAAAATAAAGTTTAAAAAGTAGACTGGCCACTGGGGAGAGAAAAGCCAGTATTTAATTTGAAGTTAACTAATTTTTAAAATTCATTAAATTATTTCAACAGTTAGTAAAACACCTTGCCATTATATAACAGATGCCTTACCTACGTATTTACTCAAAACAACTTGTGCTGCCGGGACAGCATTCATCTGAAGGATGTTGTACCGGTACAGCTCGGTTTCTCTGTTGCTTTTGTCTTGCAATGTTGTACAGACCCAGTATGCATAACCTATCGCTCCTTCAGTCTTGAAAAAAGCCAAAGTTAACAAACAGACATTGGGTAATAAATATGTGAATAAAAATTAAGAAATGAAACAATACACTTCAAAACAGAAGACACCACATCTTAGTCTTCTTTAAGTCAACTGTTTGGTGCCTTTACGGGGTCACTATGATAAAACACAGCTAGGACCATATTCAAATCACTTGCTTCAACTCTAAGTAAGAGAATCAAATAGGATAAATTAAGTGCAGAAAACAGAGCTCCACCTGATGGGTCAGTCTGCTTCTTCTCAGTACCATTCCCATAGGTCAAAGTAATAATTACTAATCAAAAGATTTCTAAAACACTTTCATAAATCAGCAAGAAATGTCAACCAAGTCTAGTCTGTATCTTACGTATGTGTTTTCTAGAGTCTTGGTTGACATTCACACTACTACCGCATCTCCTAAATCCCAATGTCATGTCTTCATCAGATCTTGAAAGATAATAGATAAAGATGAGAACTTCTTTAATTAAAGACAGTTTCTCTGCTCTCAAGAAAGAATAAAGAGTAGAGACAAATGCTGTTATTAAAATCTGACACCACTAAGTATCCATTTTCTCAAAAAGGTTTAATGCTTTACTCATTAATGAATCCTTGAGAAGAATGTTCAAACTCTTACATGCATGCTGAGTTCTGTAGTGTGCCTGAAAAGATCCATGGTGTCATAACTTCCAACTGTCTCTGCAATTAGAGCCTAAAAGAAAAAAAAAAGAGTTTCTTCCTGTGTTTAAGAGGAGTAATCATCATCATCATCATCATCATCATCATCATCATCATCATCAGTGAAACTGGAAAAACAAAGGTTTATGAGCTGTGCTTACATTAGTAGATGAGTAGAAAAGCAGAGTTAACTTCAGCTTCAGTCCTGGTCACCACAGTCACACCGCTCAGAGGACAAGAACAACTTACTAAACTGGCCCTTAAGCTGAAAAATGCTTTCAAACTTCCATCTTCAACCTTTTCCCTCCCCTCTCACCCTTGATTATTCATACTGGTATTTGTCCGGAACAGGATTCTTATCACAGGATCACCTGAGATTCACCTGGGTAGCTTTTTTAAAAGGAGGTCCTCACTCCTAGTTTCCACAGATACGGGTAAAGTCACAATATGTTTATTTTTTAAAACTGCTTCAGAATTTTAAATATTACACCTATGCTGCTATTGATTTTACAGACTATGTAATAAATTAAAATTACTTTCAACCTCATCTATCTTTTAGAAGAAACCAGGGCTTTTTAGTTATCATATATTATTAATATAATTAAGAAATTAATAAGTTTCACTTCTGTTGTTACCATTTAAATTAAACTTACCAGTTATTTCCTGAAATAAACTATTTTTAAGAACGAAAATATTTGAAAAATAAAAAAAACATGTATTTTTTCTGACAGCATCTAAGATGCAGACCTAAGCAGTGCTATTCAGGTGAAATCTTTGGACCAGTAGCAGTGCCATCCCTCAGGACAGTTAGAAATGCAAATTCTTGAGCCCCTAAGTCCAGTACCTTACACAGAGCTTAGCTTGGAAGTAATGACATTGCTCCCAAATGCTACCACAGTTAATGGAAATAGGAAGTTTGCCTTAATTCTGTTTGCTTCACCAATTAACCATAATTAGACCAAAAAGTCAAAAGTACAATAAAGAATATCAAAACCTAGACTTATGACTTTCTGATATGGGTCATGCTTCTACTATTCTCCCAACCAAAATACATCAACCACTTAGTAGTTCAGTACAATTTTCTAACTACACAGAACTTAGAGGTTACTCTTTCTAATCCCGTTCTTTTTCAGGTGAAAACACTGAAATCCAGCAGTTTTATTAAGGTTAAAGATTAGTCAGTGATAGACTCCAGATTATTAACCAAGTTAACCTGATTCTTTTTTTTTAATAAAGAAAGAATCTTTTTTTTTAAGATTTTATTTATTTATTTTTAGAGAGGGAAGGGAGGGAGAGAGAGAGAGAAACATCAATGTGCGGTTGCTGGGGGCTGTGGCCTGCAACCCAGGCATGTGCCCTGACTGGGAATCAAACAAGTATCCTGATTCTTATTTGGCAATACAAAAATCTAAATTTAGGAGGATAGGTGGTAGGGGGCAGATTCATATAAACAAGTACCAAACCAAATTATGAAGATTTTGAGAAAATATAATCAAAATGATCTTTATAAGGGTTGGGGGGGGGGAGGAGGCGTAAATGAGTATTAAGAGAGCTCTTGGTTTATTTTTAAATATAATAATGTCAGACTGATGAGGTTCAAAGCCCCTCCAAATCAAAGTTTAATCATTGCAAGCTGTATGACCTTGGGCACAATACTTAGGATCTCTGAGCTTCAATTTCCACATCTATAAAAAGTTTAACAACTACCACCAACTCAAAGCACTGATGAAAGATGAACTTCAGTATACAAAGAGCCTAGCACAGTGACTGGCAAAAGTAAGCCCTCAAATGTTATCTGTGATCATAATTATCATTGTTATTTATATTAATAGGATATTTATGACACTTTATATTAATAGGTTATTTATATCAACAGAATTATTAATAACTAAAATGTTATATATCTTACTTGTCCAATCCAGCACATTAAATAAGACGGATCAAGGGATTGAGCCATTTTGAAAGCTTCATGAGCTTGCTAGGAAAGAAAAGCAAAAAATAATACATTAAGTCATTTTATAAATTTAATATTAAATTGTTTATGTTAAAATTATAAAATAAGAGAATAAGAAAAGCCAGACTTCTCAACATAAACACATATGAATCTAAAACTGTTTAAGCAGAATAAGCAATGTTTAAAACAGTGTCCACCAGAACACTCCTGTTTACAGCAGATTTCTCTACAGGTTAGGGGTTCTGGACCCACCCAGCAAAAGGGCAATAATCTTCTTTAAGTGTGGCAGGGAATAGTCTTCTTTTTTTTCTAAAAAATTAAGCTAATGCACAACTGTGTCATGCTATCATAAAACCATATTCATGGTTTATTAACTAAGACCTTGATTTGTATAAATTATTTTTAGAACTTTAAATATTTAATTTTAGAGAGAGGGAAAGGGAAGAAGGGAGAGGGGGAGAAAAACATAGATGTGAGAGAGAAACATTAATCAGCTGCTTTTCATATACACCCTGACCAGGAACTAAACCAGCAACCTAAGTATGTGCCATAACTGGGGATTGAACTGGTGACCTTTCACTTTGATGACCAACCAACTAAGCCACGCTGGTCAGGGCATTTTGTATAAATTTTTAAAAAATATTTTCACATATTTTACATAAACAAAAGCAAAGACAGAAATCACATGATCATATCTATAGATGCAGAAAAAGCATTTGATAAGGTACAGCACCCGTTTATGATAAAAACACTCAGCAAAGTGGGAATAGAGGGAGCATTCCTCAATATAATAAAGGCCACATACGAGAGACCTACAGCCAACATCATCCTCCATGGGCAAAAACTGAAATCTTTTCCACTAAGATCAGGAACAAGACAAGGTTGTCCACTTTCACCACTTCTATTCAATATAGTACTGGAAGTTTTAGCCACAGCGATCAGACAAGAAAAGGAAATAAAAGGCATCTAAATCAGAAAGGAGGAAACAAAACTGTCATTGTTTGCAGATGACATGATAGTATACATAGAAAAGCCTATAGACTCTGCCAAAAAACTGTTTGTCCTAATAAACAAATTTGGCAAAACAGCAGGATACAAAGTCGATATCCAGAAATCAAAGGCATTTTTGTATATCAACAATGAAACAGCAGAAGCAGAAATCAAGAAAAAAATCTCATTCGATATAGCAAAAAAGAAAAATAAAATACCTAGGAATAAATCTAACCAAGGAGGTAAAAGACCTGTATGCAGAAAACTACACAACACCGAAGAAACAAATCAAGGAAAACACAAACAAATGGAAACATATACCGTGTTCATGGATCAGAAGAATTAACATCATCAAAATGTCCATACTACCCAAAGCAATTTACACATTCCATGCAATACCTATTAAAGTACTAATGGCATATTTCACAGACATAGAACAAACACTTCAAAAATTTATATGGAACCATAAACCACCCCGACTAGCTGCTGCAATTTTGAGAAAGAAAAGCAAAGTAGGAGGGATCACAATACCTGATACCAAACTGTATTACAAGGCCACTATAATCAAAACAGCCTGGTATTGGCATAAAAACAGGCACATGGACCAATGGAACAGAACAAAGAGCCCAGAAATAAACCCAGTCTCTATGGTCAATTAATATTTGACAAAGGGGGAAGCAACATAAAATGGAGAAAAAACAGCCTCTTCAACAAATGGTGTTGGGAGAACTGGACAGCTACATGCAAAAAAATGAAACTCGAGCACCAACTTACACCATACACAAAAATAAATCCAAGGTGGATAAAAGATTTAAATATAAGCCATGTCACTATTAAGGTCCTAGAGGAGAACATCGGCAGGAACATCTCAGATATTTCACGCAGCAACATTTTTACTGATATGTCCCCCAGAGCAAGGGACATAAAGGAAAGAATAAACAAATGGGATCTCATCAAAATAAAAAGCTTCTGCACAGCTAAAGAAAACAGTATCAAAATAAAAAGAGAACTAACTGTATGGGAAAACATATTTGCCAATGATACCTCAGACAAGGGTTTAATCTCCAAAATATATAAAGAACTTACATGACTCCACTCTAAGAAGACAAGCAACCCAATTAAAAAATAGGCAAAGGACTTGAACAGACACTTCTCCAAGGAGGACATACAAAGGATCCAGAGACACATGAAAAGATGCTCAATATTGCTAGCTATCAGAAAGATGCAAATTAAAACCACAATGAGATACCACTTCACACCAGTCAGAGTGGGCATCATAAACAAAGCAACAAACAACAAGTGTTAGACAGGTTGTGGAAAAAAAGGGACCCTAGGGCACTGTTAATGGGAATGCAGACTGGTACAATCACTATGGAAAACAGTATGGAATTTTATCAGAAAACTAAAAATGGATCTGCCTTTTGACCCAGCAATTCCACTGCTAGGATTATATCCTAAGAACCTCGAAACACCAATCCAAAAGAACCTATGCACCCCAATGTTCATAGCAGCACAATTTACAATAGCCAAGTGTTGGAAGCAACCTAGGGGCCCATCAGTAAATGAATAGATCAAAAAACTGTGGTACATTTACACAATGGAATTCTATGCAACAAAAAGAAAGAAGGAGCTCCTACCCTTTGCAACAACATGGATGGAGCTGGAAAGCATTATGCTAAGCGAAATAAGCCAGGCAGTGAAAGACAAATACCATATGCTCTTACCTCTAAGTGGAACGTAATCAACAAAACATACAAGCAAGCAAAATATAACCAAAGACACTGAAATAGAGAACAGGCTGACAATGTTCAGAAGGGAGAGGGGAGGGAATTTCAGGGGAAAAGGGGAAGGGTTTACAGGAACAAGTATAAAGAACACATGGATAAAAAACTAGGGGTGGGTGGAAATGGGAGGGAGGAGGGGAAGGCAGGGTGGGTGAGCTGGGATGGGAGTAAAAGATAGAAAATTGTACTGCAACAATGATTAAAATAAAATTTAAAAAAATAAAGTACTTGTAACCCTGACAAAAAATAAAACAAAATTTATGTATTTACAAAAAAATAAATAAATAAAAGATCTATTCCTTTAAAAAGTAAAAAAAATTCACACTATTATTTTCCTTTGTTTTATTTACAGTCTTCTAACACAATCTCTGCTGTGACTTAATACAGTCCTAAGAATATTACTAATTCTATTTTAAAAGGATGATATTCAGGAACTTCTGGTCAAGATGGAGGCGTAGGTAGACTAGCTTTGTCTCCTAGTCTAACCACAAGAAGAATCACAACTAACTTCAAAACAAAAAACATCCCGAACTGCCAGAAAATCAAATTGTATGGAAGTCTGACAACCAAGGATTTAAAGAAGCCAAATTTATTCACATGGGTAGGAGGGGCAGAGACGGGCAGTCAGGACAGAGAGGACACAGTGTAGCACAGAGTGGCAATGGCAGAATGATCAGTCCCACCTTCATGTGTGGTGAATAAAACTTGGGAGGTTTTACCTCAGGAGTGAGCAAACCCAGCTCCAGACCAGATCACACAAGCCAGGGTTCCAACAGTGAAGGGAAGGAAGCTGTGATTCAGTTCAATGATTTGGAACATAAGGAAGAAATAAACATTCAACCAGAACAGAATGAAGAAACAAGAACTCAAAAAAATAAGGAGAGTATAGGAAGACTCTGGGACATCGCTAAAAGTGCCAATATTCAAATCGTAGGGGTGTCAGAAGGAAGAGGAAGAGCAAGAAATTGAACACTTATTTAAAGAAATAATGAAGAACTTCCCTAATTTAGCGAAGGAAATATACATACAAGTCTAGGAAGCACAGAGAGTCCCAAACAGTTGGACCCAAAGAGGACCATATAGCAAGACACATCATAATTAAATTGCCAAAGGTTAAAGACAGAGAGAGAATCTTAAAAGCAATAAGAGAAAGGCAGAGAGCTACCTACAAAGGAGTACCCATAAGACTGTCAGCTAATTTTTCAAAAGAAACTTTGCAGGCAAGAAGGGACAGGCAAGAAGTATTTAAAGTGATGAAAAGCAAGTAATCTAGAGTAACCTAGATTACTCTATCCAACAAAGCTATCATTTCGAATGGAAGGGCAGATGAAGTACTTCCCAGACAAGGTAAAGCTAAAGGAGTTCATCATCACCAAGCCATTATTACATGAAATGTTAAAGGGACTCATTTGAGAAAAAGATCAAAACTACTAACATTAAAAGGGCAACAAACTCTCAACTATCAACAACTGAATCTAAAAAACCAAAACAAACTAAGCAAATGACTAGAACAGGAACAGAGTCATAGATATGGAGATTATTTGGAGGGTTATCAGCTGCGAGGGGGAAGGGAAAAAATGGGGAAAAGGTCTAGGAATTAAGAAACAAAATGGGAAGGTAAGAAATAGAAGAGGTTAAGAATGGTATAGGAAATGGAGGAGTCAAAGAACTTACATGCATTACCCATGGTCATGACTAAGGGGGGTGATTGCTGGAGGGAAGGGGGATACAGGCAGAGGGGGTCAAAAGGAGAAAAATGGGACAACCAGAACAGCATAATCAATAAAACATACTTTTAAAAGGGTGATATTCAATATAATGGCTGAAAACATAAAACAATACAGGTATGTTATATGTAGATTTATTGAAGCTTCTAACTATGATCTATAAACACATACACAGTTCTCTATAGCTGTTCGAGTATGACAAATTACATGTAGATCACAAAGAGATTAATATCTGCTAAAGTCAAATCGAAATCACCCAAGCAAATGTTAAATAAGTTGACAGAGAATGCTAATTCTTTCCCATATTCTACCACCCTACCCTGCAAACCACCTACATGGGACTCCTCTTACATGTGTACAGGTAAAAAGAAAAACATCCAAACAGTTTACACTAGAGTTGTTTTAATCTCTAAATGAAAAATAAACATAATTATAAAATCACAAATTTCTTGAGTGGTGTACAAAAGAAAATAAATCCTACACATTCATTAGAGAGCATACTGGATAGATAAAAATGTACATAGTATTTCTCCACAAGAAGTTGAGCTATTATGAAGAGATCATACATAGAAAATGTTCTTTACTTTTAATATGACAAAACAGACAACGCATTTACCTCAATCTTTTCATTTGCAAGGTATAACACTCCCAAGTTGGTCCATGCAACAGCATTCTGAAAAACATATATATGTATAAAAATTAATTCCCTTGTCTACATGGAAGTATCAGAAAATTATTAACACTAAATTTCAAAGTTCTTTTCATAGATAGACACATAGAACACTCACAACTTGCTCTGATTGGATTGATTTGATGAAACAGTGCTGAGCAAGGGCATAATTTCCAATACCTGAAAAAATACAGAATTTGTAAAACTGAGCATATTACCTGAAATGACAATATTCTAAAATTATTGAAGTGTTATGCAATTCTTACCACTGTAACACGAAACCACACCAAGAGCATTCCAGTATAAGTGATTATTACTATTGAGTCTCACTGCCTTTTTTAGACACTGAAAAGTAAAATTAGATTAATTTTTAATCCTTTAAATGTCAACATTTATATCAAGATAAATGTGGTTTATGTGAAATCACTAGAATATTTACATTATCAAAAACGTCTTTCAGAAAACTACTTAGTATTTTTTTAAGTTTATAAAAAAATTTCTCAAAATCATACATGTAATGATTTCTCCAACAATTCTTTAAGATCATTCACGGTGCTGCCTGTTTCTGCTAGATGTTGTGCTTGGCGATAATAATTAATCCCAAGATCACACCATGTATTAGATGTAGACATCAGTTTTAATGCACGTCCATAACACCTATGGAAATATAAAAGTGAATATTATGTTTTGTTATAACATCCTAATTTAATTTGAATGTCATTCTCTGGCAATCTTTGTAAATTACCTTCCTCCAAGATGAAGGAGCTCATTTTTCTTTAATACTTGTTTTCCTTCTTTCTGACCTAGAAGGACTCCTAAAACATGCACATTCACTTTAGATGGTGAGACAGCATACAGGCTAGTACAAGCATCCCCAACCAGCTTCCAAAGGCAAGACACATCAGCTCGATGCTGCAGAGCCCTGAAAAAGAAAGTGGGATTCTTTTAAATTATATCCAAAAAGTACAGACTTTATCTCTCTCACTATTACTTACAATTAAAACAAAAAAATTATATAGCTGTCCCTCACTATATTGTGGTTCCCTTATTGAGGCTTCACTGTATCTCGGGTCTTAAAACCCACAGAAAATTAATTATGATGATAAAGTGAACTTCTTTTTAGAATGAGAAAATCACAACTATAGTTTTCATTTTTTTTCTTCTTGAGATCTTATAAATAAAACACAGCAATTTCATTTAGGCCAAATCTTGATAATCAGCTATCACAAACAGCTATGTTACTGGCAGATGGATAGGCAGATGGAATATTTTTCATTGCCTTTTCTACTCATGGAGTCCAGCCAAAAATCATTTTCCAATATCTAAAATACTTGAAGGGAAGTAAGATTAATTAGTACAGTTATCACTGAAAACCCCTTGTGAGGACCAGGAGGGAGGACAACACATTTCTAGTGCTTTTGCCTAAATATCTTAACATAATTTCTAAAATTGACAGCATGAAAAAATATGAGACATAAAAGGAGAGAAACAAGCAATTTTAAGTGTCTATACACTCATTTCCTTTTCATTTCAATAAAAAAATATGCGAAGTGAAATGACTTCTACCCACTTACATAAGTATTGTAGTAGTGTGAACTTTTAATTAGAGAAATAAATATAAATTTTGGGATTATCACTTCAAAGCTTTATATACCTCCTTATAATTGGTTGTGTTACATGCTTTCCAAAACAAAATTTCCCAAGCTAAGAAAGGCAGTATTTTTAGCTCAAGTATCATGACTCAAAGGTTCACATTTACTCTTAAATATAGTTCCAAAAAAGTACACCTTCTTCACAATACCTCCGTTTTTGGTAAGAGCTATATTATGTGAGACTTGAGAAACAGCAGTAAAAATCAGTGGGAGAAAAAAAGCTAAGGTTTTCATTTCATATTTGGTTCATATTCGAAGCAAAGCAATCCTAGAGCAACCAAATCAAGAGGGAACAGAGAAGAAGGCAAGTAAGAAAGGAAAAGAAGGGAAGCACAGAATGATGTTTAAGAGCAAAAAATATTCAAATGTATGTCTAACTTGTTGACTTTTTAAAGCCATCTACCACAAATAACACCTTTATCTAGCTAATGAATTTACAGTTCTATAAAATACCAGATTTACTCAAATTTTTCTGATGCCTTTCTTTTATTGGACTTCACTGTTTTTTCCTACAAAGATTCTCTCCAGGAGCAATCAGATTATTTCTTTCCCTTTACCTTTGGCCCTACCAATAAGCTTAAAATAAGCCCTTACCAATGATGTAAAGCACATTGTGCACCTGAAGCCCCTCTTTTCCGATCATTCCAATTCTAGATACATTTCTAGGCCTCCTGAAAGAACACTACGCTGCTCCACTATCAGGCGGCTTCTCCCTTCCCACTCTTTCCTATATGTCCAGCATGTCATTCACTTAAGAACAAGAAATTATACTTATCCCCACTGCAAAACTACTAGCATATACATTAGAATATGTTCTAGAATTAATTTGTCTGTTATTCTTTATGCTTGATATTCTGAATAATGAATGCTATAACTAACAAAATTAACATAGAATGTTTTTATTCTAAATAGAATTTATTCTAAATTTGGCTTTATTGTTATACTAAGAAAAAAACACAATAAATAATAAGAATAATACTAACCGAGTAAAATATTCCAGTGCTTTTTCTATGTAGTCTACAGCTTTCCCATCCAGATAATCGACTAGAGCTGCTTTTGCCATCATGAGATGGCATTCCCCCAGACCTGAAATCAGGTAAGGTGGCAGCTGTTAAAACATGTACACAACACTTAGAATAAACTTCAAATAAATTTACATTAAAGCTGCTTTCCAGAAAACGAAGCTCTTATTTTAGATATCTATTTCAGATCCAATATCTATCATGATATTTGTCTAAAAGTTAAATCTCTATCATACTACTATTTACTGATGGTTATGAATCAAGAGTTGATGTTTCTATATTCAAATGTATACAACAAGCTATACTATAAGAGGTTCATACTGGATGCTATTGACTAAAGAAGTGTTTTTATCAAGTTGTTCGATGCATTCAGGAAATTCAAGGATTTTGTACTTCAGTATCATAAAAGTCAAAGGAGCTATTATTTAAAAAAAATTACCTTTCAAAGCAGGCACATAATCTTCTTTCTTTTTAATGATCAGCTGGTATTGAACAATAGCCTCCTTATATTTGCCTAGGATTTGCTGTATTGCTGCAACCTTAAACACACTGTATGTGGATTCTGGGTTCAGCTCACTGGCTTTTGTGAAGGATTTCAATGCTGTTGTATAGCCACCTCTACTTAAGTAGGCCTCTCCTAAGGATTCCCAACAGTTGAAGTCCTTTGGGTCTGCCCTTATTGCTGCCTGTAAACTAAAATTTCAAGAAAATAAGAAGATGAAAAGCAATAGAACTGCTTCCACATCTGAAAGGAAAATATAAAATAAATAATTCAAATGAATCACACATATTGATGCTTCCTTTTATATAGAAAAGTTCTATTTAAATATCTGTTCCTTTTGTAAGTTGAATATTTTTAATACTAAGAAATTTTATTACAAATTTGGAATGAATAAGAACAAAATAACTTTTTTTAAAAAGTGCTGACCAGAATTTCTTTCCTTGACTATCTGGAAAAACTTTCCTATCCTACCAGTATGCCTCATCACAGTTTATAAACCCACACCAAAATGGAAACATCACAGTTAAAAAAACTAGAATAATAGGCAAGCTTTAAATTTCTGATTAAATTCCATTTCCAGAAAAAAAATTTAAATACCTGTATTCTAGGTATTGAGATATATTAGAAATAATTTTATCTTTTTAAAAAATATTTATTTTTAGAGAGAGGGTAAAAGAGGAAGAAAGAAAAAGAGAGAAACATCATCTATGTGAGAGAGAAAAATCAATCAGTTGCCTCTCACACATGCCCCAACTGGGGACTGAACCCACAACCCAGGCATGTGCCCTGATCAGGAATCCAACCCACAACTTTTCAGTTTGCAGGATGATGCCCAACCAACTAAGCCACTCTGGCCAAGGCAAAACAACTTTATCTTGATTCAAATATATTTTATTTACCCTTAAGTGAAGCTCAAACCAAATGACTAAAAATGAGCTGCTCCAAATGCCCTTCAAGCTGCCAAATGTACCCCCTGCCCAAAACCAATGTATTGTTCAGGGGGAGAACAAAGATACTAACCCAGGCTTTTATTGTTCCTTAAATTTCTATCTAGAACCTACTGTATGTATAATACTATTACGAGTTCACCAGACTGGCTCTCTCCTTAACTACAGGACATCATTTAATCCATTTTTGCAATTCCAGTGCCTTGCAGGTAATAAGAACCAACCATCGTTAAATTATTGTTATTGTTACTGTTGCTATGTCTTCCCTCAAGATACAACCTGGTATGAGGCAACCTGTAAAGTTCATTTTGGGTACAAATGGAGTTTAAATTAAGAAACCACTAGGTTGTGAGACAGAGCTTAAATATAAGTAGGTATCTTACTCAGCCACTGCTTGAGAATGCTGACCAGCTTTCAAATAGTACAGGCCTCGTCTAAGCCAGGCCCATTTTGCAGTTCCAGCACTCGCCTTTTGAGTTACTGTTGTCAGGATAGCTAAGGCAGTTTCCTAATAAGAAGAAAGGAATAATATTAGAGATATCAAATATTATATTTTCAGAACATCTATGTAAAGTAGGCAAATACATGAGGTCTGTCCAGAAAAAAGTCCACCCACTGTTAATATAATGAGAAAGGTTTGTGTGACATGATGTAACCTGACAGCCAAGGAGAATGGACTAGAATGCGCATGTGTGAACAATGATGACTTCATTGTATTAGTCTGTGGGGGTAGTAGACATCATTGAGTGAGCATGTGTACTGTATGGCCATCACATTCAAAATGACTGAGCAAGTAGAGAAAGGAATTTTGCATTAAGCTTGAACATTCCTCCACTGCAACTATCAGGATGATTCAGAAGGCCCCATCTATGGGCAACTGGAGATTGGCAGCTTCATCAGGACAATGCATCTGCTCATGCATCATGTCTTGTGCAGAGTTTTTTGGTGAAACATCAAATTACCCAGGTGACTCAGCCCCTCTATAGCCCAGATTTGGCATTCTGTGACTTCTGGCTTTTCCCAAAGCTAAAATCACCTTTGAAAAGGAAGAGATTTCAGACCATCAATGAGATTAAGGAAAATACAACAACGGGGCAGCTGATGGCAACTGGGAGAACTGTGTGAGGCCTAAGGTGCCTACTTTGGTACTGGACAATGTTTCTTGTATCTTGTATCTTCTTCAGTAAGTGTCTCTATCTCTCATATTACATGGCTGGATACCTTCTGGACAGACCTTATATTTTCATTTATCACTTCTAATTTTTAAACTTACACTGGTATGTACTAAACTACAGTTTCAATAATAAATGATGAGAATTTTAATGTCTGCCAAAGAAAAGAAAACTTACAGTGAAAAAAAAGTTTCTATTGCAACTATAAAGATAAAAACAATGATAACTTTCAAGTATACATGTATGAAAGTATTTCTACTTCTACATTTCACATGAAAATATGACGAAAATGTTTAAGTCATTAGACACACCATCTCTTCAAGCTCCATGCTTAAATCAACAGCTGCAGCTCCAGATTCAGCATCAGTGTCATCTAATTCAAAAGCTTTCCTGTAGCATCCACGGGCTCTGTTTTTATCTCCTACTACATCTCTGTAATAATGACCCAAATAGCAGAAAACTTTGCCCATGTATGTATCCAGTTTAGCAGCCTTCGAAATAAAACACAAAAGATAAATACATGTATTATGTATTTTTTAAAAGAAAGTTTTATTAAATATATAAAAATATGCCAAAACATTCTTTAATGTAAGATTTAAAATGACATAAAAGCCAGCTGTCACTGCTTATAAGTGTGAAAATGTTATCTTTGTTAAAAGGTGTGTGATATTTGAATTGTTACATTACTCTGCTTTTATTAGACAAGATAAGAAAACACTTCTAGACTTTAAACATCCAAACAACAAAAAGTTAAACATCTAGAATTACATAAGGCTCATATGCCCATAAAATGAGAGTGGAAATTTTCTAAAAACAACATTGTTTTCCAGATATAACCATGTCTCATTTTCTATAACATGTGATTCTTAAATAAGTAACTTTTACACTTCTATGGTTTAATTTTCTCCTTGAAAACCCACATAACATTCTCACAAACCTTATGTGTGAGATATGAAACATGAAAACAGTTCAGTAGTAATTTTTAAAGTATCTAACTTATACAATTATTTATGGTTTTATAATGAATCCATTTCAACAAAGAATTGAATAGTAGCTTATTTTACCTTTAAATGAACTTATTTTACCTTTAAAAAGTGAGTAAGAGCCTTTGTTTTATCTTTTCTTGTTTCTTCGCCCATGAACCAATATATTAACCCAAGTTGGTAATGATATTCAGCAACTTCATCATCTTTCTCAAGAGCTCTCTGAAAACTAAGTCATGAGGGGAAGTAAAAAGGAATTCTGAAATATATATGATATAGCAGACTCCTAGCTGAAACAATCAAAGTTTGAGTGATTCAAGGATGCTGAATTCGAAACAAGTCATTACTTTAGGATTCAGATTACAATGAGAAAAAAACTATTTGTTTTTCAATTACAGTAGCTTTAAAAAGGACAATGGCCTTTAGCTCTACCAATGTGCTAAGTGTTCACACTAAACTATGTTTGAACATTATAATCAATTAATCATATTTCAAATCCATAATGGAAATTTTTTATAGTTACTGTGTTATATGCTAAATACACTTCGTTTTTTATTTAAAAAAAAACTCTTTTATCCTCAACAGAGGACATTTTTTCATCCCTTTTAGAAAGAGAGGAAGGGAGAGCAAGAAACATCAATGTGAGAGAAGAATATCAACTGGCTGCCTCCTGTGAGCTTTTGGACCAGGGATAGTATGCATCCGGGCCAGGGACTGAACCCAGAACCTAGGTACGTTCCCTGACCAGGAATGACACCTGCAACCTTTCGGCTACAGGACAACCCTCCAACCAACTGGGCCACACTGGCCAGAGCTGCTAAATACATTTCTTAAAAATGCTAATAAAGCTTACATAGATCAAATTTATACAGAATTGGATCTTTATCAAGTCCAGTTGTTTTGAATTTTTGAAAAATTTAATAAACTAAGATATGACTTGCTTCTATGAGCAATCTATATACTCTTACCATTTTTCTGCTTGTAGATAGTTCTTTCTGGTAAAATGAATGAAACCTTCCAGAGCGTGAGCTTCAGCTAGGTCAGGGTAAGAAGACAGAACATTTTCCATAACCTATAAAGTAGATAGCTGTCAATTCCACATCCAAATAAAAATAACCTAACTTAAAAAAAACTCATTTTGGATAAAAAAAACAACCTTTGAAGCTTCATCTAATGCGCCTTTGTTCAGATAGGCCAAGCTTTTGAGAACCAAAAGTCCTGGGACGTTATTTGCATCCGAAACCTTGAAAGCAATGGGAAAGAATTGCTATAAGTCTCCTTCAATGTAATGCAGCAATGCTGACTTCAATTAAAGAATGACCACAGAAGAGCACAGAATAAAGACACAGAGGTCCTGATTTCTATCACTATTACCACTTTCATTCTCTGTAACCTTTGTATTAGGAAAAATTTCAAACACATAAAAAGAATTAGAGGACAGTATAATAGAATCAGTCACATGTACTCACCATCCAGCTTCAAAATTAGTTCAAAGCCAAACTTTTCTTCTCAATAGCTCCACCCATTTTACTATGCCCTTGCTTGGACTATCCCACACATTTTGTAACTTTTTATCTGATACTTCAGCATCTATATCTAAACATTAAGTTTCCTGTTTAAATAATAATCATACTACCATTATTAATACCAAAACCAATATATCATTAGCATCATCAAACAATTCGTGTTTAAAGTTCTCGGTTGTCTCATAATATATTTGAGTAATTTATTTTCATCAAAATCTAAGTAAGGTACATACATTCAAAGTCACTAATAGGTCTATTAAGTCTCTTTTAATCTCTAGGTTTCCCTTCCGTCTCTTTTTTCCCCCCATTATAGTTTAACTGTTGAAAAATATGAGCATTTTTCAGTTTCTCATAATCTGTTTTTTTGCTGAATGTTCTGTCATGGTATTGACATGTTCCTTGGTCCTCTGTATCGTCTGTAAATTGGATAATCCAGGTTTGATGTTTTGGCGAGGGTCGCTCATGTGTACTTGCACTTGGTGGTGTCTAGTTGTCTTTTTTTCCATGATGCTAATAAGCAGCCCTTGATAGTTGATGCCTAGATCTACTCATTCAGCACAAATTGCAAAAATGGTGATTATTTTTCTCATTCTATCATTCATTTGTGGAACACTAAAACAAAGAGAAATTTCCCCTCTTCTCATTATATGTTTGATTATTCTTAGGAAAAGTCACACAGAAAAAGCAGGAACAGTTTCAGGAACAGTCATACAGAAAAAGTCATACAGGAAAAAAAAGAAAATGCCTTAATTCTTTTCAATTGGCTGCTTAGCATCCTCTAAAGATTTATTTTATTGAGGATATTTTGCTGATCTTTTTGTATAATAAACATGCGAATTTAAACATATCTGAAGTCTTTCAATCCACTGCAATAATTGGTACTCAAACTATCCACTCTTCAGTCACTGACAATCAATCCATGCCAATTCCTGAGCCGTTCTGACACAAAGCTGGGGTTCCTTTAGAGTTTCCTTGCTTTCTAACACTGTGCGATGTCATTCTGTACATTTTCTCTCTCAGACCTGGACTCTGCCAGTTCGCCAAAGAATTTTTGTTTTCTTCTTAAAAAAAAAAAAAAAGTATTGGAAAACCTCTACAGAGCATTCACACAAAATGCATTATCAGTGGGAAGAAAAGTAGAAAATAAAACAAGATACGAGTTCCTAAAGGTTGCCGACAACCCTTCTAATTTCAGAGAAATAATATGAAATGCAAAAGCCCTTTGAAATATATAAAAAATGACTTTTAAAATCAAAACCTTACAATATACTGAGTAATATAACTTTAATTTTAGATTAAAAATCCTTTCATCTAACAAAAATCTTTAAAAACACTATGTTGTTATAAGTAATGATTTACCAGTTAGTTTTTTTGCTAGGGAATTTCAAGTTGCTTGGAACAAAAACATTAAGAAATCAGTTTCATTCTTAAATATCAATCTTCTTCTTAGTGTTTTATTGAGTAAATCAAGTAACATCCTTTACCATGAAGCTACTAGTGTCCTTAATTATTCTTGCCAATAATCAGTAAAATATTTTCTGTAAGAAAAAATTTAGAATCCCAAATTAGTAATAATCAAGTAGTAACCTAAGAGAGCAAAGAGAAAAGAGAATAAGAGGAAGAACTAAAGAAAGACACTGCATCGTATGAAGAGCATTGTAAGTACTTAGCCAAGAAGTTTCCATTTGTGTGAGTGATTCACAAAAGTATAGATGTGGTGAATTCATACCTCTAACACAAAATTCATGTAAGAAAACATTTGTGGTAAGGAAAAAGTGGCTGATGCCTGGTTGATGGGAAACTAATTAAGTTAAAGGGGGAAATTCAAAAGACTACCTGATCCAGAGTACAGATTGCTTCCTCTGAAGATTCATTATCTGAGAGTTTAATCAAAGCCTCTGCTTTCAAACGAAGACAAAGATTCTTCTGATGAAGGCTGCCACCAGACACACCAAGATTATCTATCTTCTTCAGAGCTGACAAAATTAAGACGTCAGAATGAAGACAACCATATCCACTTCCTTTTTTTCTTTTTAAGAGAGATATATAATAAATTATATGAATAAATTGTTTAAAAATATACATGAAGAAAATCCAAAGCCAAGTATGAATCCTTCACTGAACTCTTTATGGAAATATCTGAATTTTAAACAGAACAGTTTTCAATTAAAATCTTTTTCTTCGTGTAACATAATACAACTGAACATCCTGAAATACAATTGCTATCCCCATCTGCTAACATTACAAAGGTTATCTTTAGCCCATGCATCTGTAACAAACAGCACATTAAGGATATTGGAAAGGAAAAAAGCTGCATTAGAATAGACCAGGGTGAACTATTTCTCAACTATAGAGGCTAGGCCACCAGCCATGTCAGAGCAGTGAATCTCTTCTTGTGATTGGCTATCCCATGCCATTCAAATAGGTTCTAAGACGCCTTTCCTTATCTACATCAGAGGAATCAAGAACTAGTGAAGGCACTAGGACACACCAGGAACTTCCTTGTTATGAAGACAGAGTACCACTATGCAAGCCAATTCTGACTGTTAAAATGCCAAGAGTCAGAAATTTTTGATAAATATTCATTGTCAGTTAAACAATAAATACACTAGTACACATGCATAGAGACTTGGCATTTTTTAATATCAATGAAATTTAAATTAGTTGGCAAGTTCAAATACAAAAAAATAGCAGTCTTTAAGATATATCTGGTTGTTTGTTTGTTTTTTTAAACACTATCTTTCTCCTTTAAGCTGAAAAGAAACAGGATTGGCAGCACTTAAAGATGTCAGAAATACCTTGATTGCATGAAAGAACAGCTTCCTTAGGTCTATGCATTCTGACTTGGGCTTCTGCCAGATGATACCATCCATTGGCACATTGAGGGCTTTCTTTTAATCCTAAAAGGATAAAAGCAAGAAGAAAATCCAAGGTTTCCATAACTACTGAGATGAATGGCATCACCATCTCCTCTCCAAATCAGACTTCTCCCCTTTCCCTCATCTCCCGCATCCACTCAGCCACAAAGCCACACTGATTCCAGGCCCTAGTCCCTTTCTTTCCCTCCAGGGCTTCAGTTCAGACTTCCGTCACCTTTATCCCAGATCAGTACGAGTGCCCGCCACCCACTCAGATTCATTTTCTACACTGTGATGAGAGTATTCTAAAACTGCAAACGGAATTGTGAGGTTCCCCTGCTTCCACTGGTTCCCTGCTACCCTTAGGGTGCTTACAAGGTTTGCATGGCTCTTCCCCAGCTTCAATTCTTGCCCCTTCCTCCTCCCACACTTCATTGGCAAATCTGGCCCAACTACAAGCAGTTCCCTGAATACCAGCTTGCCTCTAACCTCAGGTTACTTCATTTCTAGGCTTGAAATGCTCCTCCCACCACCAGGCTTGAATTTGTCATTCAGATCTCAATTTGAATGTAAGGATAGAGATATTATTATCACTATTTTATAAATGAAGACACTGAGACAAAGAGAGTTTAATTAACTTCCCCAAGGTCTTGAAATTATTAAGTGACAGAGTTAGAATTCAAACTTAAGCATACTCCAGAGTATGTAAATTCATTTTTTTTCACTCCTATGTTAAACATAGATTCCTTAAAGAAAAGCCCAAAGTTAAATACCTACTGACTGAATAACAACTATACCTCATGTTACATGGTACGCATGGTACACTTACCTTCTGTCAAGTTCCTAACAGCATCTTCATACTTTTTGTCTTGTAATGCTATGATGCCTAAACCAATAAGGCCTGGGCCACTGTTTGAATCCATTTCCACTAGTCTGCAACAATACTGCCGTCCTTCAACAGTAAGATTACCTGGAGTTAAAAGAAAAAGTTATTAGCATACATATACCAAATTTCTAAGCATCAAAGCCTATATATAATTTAAATCTCAAAAGCTGTCTTTAAAAAGAGAATGAAATGGCTACTAAAATTGCACCTTCAATTTCTACCCATCTGAATCAAAACTCTCTTACTGCATGTAATCACAACACAAAAGACTACTCTGGCTACATAAACTGTTATTATTAGGGCAAACACTCCTGGGATCAAAAGGAAAAAAGCCAATCATGTATCTTTCCATGATCATCCATACTTAGAGTACCTAAAAACTGCACACAAGTAAGAAAAGTGGGTAGGTACTTTGAAAATAGTTTCCAAAAGGCTAGGATGAACACAAAAAACTTTTAAAACAAGGTAAACTTTCCTAACATGTTCCCTTTTGCTAACATTGGGAGCACAATCATAGAAAGAAAGAGAATTGGGAGGATTGCATTCATGTCTAGCTGCGTGCAACACAGTCTTTATATATGACCACATGGCCCTTGAGGAATTCTCTGTAGTGTTCCCGAAAGCCATCGACAGTAATAACACAACTGATCCTATGTCAAGACACAAGGAATATTCCAGCTTCAGTACTCAATTCTCCTCTCCTCCATACTAATTCCTGATGAAAATATTAACTAAATAAACGTAGACAATGATGACAGGAAATTGACTTCATTGTTTTTGAATAGACAATCATTTATATAACTTATCTGCTCTTTTTAACATTTAAAAGATTTCAAGATTCCAGATTTAATGACTTTAAAACAGTTTGACTATGTTGTTTTTATTCCTCAATAAGATAAGCCAGACTTGGGGCTAATGAATACTACATCTCCATGGATAAAAGGTATTCTGAAGAGATTGAGGGTAGATGCCAAGTAATACCTATGAGAAGTCTGTTTCCTAGAGTTTACTACAAAAAAGTGAGTTTTAAAAAATAACTAATTCATTTCTCACATCCCAAAGAAACTGATCACTACCACAGAATTCTTCTTTTAAATAAACCTAGTTAGAGGGAAAAAAACAGCATGTATTCAATTCTTTATTTTCAAATATTTCTAGAACACAAAATCTTAAGCTCTTTTCTCTTTGGATTGAAGAACCAAGCTTTATTATCCTCCCCAATTTCAGCAATAAAGCAAAATAAAATAAAATAAAAAGTCATTTAGCATGAAACAGCATTCATCAGATGACAATTGTGAAAGCTATTTACTACTTGTTATGTGAAGCTTTATAAACTGAGTCATTTTGAAAATCAGCCTTCCAGTCTCAACATGCAAAGGAGAACAAAGAAGAATGAAATATATTTGTCCCCAATGAAAGAGAACCCAGTGATTAACTCCTGTCAAGCAGCAAATTTCAAAGATACTAAAGTGCTCTGGGGGAGGATAGAGACCTTAGAATTTTCAGTTCTTAATACACAGAAAATTTGGTTTAGAGGAGCAATAAAAAGAAATAGAAGTCATTTAAGCAGTACTACTGTAGTTTCACTCTAGAATATTAATTTACCTTAGAAGGTACTTAAGCCTAAAATGCTCTGTTCTACAAGTTCTTATGACCCAAAGCTGAGCAGGGAAAGCACTCTTCCTTGTGTACCACATACGGGAACACCCCCCATCCCATCTTCCCTTTGCCAGGACATTGACTTCTCTTTCTTTCAACTCTGCAAAATAGCCACCCCAAACCCTTTTCAAGAACTTTCTTTTCGCATAAATCAATACACTCTTCATCAGTCAGCATAATCCCTTTGCTACCTCTTTATTAGAAACTTAGTCAAATGCTGAATTTAGGTACAAAACTCTGAAGACTCTGTTGATTGCGTTTCTTCTATATTTTTGTAGGCTTTGGAATATAAGGACCATGTTTCCTCAACAAATGCACTGTGTAAGCATAAATGTACTTATTGAAAAAGCATGTAATCAGTTCTCAGGAAGAAATTTCAAAGTATCCTCGTGTGCCATTTGGCATATGAGCAGGTCTAGAATGAGGAAAAGGTACAAACCCCTGACAGCTGAACGGGCACAGACAGAAAAGAGTAAACACTAGTCATTAATTTCTTAATAGCAATTTTAACAGTAGAAAATGGGACAGAGGGGGATGTACCAGAGGCAACACCATAATCAGTCCACTTATATTGGAAACACATTGGGACTCATGGTAAAATTGAAGATACTGGGTGATTCTGAAACTATGCTTCCTATCAGCAAAATACACACACACACACACATACATACTCATTCACAAGCATGCTCTGTACTGAAAGTCTCTTAGCTGGCCTCATCCTCCTTGACTTCAATGCACTGTTTATGTTAGCTAGTCCTTTCTTCTTAAAACTCTGCTGCCACGTGGTTCTATTGCAGTTCTCCTCTAAAAGTTTTCTTTCCCTCTACCTGCTTCCTCTTCCTCTCCTTTAATTTCAGTCAGTCAAGTGCCTGGATGGCTTTTTTAACAGCGGCTAAACACTTCATCATTGTAATTTATCTGATTTTAAAAGATAATGCCAATAAAGGCCTCCTAATCATAAAGTCAGTTACAGATCTCTTCTCTGAATGCTCTTTGGCTGCCTTCTGTGCTACTTTGCAGGCCCCCAACCTTCCTAACTGACTTCTCCTCTTTTCTTTACTCTATTTTCCTCTCCCCCTTCTCCCTCCCTTTGCCTCCAAGCTGGCCAGAACTGCACGGGTACAGTGAGAACTTTTTGCCCTTAGTTTTACTCTGAAGTCATCCACTACACTTCCCTCTCACCTATTGCTGTGTACTGGTTTGACATGGTTTCAAAGACACTTGTTTATGACAAAAAAATAAAGTTTTTAAACGTTTAGTTTATTGATTATGCTGTTACAGTTGTCCCATTTTTTCCTCCCTTTTATCCCCGTCTGCCTTGCACCCCTCTCCCATCATCATCCTCCCCGCACCCCTGCCCCACCACCCTGTTTAGTTCATGCTCATGGGTCATACACATCAGTTCTTTGGCTTCTCCATTTCCCATACTATTCTTAACTTCCTCCTGTCTATTCCGTACCTGCCATTTATGCTTCTTATTCCCTGTATCTTTTTCCCCACTCTCCCCCTACCCTTCCCTGCAGATAACCCTCCATGTGATCTCCATTTCTGTGATTCTGTTCCTGTTCTAGTTGTTTGCTTAGTTTGTTTTTGTTTTTTAGGTTCAGTTGTTGACAGTTTTAAGTTTGTTGTCATTTTACTATTTGTAGTTTTGATTTTTTTAACCTTCTTTTTCAATTATAATTTATCTTGTATTAGTTTCAGGTGTAGAGCATAGAGGTTAGACAATCCATCCTTTACAAAGTCATCCCCCCAATATTTAAAGTACCCACTTGGTATTATTGATTGATTACATTCCCTATGCTGTACTTTAGATCCCTGTGACTATTTTGTAACTACCAATTCGTACTTCTTACTTCCTTCACTTTTTCACCCAGTATTCCAACACCTCTCCCATCTGGCAAGCATCAGTCTGTTCTCTGTGTCTATGAGTCTGTTTCTATTTTGTTTGTTCATTTATTTTGTTCTTTAGATTCCACATATAAGTGAAATCATCCGGGATTTGCCTTTCTCTGTCTGATTTGTTTTTAAGAGTTAAGTTGTTTTGATACAAGAGTGAAGTAAGATGTGTCAGGGTATCATCATCTCTTCTGTTGTCACTGGTAAGCACTCAGCACCTCGGCTGCTGCGGGGCACCACTGGGGACTTATCCATTAAAAAAAAAATATGAAGAAGCAACTACAGAAATGGAACATTTAGACTGTAAACACTGAGAGTTTGTGAGGACTACTCAAAAGTGTTTGGTTTGGGCAAGGCGACCTTATGCTGATCCAAAAGCTCTCCAAAGGTCTTTGGGGCATTAGCTCCCACATTGGTGAAAGCGACTCTTTTACCAGGGGTGGTGAAAGCTGTGCAGTGGCCCCTGGAAAGAGAACATCCTGCCAGCCAACACCAGCACCTCGAGCACAACAGTTCCCTAGCAATGTGCTCTAGCAACAAGGGACTTTCTGGGTTTATGTTTGGCAACTTCTCAGTTGGTTAAGTCACTTCTCAGTTGTTTTAAGCCATCCTTTCCAGAAAAGAAAGCCAACCTGGCAGAAAAGGTAGAGCACAACTAAATTTGGACTGTATTTCTTCATCTCCCATTGCCTTAAACAACAATGTGACTAATCTGTTATTGGTTTGGAGTGTGTCATTTCTTTACTGGTTTCTTAAGAGACCTTATCCTGTATGCTACTGGCTTGTGAAATTCCTGCAATAAACCTGTGTTAAGTAAACTGTTGGCAAAGGCAAATTCAGTCTTTGAGCATAATATGCCACCCAAACAAAACACCTACATATAAATTATTCCAAACCATATGTCTAGCCTTAGTATTAATAGCTCATCTGCAAACCACTGACGGACAATTCCTTTTGAATGTCCATCAGCATCTCTCAACAACTTACCCTTCATACAAAGCATTATTCCACAGAGTAGGCCAATGTTTCAGGAGACCTACAAGTCAAAATTGATTTTCCCTACCATTACCACTAAAAATCTCTTCTTTTTTTTATTCAATGTTACTTTCAATTGCCAACATGTTCCCAATATCACTTAGTCTACTTAATCGAATCTATCTTCTATACAATATCTCCTGCACACCATATTAAAGAATTTATATTTCATAAATTAATTTAACATGACCCTTCTACTGTTTTCTTTTCTCGTATTCATGAAAAGTGCTTGTACAAGCCTAAATTTGACTCAAAGTAATGGAAAAAATATAGAAATTGCCAAATAAAAATCCAAGACTGAAGGTAACAGTTCTAAAATTTAATTCACACACCAGGGGAATACAAGTGCAAGTAGGACTTACAAGGGAATGGTAAAGAGGGGAGAGCTGGGACGGATGCAATGATACCTCCAAAAGGCCATTTTCCCTGAGTTACCCCCTATCGTGGTTTCCAACCATTTTCCTATTATGAAACAGGTGTCAGTCATTCATGTACAAAGCATTCCAATGTGTATACTCATTTATGAATGAAGAAAAAATTATTACTAGAGCTTTTCAATAATTTACAGTCACTACCATATTGGTGCTGATACTGCTATTTTTATTTCAATGACCAATTTCTGTGAACTTTGTTCACATCAGGTGAATATAGGCATGAATGGAATAAGATCCAAATTATTTAAAAACACCTTATTCAGCACAGATATTGAAACCAAAGACAGAGCCTGCTGTGAAAAACAATACGGTTCCCCTATAAGCTGGCTGCACACTGGCCACGGGCACAGCACACCCACTGCTACAGGTTTTAGCAACACCTGGCAAGCTAGCTGCCGTTGCTGCCCTATTCCCCCCAAAGAAGCAAGAACAGGAAGCATACACTGAGACACACTCTGACTTGAATCTGTTCCATTTCATTGAAAGAGTAGATAATTCTCACTTGATTCATATATACTGCAGTGTATATAATAATGTGCTTGTGACACTAATAACATCAATGCTGAAAATGTTAATCTTCCACAAAATCATTTGTGACATTCATAGCACTATGTAATACAGTCCAACCTACTGAAAACAAAATATATCTTAGCTATTCCTTCTACTATAGCAAATACAATTATTTTACTATTCCCCAAAACTCCACCAAGCTCCATACCCTTGCTCATGCCATCTGGAGTACATTTTACATCTTCTCATTTATCTAATGTTTATGGAAAATTCAAGACCTTCTTCAATCCCCACATTCAAAAAGACTTCACTGATCGATGACTCATAATTCCTCTGTATCACTATACTTTCCTATATTTATCAGCCTTTTCATGTACACAGAGACTATACACTGTACTTCTTTTTATTCCCAGAAATATTGAAATAATACCTTACACATAGTAGGCACTAAAACAATTTTTGATAAATAACGTCATTCCCACACTCATATACCTCTAGGACATGAAATGTAACAAAGAAGAAATTACCTGATTCAATTAAATGCAAACAAAGCACTTCTAATGGATATTGTACAGTGGGATAGATGTTTATCATTCCTTCACAGGCCTTCTTCAACCTAGCAGTTTCATGAGGAAACTTGGAAATATAAAAGTAAAATAAACTAAGTAGCAGTAAAATATACTTCTGGACACTTTCCCATTTAGAATAGCAAACTCACATAGAGATTTTAAAAATCAACTTACTCTGGATAAACACTGAATGAAATGTCTATAAAGTACTTGATGATCCTCACTAGGAACCTTATCTGATAAGTCCAGTGCATTCTCGAAAGCAGTTAAAAGCTGAAACAAATAAACAAGAAACATATCATCTGTAACAAATTTAAATGACAATTCTAAAACAGTTGAGTGCATAAAATTCAAACAAACTACACTCAACTCATGGCAAATGCATTTTATTATATGGCCCTGATAATTTCAATGAAGAAAAACATGTATATGTAAGTTCTGGAATACATTCTGATTCCACTGGCCAGCAGACTGCAGTGAACTAATAAGGGATAACTATAAATTGGTGACATTAATTTAATAGAACAGTCTTGTAAGTCTGCTATTCCTCATAAAACAGTCAACCAGAGATGCAGAGTCTCATATGCCAATGCAGCTGCTACTGTTTGGGTTACTTTTGAGAGATCTCTTCCGAAATCACCAGCATGTTCTTTGGAACGTCTCTAACAGTACCAAATTCTCAATCTTAAGAATATATTTTGTGAAGTTAAGTTATACTTTTGGTAAAAGAAAACCAGAAATAAAATAAATTATTATATAATATCATTAACTGATACTATAGTTAGCTCTATAGGAAAACTCCAAAAGAGGACTTCTAAATATGTTTTGAGCCAGAACAGCAATACTAGAATCCAAAGCAAGCACTTTAAAGGATACCATTCATTTGGTTACTTAGGTTCTCCATTTTTAAAAAGATTTCCCATGACTATAATGAAAACTCATAATACAGTTCACCATCTCAAAATTTTCTTCATGAATTATGGTTAAAAAATCTATATAAATTAGCAAAATTTTACTGCTCTGATGGAGGAGGAGGAGGAAGAAAAGGAAGAGGAGGAGAAACCACTGCTGCCTAACTGCCCTGGCCAGTGTGGCTCAGTTGGCCGGACCATTGTCTTATAAACTGTTGTGGGTTCAATTCCTAGTCAGAGAACATGCCTGGGTTGCAAACCTGGTCTCAGGTGGGGTGCCTACAACAAGAAACCAATCAATGTTTTTCTCCCTTTCTCTCTCCCTCCCCTCCCCTCTCTTTAAAAATTAAAAGCACGTCCTCCATGTCCTTGGGAGAGGATTAAAAAAATAAAGGAAGTCTAACTTAAACAGCCAAGCACAAGGGGTTAAAAAAAAACAATGAAATTAATCTACATGAAAAATAGGCAATACATTTGTTTTCTGAACACACTTAAATAACAGAGTTATCATTAACAATCAAGGTGAAAGTAACCACCTTTGAAAACCCTTTTATAGTATTTTTAACTGGTAGAAGTCAATTTAAGGATAAATATAACTAATTCTCTTTCATGAAGAAGTATAGTACAGATAATTCATAGACATTTTACCTATTTTGGTATGTGTTTGATTTTCTGGTAACCTATACTATTTCAGGAAAATAATGAAGTCATAATACAAAGGTATAATTTAAGAGAACTTGGTAAATCATCTAATTTTGTCACTGATCAATTTTTTCCACAACTGAATGTATACCCAGATAAACCCACACACAAACAAATGCAAATCTTGTTCTCACATTCCTACCCCCAGTCCTCAGCACACTGCCTGACATTTAGCAGGCTCTTGATAAACATTTTCTGAATCAACAGACAAAAGAACAATACACAAAGGAATGAGCATCCCATCCTGTACAGAGCCTGTCGTTGCTTACATTTAAATTTCCATTCAATTTAGAAAGTATACACTTAGTGTCTATATACTATAATAAACTAAGTTCACTTTTAAACTTACAAATATTAAAAAGTAGGATAATGGAGATATTTCCTAATTACGGTTCAAAGGCCATGTTTTTAAAGTATTTTAAAAATTATTTACAATTACTTCAAAATCTGCACATTAAAAAGGACTATTTCTTTGAACTAGTACTCCAAATGGGAAAGACAAATAGCATATGATTTCACTCACATGTAGAATCTAATTAACAAACTGAACTAACAAGCAAAATAGAGGCAGACTCATAGACAGAGAGAGCAGGCTGACATCTCCGGGGTTGGGTGGGGGGCAGCGGGAAGGTTCGAGGGGTGGAGGGATCCAGCAGAAAGTGAAAAGGACTCATGGACTTGGATAACAGTGCGGTGACTGTGGGGGGGGGGTGGTGGATGTAGAAGAGGGTATAAGGGGGACAAATGGTAATGGGAAAAAATAATAAAAAATAAACTATTAAAAAAAGAATAAAGGAAAGTATAACAATATTCTCTAATGAAATAGAGAATATCAACTTCTTCCAGGAAAAAAAAATATATACTTTGAATATATATTAACATATATATACAAACATATATGAATATATATATACTTTAAATAAAATACTCTAGTTGAATTGTTAAACCTCAAAGTAATTTAGTACTCTCAGTTCATAAATAAAAGGAACATGTCTTTAAGGCACAACTTTTTAAAAATTATAGCAGTTTCATAAAGGCCAATTTCATAGTTGTTGTTTTTACAGTGAAAAAGTAACTGATCTCTTGTTGATTCTTAAGAGAATAGAATTCTGATGCCCTAAACACTAATTCCACTCTGTCCAGATTTAGTAAAGGACTATAGGCCAATAATTCTGACTATCAGGAAGATTATTTAAAACTGAACATTTATAAACTATTTATTCTGACATATAGTACTTTTCTATATTCTAAATATATCATTATGCTTCCATTTTCTAAATTCAGGGGAATAAACAGGCCAATACCAATTGCTGGGTCTCACTGTTCTCATCCTCAGCACTCTCAGCCAGCAACTGAGTCAACTTCCTCCACAGCTGATGAAGCTCGTGGTTGTCTGCACCTTGCCCTTGCCGTGTCTCTATCAACTTCTGCCATGTTTGGGCCACCTATCATGGAAATTGAAAATGTTATTTTATCTTAAATATTAAAAATGTCAATAAAGAAATAAAATCTGCAAATAAAATATTTTATCTGCTAATGCATAAAACTAACAAAAGCACAGAACTCCATCTATTATGAATGCCATAAAAACTAAGTTGATTGGGTGAGTCTACAGTCATTACATCACTAGCATGACTGGGCTGTCCTAACAGTCTTCATAACTCACAGCATCAGCTATGAGACACTACCAATAGGCTACTATATTCTACAGGTAATGCTTTTACTTATTTTATTTATTCCTGCAGTTTCAAAAAGGTTCAGAAATTATAATGCCTGAAATTTAAATTCTGATTTATAGTTTTCAAATCACTATAATTTGTATCATTCCTCTAAATTTTTTAAATTCCATATTACATAGCAATTTTAAAAATTTTTCCCTAAACGAAATGAAAGCTTTCTTCTAATGATGGTTTTATTAAAAAAAGTATACTGCCCCCAGAAAATCATTAACCAACCTCCACGTGTTTCTTTTCTTGGTAATACAGATCCACAAGTTTCTTACAGACATCACACCACTTCTGTTTGTCAACACTTAAAATAAAAAAAAGAATTTTGAATATGACTAATAAAAACAACCAAAGACTTAAAACACCAAAATTAAAATATCTCAATAATACTGTCAGGTACTATTTCAAATCAGAACATAGTACATCTTTCATAGTACAGTAAAATTTTATAAAATGAGACTCTCATAAAAAGTTTTAAGAAATATTATTTATCTTCCATTACATTGACTGAACATATCAAGGTTCCCAAATTAATCAATCCTCTTACCATCAGTATTTGATTTTGTACTCAGCACAATCAAGAGGTTCTGTTGTAACTGTGTAAAAGAAAACCGTTTCCCAATTCCTAGTAAATGTTTGAAGTACTTCTATGTAATTTTTATCCACTTTTCTAATTCATGCTTTTAAAGAAACTGGTCTTTCCCCACATATTGATTACCTTTCATAAAGGTCCAGGAGCTTTTTGTAAACACGAGGTAAGTCATCCTTAGCATTTATTTGATTACATTTCTCATACAGGTTTGCTAACCCCTAAAATAGGAAGTAATAGAGATTATTCTTCCAAAAATATCTAGTGTTCTTGCATCTATTTTGCAAAAGTAACAATGTATAAAGATTATTTATGTTAAAGATAAGTACAATTAATAAATATGTCTGAGATCTGCCTCCAAATAATTAGAGATGGAGGGAGTAGGTGAAAGCTTAGGTGAAAAAAAGTGGCTGTGAGAGGATTTTAACTGAAGCTGGATGGTGGATATAGAAGGGCTCATACATCTTTCCTTTTGAAAATATATTCGAAGTGTTTCACAATAAAAAACATATTTTAATGGTTATTATACAATCTTAACCCCTAAGATATTACCATATAATGCTATTTTTATATAGTGAAACAAACAAAAAATCCAAGTAGTCTGTAGAAATTGCCATTTTTGTTTCAATAAAGATCAGATATCCTCAATCAATCAGTACATAAAAAAGGCAACCATCTAAGTCAGCGATTTTCAACCAGTGTGCCACAGAATTTTTAAAACATGCAATACCTGACTCTCTAGTCAGGGGCACCAATCTCTTTTCTCTTAGACTGTCAAATAAAAAAAATGACAATAGCCAACACAACAGTCATCCAGAGTGAAGAAATCAAAATTATACCTATTTTTTTGTCAGATCAACAAAAAATGTATTTTTTGGTGTGCCACAGAATTTTATTAATTAGTTTGTGTGGCACGAGATGAGCGAGGTCAAAAACCACTGCTCTGAGTGTGTCCCCAGACACCCTCGTTCACATCCGTGGTCCAGTAACTCTGACACAGACCCACATTCCCCAGAGCCTGCGGCTTCCCTTCAATCACGGTTTCTCAGATGGGACTAAGGTGTGAAACGAAGTCATTAAATAAGAAACAGTTGGAGAAGCCAACTAAAAAACGTCAAGACCATTAAATAAAAAAGAAGAATTTAACTTGTACTCAAAGAATTGCAAATTTTTAACATTATTTTTAGAAAATACAATGTGCATTTATTTTCTCTTGGGTAAACATGAAGTATATTTACAATAACTCTTGCATATATGCACATATAATTGAGTTGGAGATTAACACAAACATGTTTCAATTCCATTCCTTATATTTGGAAATAATTCATTGGGTTGGAGGGTTAAATAGTGGTAAATGGCATCAGTGACACCACTTTATTTTAAAATTAACTTTCAGGTTTAGAAGACCAATAAATTAAAATTTTTTTCTCATGTGGGGTAAGTGGAGGTTTAAAATTTTAAAATATAAAGCTATTACCTATAATTTTTAAAATGGGGGGAAAAACTCTTCCCTATGAGGAAAAAATGTTACATACCTGCCAAGCTAGTAACTGGTCGGGCTCTAGTTCAGCAGCTTTCTTATAGGCGCCCTGGGCCTGCTCAGGTTGTTCTAGCTCGGCTGCCGCAACACCAATAAAAACCCAGGCATTGTAGTTATTTTTCTCTTGTTTTAACACTGTCTGATTAAAAAATTAAAAGAGAAGGTCATTAAATTTGGAAGTGATGGACAAACAACAAGAAAAGGCAGTCTACTTGAAGGTCTAAAAATCTGGATCCATCACTAACTGGACAATCTTAAAAATGCCACTTAACCTCTCTGGTTTTCAGTTTTCTCAGTGAGAGAGGGAGTTGGACTGGATCAGTAATTTTAAGAGGTCTGAAATATGAGGCATATTTTTTAAAAGGTGCCCAAGTAATAATGATGCCTCCACCAAACGCCTCTCCTGGCCCCTTGAGAATACTGGGTATGGAAAGAACAGTAAGGCAGTTCTTACCGCCCAACCGTCCTGCCTGCCTCCACTCCACAGTGCTACCAGTCAACTCACAAAACTGTTTGCCACAGCATTGCACTTTACCCAGCTCCCATATTTCTATTCACTATGATAACACTTCACCACATTAGACAGGTATTTTCATCAACATTATAGGCTAGGAAAGTAGACTGACCCCAACGTGACTGTACAAAATATGTTCCAATAAACAGTGGTGATGAATGTTTAAACAATACCTGCCAACTAGAACAAAAATTATATGCAGAACTATTACTTTAAAAAATAATAGCTGTTTGCTAAGGGAAAATAGTTTGAAACAGGAAGCAAAAATGTTTGAGTAAAAGAAAACAAAAGTAGTAGCTAAAGAGAAATCAGCTCTTAAGGTCTTATACATTCTAGAGGAAATAAGAACATTTCCACGAGTTGCACAAGTCAGATTATTAGGTTTACATGTATCCACATGACACTTCTAGCAATCTGTCCCCAACGTACAGCACAAATTCATTCTACCCAACGATGCTGCCTCCTAAGAAACTGATAAGAATGAGGTTAACTACCAGAGTTACGCTCCAAACACTGAGGCCTTATAATGCTTATGTCCCTCACACCAAGGACAGTGACTGGCATGTAGCTGCTGAGCAAATGCCACAGTCAACCTACAATCAGTAAGCACCTACTATCTGCCTATTGGACCACAGTTCCCAAATTCCAAACACACTTTTAAGGAAGTAATTACAACAATGTGATGAAAGCAGGTATCATGTTCTGAGAAAATATCAAGAGTGAAATGGTTTTATCCTAAATACTAAAAATGCCAATAAAGAAATAAAATCTGCAAGTAAAAATATTTCTATCTGCTAATACATAAAAATAGCAAAAGCACAGAACTCCATCTATTACAAATTCCATAAAAGCTAAGTTGTAAAAATAGTCACAGGGATGTAAAGTACAGCATAGAGAATATAATCACAGGATGTTATGTTATGAAATTAGTCACAGGGATGTAAAGTAAGCATAGGGAATGTAGTCAATAGTATTTTTTTTAAAATACATAACTTCAAACTCCATCTACACAAGCCAGAGAAGCCTTCCAAAAAAGGATGCTTATACCAAGTTATAAAGGCACACAGGCAGACAAAATGATAATCAGACAAGACACAGCAAATAAAGAGAGGCAACATTTCTTTATAGAAATTTTTATTTAGTCTCAGACAAATACCATATGATTTCACCTGTAAGTGGAACCTACTTAACAAAACAAACCGGCAAGCAAAATACAGCCAAGGATATTGAAACTGAAAGTAAAATGACAGTAGCCAGAGAGAAGGGGAGAGGGAAATAATGTGGGAAAGAAGGGAAAGGGACCCTTCTAAATGAACCCGTATGAGGGACCCACAGATGCAGCCAAGGCGGGGTGGGATTGAGGGTGGGAGGTGGGTGTGGGTAGGTCAGGGGAAAGTGATGGTGGGGAAAATGGAGACAACTGTATTCGAACATTAATTAAAAAAGGTAAGAAAAATTATTTTCAATGAACATTCTACATTACTACACATAAGTAATCACACTAATTCCCCTCCTCTGCTTTCTGGCTGGGTCCCTCCAGCATAAACTATGAACTACTTGGTGGAATTCACACTGGACCAGGAAGAAGACTGCTGTGGTCCTGCTGAACGGAACAATAAAATCAGACTCCGAGAAGCCTAGGGCCGAAAGAAAGAGACCCTGTCCCTCCCCCGACCCTGCGGCTCCCCCACAGTCCCCCACAGGCTCCCCCACAGTTCGAATGCAGTGCTCATCCTTCTTCTGTTTCAGAATTAGCTCCGTCATGGCCTCCATCCCTGCTGGGCTCAGTCACCACTAGAACCTAAACCTCACAAGGGCATCCTTTGCCCCTTGAGACTCTCACCCATTACTGAGGTGTATTTCCCCCGATCTAACCCAATTCCCTCCCTACCCCTCTCATAAACTCTTCACTGTGCCCTCCAGAACTCCCAATCTGGACCAGCCTGGTTTCCTCTACATTTTCAACCTTTTTTTTAACTGTACCAAGTTCTGCCTCAACCGAAACTTGGCTATTCTCCTACCGATCTTATATGCTGCAGCTGATTTCTCTCCTCTTCCATCCCATGTATCACAGGACCAGGAACTGAGGAAAGGGTTCTCCTTGCTCACACTGTCACCTACATTCCTCCTCTGCTCCTCTCTCCTTCATAAACCCCAGTACCGCTGAAGCTCAGCCATTCTACTATCCTACAAAAAAATCCTTCTTGCTACCACATTAACTTCTTAGGAACTCTCCTTTTCTTCAGTGAAAACTGTGTATACTTCCTCTCCACCTCAATCCCTGTAATCATACTAATATTCATGTGTAGACCCACCGAACATCGTGGCCTCTTAGCTACTTACCCTCATTGCTACTCAGCCACCAAAATCTGGATTGCCAGCACTCCCCTGTCCTATTCCCCCCCACCTTCCCACACCCCGCTAACACAATTCTTTACCCTTCGTCAGGTGTTAATTTTTGATGGCACCACCTTTTTTCTCTTTCACCCCTTTCTCAATTCTCATCCCTCCTTTCCCAGTTTAGACTCCCTGACCCATCACTGTCATCACTCCCTTGCAAACATCCTCAGCATCTTTGCCTCTCTATCCCCTCATCTTTCTTCATATCCATAGTTGAATTCCATCATGCCAAGTGGCCAAGTCTGAGAAGCTGAACACGAACAGAGAAATTACCCAGCTGAGTTCACAGACTTCACTTTAACATAAAACTTCCAATTAACATTCATTAAGGTCTGGCAATCCTTTCAATCCTTACTACTACTATACTTGTTTTCCCACCATGAACAAGAACTACTTCATACCTTTTTTCCTAAATGTATTCTTTTATTTAAGTATAGTTGGCATACAATATTATTTTGGTTATATTGATTAGTTTCAGGTGTACAATACAGTGATTTGACGTTTTTATGCCTTACAATGTGATTGCCTCACTAATTTTAGTAGTCATCTCTCACTGTATAAACCTGTCATAATATTATCGATGCTTATTTCATACCTCTTTTGTCTCAAACCTCCCACAGAACTCCTGTTTCACTCTCACTTGATACTTCACTAAGAAAACAGAAGCCATCAGAGGGGCTCACTCTCATCTTCCCACCCCTGAATCTCCCAACCTGAGCATACAGACCTGCATCTATCTTCCCTCCTTTCAAGATGGAAGAGGTATCACAGATCCTCCTCTTAAGCTCTGGATCCCATTATCTGTCTCACCTTCCCAAGGACTTCACTCCTACTACTACCTTCTATTTCTCCTGCACATTCAATCTCTCCTTCTGGACTGGAACATTCCCATCAGCATACAAAGGCACTTTAGCATCCACAAATCAAACAGAATTAAAATGTCAACATACTAAGAAAGAATGCAAGCTGTAAGATACAGTAACGTCCCACAGTAAACACGTCAAGAGATACCTAAGAGACATTCAAGTTTTAAGAACTTGGCTTTGATATGTTACCAATTCAGAGAAAGACAAAATTAAGTGTGACAGAAGTAGCTTATCCTAGCACAATAGCTCTGATCATTCTACTAAATAACCTTACCGCTTTCGTTATATTTAAACAAAAAATGATTTACTTATCATAAATTGGTAATGCTTACAAAGAAGTAACATACTTTTATGGTGGAAGAACAAACTATCAGTTACCTTACAATGTTTCAAAGCTTCTTTGTATTCTTTGTTCCTGATTGCATCCCGAGCACTTTTCAGTGCAGTCTTCACTTCCTTGCTGGACATTCTGTCAAAATGAAAAGTCCGACTGAATGTACAACAGTAACCTGCCTGACTGTAACAATTCCAGCAAACTTAACCGTCTTAAAAATGCACATGATTCCTTCTACTTGGAACACTCGTCTCCCCCTTAGTGTACACATTGCTTATCCCTCAGCTCTTCAGATTGTTACTCAGCTGTCACTTCCCCAGGGAAACCTTCACTGGCCGCCCTATTTAAAATGTCAACACTGCCTCGCCACACTCCCTACCACCCAGTATTCCCTTAACCCCTCCCTAACTCTGCATTTATTTTTCTTCACAGCATTTACCACTATCTTATACACTTATATTTTATATACTATATATTTTATTTATCTTACATATTACGTGTTCCCCAACCCCATTAGAACTTAATTTCTATGCAGGCATGGATTTTTGTCTGCTGTTATTCTTGCTTTTTTTACCTGCTGCTATATAGTCAGCACCTAGTATCTGACAAATTATATACATTAAAAAATATTTGTTGAAACTGAGTTGTATTTGAATTATACTCACTCTCTATATAGTAGGCTAAAACACAGATGATCTTATGGGCCAGGACCCAAAACACAAACCAATTTCGATCCAATTCTACACTAAGCAAGATTTAGTAGCATAAATCCAAGTCACAGAGTGTAAACACTAACACAAATAAATTTCATTAACTATATATAAAAGTTTAAGATTGCATTCTGTTTTTAAGCCAGTTTCTTTAATACATGAATCAGGATGTTAACTTTCTTCACAGTAAGAGTTATTGTAGGATTAGAGTAATATAGTATTCTTTGTTATGTAGTAATCTGTGAAAAGAAAAAATGCAATGTTTATACTTAAATGAAGGTGAATATGCAAGACGACTGTACACTAACTTCAGCCATAATAAGATATATCAGTTGGCAAAGTATTTCCATTTAATATAAAAATATATTATTTAATTTTAAGTAAACTAACATATCTTAAAATTTCACAACTTATTCTGGTTTACCAGTAAACAAGTCAAATTCAAGCACAACTTGATGTTGGAAAAAAAGGAACATTTCTATTTTTTGCCAACTCCATTGAACTCTATCATCATGAATGCAAACCAGAGCTGTATAAATATTAAGTCGTTACAGACTGCAGATGTTCAAGGCCGCAAAATGAACTAAGAAGATGGCTCACTGACATAGTACACAAACCATCCTTTAAATCCAAATGAGGCTGAGGTAGAAGTACAAGATCAAAGAAGTTACTGAATTTTTTAAAAAATTCTTTTGACTTAAAGAATGTTAGATTAAAAATATAAAAATTAAGATATCATAAAATCAATTTATCTGTAGCCAGAACCAGATTCCCCAAAATTAGCATAAAAGTGACTTTTTGCCTAGTTACAATAATTACATAAATATAGCAACATATTTCACATGCTGTTATTTTAGAAACTGTCTTCATACCTGAAATTATCTTGGTGTAAATTTATAGCTGCAAACCTCAGAGTGATTTTTCCTGTAGTCTACAAATCTAGATTGGAGCAGGCAACAAATTTTAATGCTCATTTCAACTTAAGATTTTTCATGCCGAAGTTATCTTTGGTGGCTAAACCTGCAGATGAAAAAGAAGAGAACACCAATGATGACGACAACTCATCTAGACCACCAGAAAGGGATAAAAAGACATCCAAGGAAGAAAAATCAAGAGTACCAGTTTAAAAAGAACAAAAACAGTTTCAAGTTAAGACCAAGCAACAACAAACAAAAAAGCAACTTTTCCAGAGCAAAGCTCACCATCTTTTCTATCACCTGACATAGGAATGGAAGAACATCTGAGCAAGGCAGAATGAACAGACATTAACACTCCCAAGCTATACACAGCATTTGGCATAAAAGAAATAGAAGAGAGGTCCTCTGCTCTTAGTAATATAATCTAAATCAAGAGAAAGGCCTAAAGCATTGAGTCATTTAGTGAATCAAATGCTGAATTGGAGATGAGTGCACACGCAATAGGAATCCAGGGAAGTGTGGTGTAAAATAACAGCTACTAGATGGAGAAGACAGGATTTAAGAAAGGAGGGAAGAAGGAGAATTACTCCAGTCAGAGGCAGCTGCATTAGCGAAGTCAGAGAGAGAGCAAAGAATGCGGCATGTGTAGGACACAGCAAGAAAACCAGGCTGCATGGAACAGAAGGGACTTGAGAACAGAAGAGAATTAGGCTGGGCAGGTGAAGTAGAGCACCAGATTACAGAAGACCTTCAAAGTCAGACAGACAAGTTTAGACTTAAAGATAGCAGCACACACGGAGCTGTGAAATGCTTCTATGCAAGCTATTTTTCAAGGCCACTAGCAACAAACTCCATTCTTCTCTTGATAACCATTGTAATGGTCAATATCTTTCTATATCTCTATATATCTCTGTATGTAATTACAATTACTCATGTGATTACAATTACTCTTGCTTTGGTGGAATCCTCTAATTTGCTCTTCCAATTCTTTTTTCATTAATTTGTCATTTAAGATAATAAGATAGCATTGAGGCTTCTTCACCTAAAATAAATAATCATTATGTCCCCCCCCCACACACACAAGTTTTATGTATTTTTTTCTTTCTCATGCAGAAACCATCTGGAATCTGGTTTTATGCAATTTTTCAAAAGACAAAAAATTTTTCCTACTTTCTATCCCTGAACACATTTTCCTCTTTTAGAGAGGTGGGGTAGAGAAGGGAGAGGCTCATTCATGCACTTCCTAAACAAAAGTTTACTGAACACTAACCATCTACTAGGCACCATCAAAACCCCTTTCCTGTCACAGAGTAAAAACCTCCTATCAAACATGATTCCTCCATATTCTTCTATGTGGGATACTTCCCTCCATTCCCAGCATTTCTTCTAGCACTTTAAAGAAAAATTTAGTTCTTTTACAAATGTCTAATCTTCTTCCTCAGTCCTGCACACTTCCCCCTTATATCTCTTCTCCTATATTTTTCTCTTAAGTCTCAACTGACTTTTTAAAATAAGAGCATTCATTTTGCACATTCTCACTCCCCAAAAAGTTTTCTACTTCCAACCTAAAAGATTTTAATTCAATGTATCAAGCATAAAAAGTAGCAACAGCACTTTAAAAAAGTCAGAAAATGACGACCGTGCCAATAAGACAGTAACATACCTCAAAACTAATAATATGTATAGATGGAATAATGTATCCTATGTACCCCACCTAAAGCCATGGAACCTTAAGCTGCCTTCAGTTGTGCAGATGCAAAGATTCCACAAAGCAAGAATAATAATCATAACAACAATAATTATAAATAACAGTAACAGTGGCAATAAAGGTTAATTACAGAAAAGCGAAAAATTATAACTTTAAATCTAATACAAGAGTCTAAAAGTATCTTGTCATGACCTTTCTTCTGAACATAATCAGTAAAAACAATCATTAAGTAAAAGTAGACCCCAATTACCTATTATTGAGCATTCTAGACACCTTTTATCTATTATATCTATCTCTATCTTCTTTTTGAATGGAATTTCAGATTGTTCCTCAACCATTATTCATGTAAATTAAGGAAAATATGAGACAGGCACATAAAAAGAATGACATACATAATCCAAAACCTGAATGCATTGAAAGTCTTCAAACAAAATTCACTGAAGCGGAACGCAGCCTCTCACAACACCACCAGTTGGTGCACTGATACAGATGGGTCCCTAGAGGATGAGTTCCTAGAACACTCACTTAGTGGGGGAGACCTGTACTACAAGGGGCCCACCCTCCAGAAAATAATTCCAGTTTTAGGAGGATCCCCCCTTGTATGTTACTACGAAACACTTACTTCAGGGAACATTAACATTCTGAAGCACACTACCATTCTCCAAAGTACAACCAGCATATTCTGGTTTTGGGTTTTTTGTTTGATAATAACTATACTTTTCAATACCTTGTACACTGCTATTAAATTTACAAGGGTGTGTGTTTGTTTCCCACAACTAGCTTGGAAGTCCCTGAGGAGCAAAGACTATTTATGCTACTCTTAGTTCCTAGTGCCTGGTACATTGAGATATTCAACAAATATTCACAAATTCACTGCAGGTGAAAACAACACTGAATTTATTTCATACAGTCACTAACTGCACAATTAGCCTCTTTTTTGTAAGACAGAATAGAGGGTGGATCAAAAGCAGGTTTACAGTTGCTCATGTGGAAAATAATATAAGAATTAATAAATAGTAATACAAGAATAAACTGTTTCATGTACTCACAACTGTAAACCTACCTTTGCCCCGTGCTTTATAATGTTGCTGGTATTTGCTATTAAAAGAACTACGAAGAACCAAAACCTAGACCAAGGCCTTCAGCTGAAGTCTTTGATGAACTGCAGAGTTAAGTATTTCACTAAAGCAAACAATCCCTAACAAACAAATCTGTAACTGATGACCTAAAGACACATGTAACAGAACCCCTACCCTCACTGCAACACACATATGCATACATATACACAGAAAAAAGATGCATACTCACACCTCAAAAGTTCCTTTTCTGATTAAGTTACTGATTAACAAAAATGCTCTATATGCAGAAGAGAGTGATCAAAATAATGAAGAACCTGAAATTGTATAATAACAGTTGAAGGACTTGGGGAAGGCCTCCAGTGGGGTGAGAGGGACTTGTGAGGAAAAGGTGAGAAGGGTAGTTAAGAGGGCAGATTATTCGTGTAAAAAAAAGACAAAAAGTAGAGAAAAGCTGACTTCAGCTCCAAGTAAGAACTTTTAATAATCAGACTAGTACAAATGTGGAATAGATGCTCATAGGAAGTGTGTTTCCCATCACTAAAGAAGAAAAGGCAAAGACTGGACAACCCACTGGCAGGAATATTGTAGGACAAACTGAATGTCAGATGAGAAGCTGGACTAGAAGCCTCTTAGAATCTTCCAGCACTACCTCTCAGGGGGCCTAAGATCATCTTGCTCCAACCCAATGCAGCAGCTGCTCCTACAGACACTGTCGAGGGGGAGAGAGAGGAAGAAAAAAGATGTATTTCTGTCATCCTGACCAGGAATTCAGAATACATGTCCTGTGAAAACAAGGCCACAGAGAGGAAATGCAGCTCACAGAATCAGTACTGTACCACAGATGGAGTTGAACACATCTTTGAAGAATGGAGATGTCAATCAGCATTGTTTCTATCATAAAATGTGTTCTACATTCCAAATTAACTCATACAAACTTTTAAAATTCATCTTGTTCATGAAAGAGCCTACCTGTATTACCTTCCATGCTGTACTATTATTTCATGTTTGTTTCCCTAGTGTAAGTTGCTTGTAGCCAAGGAGTATTGCTTATGTATTTGTATTCACCACAGATCTTTGGCATGCTGTTTCAGTTAATACACCTGCTTCACTAACAGAGAGTAAGCTCAGTAGAATATCATGAAATTTGGTAATTAATTAGAGACAGTATAAGCAGTGAGTTAGGGCACAGATAATCAAGTCCTACTCAGACTGGCTCCCTGTGTTACTAATTTAACCTTTTCAAGCCTCAGTTTTCCCATCTGCAAAATGGTGAAAGTAAGGATTATGGAAAATATTCCACGTAAAAGTACTTGTCACACAGTAAATGCTCAATAAATGGTTTGTATAATCTTCAGTATGAAATAAGTGTTATATGAATATTAATTAAGGTCTGTCCCTTATTACAATTAGTTTATGTAAAAACACTATCAAACAGTAGTATTAAGAGTTGATTATATATTAAATAAATACTGCAACTCCTCCTTTTCCTGTCAAAATATTAAAATGACTAATATCATGTGCAAATTATATACCTGCAACTGTGATAATGAAGTCAGGAATTTGGCCCTGGGACAGATATCTGCTTCTTCCGGATTTCTCCAAAGGAGTTCAACAGTCAAGGCCCTGTGATTTTTCTGCAGCAAAACAATGGGTTCTGAACCTACGTCAATTAATCGAACACGTCACACAGCCCAATATATCTTCCTCTGGGAGACTGTCCGTTTCTCTGCTTTACACTTTGAAAGCAAGATGCGTCTGCCTAGAATCTGAAACTTCACGGACCAGGCCCCGCTCCTCACCCCACGAGAGTACAATAAATTCTAACTGCACCGGCAAAAGTGGGAATGAGATGAGGCAGGCTGCAAATTCCCTTGGAGAAATGTATTCGAAGGGGCTCCACCGTATCCACACAGCACCTGTGCGGGTCCTGCCAGAGGCCTCCCCAGTAACCACCAATCCAACTTAAGTGACAGACGCGCCGCCACCTCACCACTGCCCACTTCTCGGTCCCGCCTACTGCTCAACCACGCTCATTCAGCGCAATATGAGCACCCCCAGCCCCTGATCCTTTCTCTCATTAGGTTTTCATTTCAATCACTTCAACTGCCTACCAACTTCCACTTCTGCAAAAGCCACAGTGACCCGAACTCACCTGGGACAGATGCTTCTATAAACCCGTATACAGTCAGAGCGCAAGCGTGTTTCCCAGGCATCGCTCACGTGACTGGAACTGGGTGGTTCTCAGTGTGTTCGGTATTTGATTAAAAGGTCTTAACGTGAATTAAGGCCTGGGGAGTCCAGCTTTGCGCAAGTTCTCACTCTGATCCTGATGGGAGTTGTAGTTCTGAGGGTGAAACGCTAGGAGGAAACCAAATTGCCACCTCTGCTATCCCCGCCCACCTCTTCCCGGGAAGGTTGCGGGTGGTCGGAGGCAGGTCTTGCGCCCGGGGGCGGGGCTCTCCGTACTCCCCACGATGCTGCTGCTGTGCGTGTGGATGGTCGCAGCCTCCGCGCTGGCAGTGCCAGCTCCCGGGACCAGTGGGAAGTGGCGGGGAGCGGTTCAGGCTTGGCCCGAAGAGCCTAATGTGGTGCTAGTTGTGAGTGATTCCTTTGTAAGTACTTAGAGACCGCGGGAGCGGGAGGGAGCGAGAGGAGGGAGGCGGTGCTACAGTCCTGATACGCTATCCGCCCACAGCCTTTACTGTGCTTGCAGGCTTCGGGAAGCAGAATCTGAAACTTTTCAAACATGTTTTACCCCGATGCAAGGTAAGAAGTGCATTTTATCTTGAGGCCCCATATACACACACGCGTACACCACATAAATATGCATGTCATACATGTAAGACAATATTTTAGTAAATAAAGTGCACTCTGATAGCGTCTTTGCAAATCTTTTTTATATTTTATTGCTAGCCTCGATGCACTAAATTATTTTACCACAGTTATTGAACGGTCAGTCCATATCCCCGTTTTATTTAATAGTGGAGGGAAAATCACATTCTGCATCTCCATAAAAGCTTGTTAGTTTTCTAGTGATCATTTCCCAGTTCACCTCAGGTTTGCAGGAATTTGTGTTTGGGTGAGAAGTGAAGAAAATTAAACTTATTTTTATTACCCAGGAATCGGATCATCCTATTAGTGATGATGTAAATGCATTAGTTGATTTAATGCGATCCATTCCCTGATATTCCAGGAAAATTGTGTGTGTGTTGTCCTAACCTTGAACAGTTTTTAGAACTTTCCCAAGCCATCAAACAAAAGAATACTGCTGTCAATATTACCTGATACTTTTAGTGTTATCCACGATTTTAAAATTAATGCTTAGACAGATGTTTGGTTACTAATTATAACATTAGTTTATTATCACAGGGTGTTAGTGTGCTCATGTATATAGTTGGTGTTGAGTGTGTCTGGCACCAGAGTGCCTTTAATCGCAATGTTGTATTGCCTTTCTTACAGACTAAGCCCTGATGATTCAAGCTACATAATCTGGGTATCCCCTCAGGATTTGTTGAGATTACTAAAAGTAATATGAATATTTAGTAATTTTGTGATTATCTAAACTTACAGAACAGGCAATGTTGGAGAGTAATATGAAAGAGTCAATCAGGGGGTGCTTACATTAAATCAAAGGGAAAGGAAAGAACCAGGACTGTGCAGAGAAAGAAGCTGAATTTTGTTGCTGTGTCAGTGGAGGCCTCCGCTGACCTTAAGGGTAGTTCTCATACTAGTATGATGCTTCAGACCTGATTCCAGTTGAGGTGAGGGGCCAGGCCTTTGTACCCTCATGTCGAATGGCCATTAGTTAAGAGCTGCCCCCAGAATGGGGCATGATCATGGGCAAGGCAACTCTCTTCAGCAGAGGCAATCTTTCATTTCTAAAATGGAATGTGGGTGGTATATCATAACATCCTAGAAATTCCCAAAGATGACTGAAATAATTAGTTTATTATTTTCTTAGTATAGTAAGAAAACATAGGTTTTTATATATTGGTGTATATAAAAACATGATGTTGTGTACAGACTAATATCTCTTAAGAATATAGAAGCAAAGATCCTGAACAAAATACCAGAAAATTAAATTCAGCAATATGTAAAAAGTATTATACACTGTGACTGCATGGGATTTATCCCCAGACTGTAAGGTAGGTTTAATATCTGAAAATTAGTTAATGTAATACACCATGTTAATTGAATAAAGGGCAAAAACCACATAATCTTCTCAACATATGCAGAAAGAGCTTCTGACAAAATTCAACAGTGCTTCATGATAAAAGCACTCAACCAACTAGAAATAGAAGATAATTTCCTCAATCTGATAAAGGGCATCTGCTAAAAAGCCACAGCTAATATTACACATAACTGTAGAAAACAATGTTTTCTTTGTAAGATCAGGAACAAGACAAGGAAATCTGTTCTTACTGTGTCTATTCAATATTATACTGGAGAGTTTAGGCAGGAAATTTGACAAGAAAATGAAATAAAGGACATCGAGATTGGAAAGGAAGAAGTAAAAGTATCTCTATTTTGCAGATAACATAGTCTTATATATAGAAAATCCTAGGGAATCTTTAAAGCTATTAGAACTAATGAGTAAGTTTAGCAAGACTGTAGGATATAAGATCAATATAAAAAACTAATTGTATTTCTCCCTGGCTGGTGGCTCAGTGTATTGAATGCTGGCCTGAGAACCAAAGGGTCATCAGTTCGATTCCCGGTCAGAGCACATGCCTGGATTTTGAGCCAGGTCCCCAACAGAGGGTGCATGAGAGGCAACCACACATTGATGCTTCTCTCCGTTTTTCCCTCTCTTCCCCTCTGTCTAAAAATAAATAAATAAAATCTTTTAAAAAACCACAATTATATTTCTACACACTTGATTGATGAACAAATTGAAAATATAATTAAGAAAATAATTATATTTAAAATAGCATCAAAGAGATTGAAATAGGAATATATCTAACCAAGAAAGTACAATTTTTATACTCTGAAAACTGCAAAAGAAATTAAAGAACACCTAAATAAAGGGAAAGACATCTCATGTTTATGGATCAGAAGATTTAATATTGTTAATAAGGTAACAATCATCCAGTTGATCTACAGATTTAATACAATCTCTGTAAAAATTCATATGATGTCTTTGCAGAAATAGAGAAACTAATCCTAAAATTCACATGGAAATTCAAGGGTCCTAAAATAATCAAGACAATCTTTTAAAAGAACAAAGTTGGAGGACTTACACTTTCTAATTTCATAGCTTACTAGAAACTACAGTAATCAAGTTAGTGTTTTACTGGCATAAATATAGATAGACTTATAGATCAATGGAACAGAATTGATAGTACAGAAATAAACTCTCACTTTTATAGTTGATTGATTTTCAGCAAAGGTGCCAAGATTATTTAACAGAGAAAGAGTAGTCTTTTCAATAAAACTGCTGGGAAAACTAAATAACATTATGCAAAAGAATTAAGTTGGACCCTGCATCACAACATTTTAAAAAACTAACTCAAAGTGAATCAATGAATCAAACATAAAAGCTAAAACTATAAAACTTTTAGAAGAAAATATAGGTGCAAATCTTTGTGATTTTGGATTAGGCAATTTTAAAAATGGGCAAAAGATCTAAATAGACATATCTCTAACTAAGATATACAAATGGCCAATAAGCACATGAAAAGATACTCAACATTGTTAACCATTAGGGAAATGCACATCAAAACCACAATGAGACACCAGTTCACATCTACCACGACCAAGCGGGCTACAGTCAAAAAGACACAATAACTAGAGTTGTCAAGGGTACAGGGGAATTGGACTGCTCACACATTCCAGCAGGAATGTACAAGGGTGCAGCCACTTTGCAAAAACGTTTAGCAATTCCTGAAATGGTTAAACATGAGTTACTCTATGACCCAACAATTCTACTTCTAGGTACATATCCAAGAGAAGGGAACATATATGTCCACACAAAAACTTGTACATGAAATTATATATAATACTTACCGATAGTGGAAACAACCCAAATATCCATCAACTGATAAATAGATTTTTAAGTTTAGTAATATTATTCAACAATAAAAAGTAAATGTGGTTCTGATACATGCTGCAATGTGATGAACCTAGAACTCATTAAGCTAAGTGAAAGAAGCTGGTCACAAAGAACCACCTATTGTATAATTCCATTTCCAAGAAATGTCTGGAGAAAGCAACTCCGTAGAGACAGAAAGCAGAAATGAAAGATTTGCATTTGCCTATGGTTTGGGGCATGGGGGTGAGGTGGGAGGCTGATGGCTAAGGAGTGCAGGGTTTCTTTTTAGAATGATGAAAATGTTCTAAAATCGATTGTGGTGATTGTTGCACAACTCTCTGAATATACAGAAAACCACTGACTTGTAGACATTAAGTGGGTGAGTTGTATGGTTTGTGAATTATATCTTAAACTTGTTTTTTAAAAAGAAAATCAGTGCCAGCCTGGGTCTTCAAGGACATAAGCATCATCTCTCTCTGTCCTCCCATTGCCGTATTTCATTAGTTTTAGCTTTGATGAGGTTTCAAGGAGTGGGGTGCAGGTCAGGAGTGTACACCATAGAATCTAGTAAGAATCTCACCAATCTGATGAACCGATCTGAGAACAACACTATTAACAGCCTTGCTGTGACAACAGAGTTACTGTTACATTCTGTCCTTAAAATGATGCCTTGAAATCTAAACTTCACCGGTTTTCCCTAGTCCTGAGGAACTGAGTACCAAGTCATGATTCTAAAAGGAGCAATCCAAATCACAAGTCCCACAGGCTCGGTTCAAACCGGTGTAACTATTGCTACAAATGTCAGGTTAAAATCCATGTGAGCACTTTCTAGATTCATTTCTGGGACTGGTACAAGGCCTTCATCTCTTTAAAGCAGGAGTAGAAAGCAGGAGTCTAAATTACAGAGCCGCAGGGACGGCAAGAGGGAGAGGGATGACTGCCTCATTTGGGGAAGTTTCCAACTTGGAATGTGTGAGAGGTGGTCTATGTCAGGATTACTGACTGAAATTTACAAGGCACTCAATAAATATTTGGTGAGTGAAGTGAAACGAATCTTTAATCCAGAGATGTTCAATTTACAAAAGACAAATGTAATATGTTTGTAAATGAACTGTATTTTTGCAAAGCTTAATACAACTGGATTAAGTATGTCTGTGGCAAGATTTGCATTTGATTGGGTTCTTAGGAATTCACATTATGCGTCACACACTCTCAATGTCAAAAGCATGCCAATAATAGTCTAAATGAAGCTCAAACTTGTAAAAGAATTTGAACTGTACAGCATCACTGTGCTTCTGCCGTGTGGCCTACTCTGTCCCTCCAACCAGATAAGCCTATGTTTCCTAGATTCAAAACAGTGGCCAGAAATGGTTATTATCCCTCATGTACAAAAGATTGTAAAAATCAGACATGCAGGCATTTGGGATTTGTGAGGATAGGTTCCTGTGAGTTTGAATTTATGAAATTCTGAGGGGAGAATATGCAATTTTGTCTTGGGCTTCCTAGCTCATCATTCAGGAAATTAGTAGTGTTTGCTTAGCCTTCAGTGATTACTCCTAGATGTGGTGGTTTATTTCTGCATACAACCATGCTCTAATTCTTCCCATCTTAAAAAGAACCTGACCTTAATTCTAGATTCTCCTCTAGCTAACACTCCGTTCTCTAACAGCCATACCATTTTTCTGTTTCCCTTTGCAAAATAACTCATTAGAAAATGAGTTGCTTCACTTTCTCACCTCCCATTGTTTTTTCCCCTTTCTAGTTTTGTTGTGCATCCCTGCCACTCCGTTGAGAGTGCTCTTGTCAAGGTCACCAACTCTCTCCATACTACCAATTCCAGTGTGCATTTTCCAGCCTAATTTCAGGTACCCTCTCAACACAGCTGACACATCCCCTCTCTTGACATACTGTCTTCTCTCAGCTTTCGTGAGACCTGGTCCCCTGATACCTTCCTCCCTCACTGGCCATTCTTTCTCAGTTTCCCTTGCTGCCTTTTCTCCTTACTTAGGAATCCTCAGGGCTCCTAGTGGATTTCTTTCTTTCCTCTTTTTGCTCTCTCCTTAAAAGTTTTCATTCAGTCTTATAGTTTTCAGTACTCTGATTATGCTAAAGGCACTCTAGTTTATTACACCAGCATAGACTTCTCTGACCTCCAGAATCCTGCCTGTAACTAACATCCTACTTTATATATTCATTTGGAAATTTTATACATCTCAAGGGTGTGTGTGTGTGTGTGTGTGTGTATCTCCATCCCAGATTTTGGATGGGTTTATGGTTTAAACTGTTCTTTACTTATAATTATATTGAAAACATATAATACATATAATTCCAGGACTAGAATATTCTCTTTTTCTCTCTTTGCTTTTTACCAAGGAGAGTTCTTCAATTCCCAGTTCAATCCCAAAATGCCTGTCTCCAGCCCAAACATCTCTTCTAACTTTCAGACTCATTTATCTAGCTGCTTAATTATTACCTCCACTTATGTCTTACAGGTGTCTCTAACTTTACATGCCCCTTAAATTATTTGAATACCTGGGTCATTCTCATTATTAGGTCTCTTCCTTTCCAGAGAAGCCTTCCCTGTCCATTCAATCTAAAGTAGGTCACATTTGTTATTCTATATCTCAGGTTTTTTGCAAGTTATGTATCACAATTTGTAATTGTCTTATTTTATTTACCAGTATACTTTTTGTCTCCCCCACTAGACTAAGCTTCAAAGGCCCCGGGGACTCTATTTTATCTCCAGATTGTATCTCCAGGTCTTTCACAGTGCCTGGCACTTAGTAAATACTCAATAAATGTTGGTTCAATCAGTCCATCATCCCCCAAAAGAACTTTCCAGACAGTCCCTTAATTTATTTACTATATTCCAGTGAATCTAAGTGTAATGCTGCATTGAATTCTCAATATAATGAGCCAGATACTGATATCACTATCTGTACTTTTTTTTATCTTTTGAGGATTTTAAGGTCATGTTGAAGTCTTTTGATGCTTATAAATTTTATGGTTAGAATTCAAGGAAATAATTTGCTTTCGTGCAATGCAGTCAGTATTAATTAAATTTCTTTATTCCAGGATGGAAGGCTAACATTGTATCCAGGAAATCAGGTAGTGAAACTTCCTTTTATCAACTTCATGAAAGCACATGGCACTTCCTTTCTGAATGCCTACACAAACTCTCCCATCTGTTGCCCATCACGTGCAGGTATGAACATGCTTAATATTAATGGAGGGAAGTGGCCACATACTGAAAATGATTTTACAATTTAAAAGATTGTCCCCAAAAGTAATACAGTAATCCCCAAAAGTAATACAGTAAGTCATATTTGGCATCTAATAAAAAAATTTTTAATGATGGGAGGTTTAAGGTATCTATTGGGTATTGGTGTTATTAGAATTTCTAATTTATTTTTCCAGAATAGGGATTTTTTATCATTTAAAATAGTGTTTAGTTTCAGTGTTACTATTTCATTTCCTTATGATTGGTGACTAACAATCTTTTGACCATACAAACAAATCAGAAAATATTTGTATTTTTTGAAAGAGTTCTATTTCCAAGGAATGTTTCAGGAAGAATACAGGGAGTTGGGAGGGAACTTTATAGGATACCACAAAGCAGTTAGAACTTGTCAGGTTTATCCAATGTTGTCCATGTTATTTCATGTTACATACCTTATCTGTCTTCAGGCTCAATTTACTTCTATCCCGACCCTAATCATTTTTATTATAGTAATTTAACAAGTAGGCATAGTTTGAATGGCAAAATGTCTGTGACATTAAGCCATGTATAACTGAGAAATGGAAAAACTACTATTGTTATAAATTGTCTCTTGCTTTGGACCCTATAAATAACACTCAGCAATTTGCTTGTGCCTCTAAGTTTCCAGCATGATATTTTCTGTGAGTTGTCACAAGTTTCTTCACCTACATCTTCAGCACTGTCAACTATATAATCACCAATGATTAAAGGAAATCTGAACTATATTTTAAATTATATATCAATGATTAAGGACTAGGCGCCATTTTGTTAGTTTTTTATTTTTTTAATATATTTTATTGATTATGCTATTACAGTTGTCCCATTTCTTCACTCCCCTCTACCCTGTACACCCTCTCCCACCCACTTCCCCCGCTTTAGTTCATGTCCATGTGTCATGCTTATAAGTTCTTTAGCTTCTACATTTCTCATACTATTCTTACCCTCCCCCTGTCTATTTTCTACCTACAATCTATGCTACTTATTCTCTGTATCTTTTCCCCCTCTCTCCTCCTCCCACTCCCCTGTTGCTAACCCTCCATGTGATCTACATTTCTGTGGTTCTGTTCCTGTTCTAGTTGTTTGCTTAGTTTCTTTTGTTTTTGCTTTAGGTGTGGTTGTTAATAATTGTGAGTTTGCTGTCCTTTTACTATACATGTTTTTTTTTAAATTTTCTTTTGTTAGATAAGTCCCTTTAACATTTCATAAAATAAGGGCTTGGTGATGATGAACTCCTTTAACTTGACCTTATCTGAGAAGCACTTTATCTGCCCTTCCATTCAAAATGAAAGCTTTGCTGGATAGAGTAATCTGGGATATAGGTCCTTGTCTTTCATGACTTGGAATACTTCTTTCCAGCCCCTTCTGGCCTGTAAGTTCTCTTTTGAGAAATCAGCTGACAGTCTGATGGAGACTCCTTTGTAGGTTACTGTCCCCTTATCTCTTACTGCTTCTAGGATTCTCTCCTTCATTTTTACCTTGGCTAATGTAATTATGATGTGCCTTGGTGTGTTTCTTCTTGGGTCCAACTTCTTTGGGACTCTCTGAGCTTCCTGGACTTCCTGGAAGTCTATTTCCTTTGACAGAATGGGGAAGTTCTCCTTTATTATTTGTTCAAATACGTTTTCAATCTGTTGCTCTTCCCCTTCCAGTACCCCTATAATTTGGATGTTGGAATGTTTAAAGATGTCCTGGAGGTTCCTAAGCTTCTCCTCGTTTTTCTGAATTCTAATTTCTCCATTCTTTCCTGTTTGGTTGTTTCTTTCTTCCTTCTGGTCCACCCTATTGTTTTGAGTCCCAGTTTCCTTCCCATCACTATTGGTTCCCTGTGCATTTTTCTTCATTTCTTTTATGGTAACCTGCATTTGTTCATCTGATTTGCGACAATCAACCAGTTCTGTGAGCTTCCTGATCACCAGTGTTTTGAACTGTGCATCTGATAAGTTAGCTATTTCTTGATTGCTCAAAAGGATGAGTTCTGGGGCACTGATTTGTTCTTCTGTTTGAGCCATCTCTCTCTCTGCTTTTTTTTTTGGGGGGGTGGTCTGGTTGCTCCTGTTACAGTGAGGGGCGGAGCCTTAGGTGTTCACCAGGGCCTGGCACTCCAGTCTCTAGATTGTGACGTTGTATGTGAGGGTGGGGTCGAGAGGGAACGATGGCGGTAGCTCCGTTCTCCATGGGACCTCAGTCCCTTCCCTGGGATCCTGGGTTGTGCACTCTGCCCTGCTCCACAATCGCTGTCTCACTGGGTCTGCCAGTTGCCGCTTGCATACTCAGGGTCCACCCGCTGCGATCTTGCGTGCCCCAGATGCCTTACGCGCTCCCAGTTGCCTTATGTGCCCAACTCTCCCTGTTCTCCACACTGCAACTGTGCCCAGCTGCTCATCTCCGCCCCTCCTATTGGTCTGGATGAACGGGTCCATTTCAACTTCCTGGCTGTTCGACTTCCATTCAGATAAATTTTCTGTCAGTTCTGGGTGTTATTCTGCCTCTAAATTGTTGTTGTTCCAATCTTGGTTGTGTGTGGAGGAACAGTGCATCCACCTATGCCTCCATCTTGGCCAAAAGTCCAGTTTTTTATTCTTAACTGAGCAAGTGGAATGAGGAATGGACTGGGGGAGGTGATGACCTGCATCTGAATCTTCAATGGGCCATGTCAAACAAGTCACTTGGTTTTCTTCTCTACAAAATGCTGTCTACACTGTGTACCTCATAGAGTTGTTCCCAGCATCAAATGAAATAATGAATAAAAACAACTCAATTAACTCTTAAGATTTCAAAAGTGTTAGGTAATGCTCTTCCTGGAAAAAGTATATTTTGAGAAAGTGAAGGAATAAGAGTAATAAAATTAACATTTATTGCATTCTTACTGTGTGCCTGACAATATTCTAAGTACCTTACATGGCTTAATTCATATAATCCTCACATTTCTATAAAATGGTTATTATTATTCTCATTTTGCAGATAAAACTAAAGTACTAAAATGTTAAATAGCTTATTAAATATCAAAAGCCACTCAGTAACTGATATTGGGATTCGAACCCAGGTAATCCCCCATCCCACTCCTCAAGAAAAAAAAAGCCATTTTGTTAGATGAGGGGAAAAAAAGCTTATTTTACCTTACTATGTGTGTATACAGAAATGGTAGAAGGAGAAAGATTTTTTCCAGTTTTATTGAGATATAATTGACATAAAATATTGTATTAGTTAAAGGTTTATAACATAATTACTTGATATATCTATGATTTGCAGAATGATTGTCACATTGAGTTTAGTTAGTATCCATCACACCTCACACAGTGAAATTTCTTTCTTGTGATAACTTTTAGGATCTACTCTCTCAGCAACTTTCAGATACACACTCGGACACTACTTAGTCAGACGATGACTAACTACAGTCATCGTGCTATACATCACATCTCTAGAACTTGTTTAACTGGAAATTTGCGTGTTTTCACACTACCCCTTCCTCCACAGCGATAGTGGTTTCTGGCAACCACAGGCTGTTTCATTTGAGTTTGGTTCTTTTTAGATTGCACATAAATGTGAGATGGTACAGGATTTAGTATTTGCCTTCTTTGTCTGACTTATTTCACTTACCATAAATCCCTTAAGGTGCACCCATGTTGTCACAGAATGTAGGATTTCCTTCTCTTAGAGCTGAATATTAATCCATATAGCACATCAAACTGATTTTATTCATTCATCTTTTGATGGACACTTAGGTTGTTTCCATGCCTTGGCTATGGTAAATAATGCAGATAATATGTAGGTGCAGATACCTCTTAGAGATAGTGTTTTAATTTCTTTCAGACATATACCCAAAAGTGGAATTGCTAGATTATTGGTAGTTCTAGTTGTAATTTTTTGAGGAATCTGCTTAGTGGCTCCCTCAATTTTCCATGATGGCTTCATTAATTTACATTCCTATCAACCGTGCCTGGGTTTTCCTGAATTCTCTTTTCTCCATATTCTAGCCAACAGTTGTTATCGCTTGTCTTTAATGATAGCCATTCTAACAGGCAGCAGGTAATAAATCATGCAGTTTTGATTTGCATTTCCCTGATGATTAGTGATGTTGAGCATCTTTTCTTGTACCTGTTGGCCATTTCTGAGTCTTTGGAAAAATGTATATTAAGATCCTCTGCCCATTTTTTAATTGAACATTTTTTGGTTGTTTTTTTTCCTATTGATTTGTATGAAGTCTTTATATTTTTTGGATATTAACCCCTTATTCAATAGATGGCTTGAAAATGTGTTTTCCAGTCCATGGGTTGCCTTTTCATTTTATTGATCGTTTCCTTTGCTGAGCAGAAGCCATTTAGTTTGATGTAGTCTCACTTGTTTATTTCTGCTTTTCTTGCCTTTGCTTTTGCTCAAATCCAAAAACTTATTGTCAAGGTCAATGTCAAGAACCTTACCTGCTATGTTTTCTTGTAGAAGTTTCATGATTTCAGGTTTTATGTCCGTGTGTTCAACCTATTTTGAGTTAATTTTGTGTATGGTGTAAGACAGGGGTTTAGTTTCCCCAACACCAGTTACTGAAGAAACTATTCTTTCCCCATTGTATATTATTGACTCTGTTGTCATAAATTAATTTACCATATATTCATGGGTTTATTTCTGGGCTATCTATTCTGTTTTATTGATCTATGTGTCTGTTTTATGACAGTATCATATTGTTTTGATGATTATACCTTTGTAAGACAGTTTGAAGTCAAGAGGTGTGGTGCCTCCAACTTTGTTCTTCTTTCTCAAGACTGCTGTGGCTCTTCAAAGTCTTATATGGTTGCATACAAATTTCATTCAATTTCTGTGAAAAATGCCATTGGAATTTTGATAGGTATTGCATTGAATCTGTAGATTGCTTTGACTAGTTATGGCAATTATAGCAATATTAATTCTTTCAATCCATGAGCACACATTATCTTTCCAATTAGTTGTGTCATCTTCAGTTTTTTTCATCAATATATTATAGTTTTTTAAAAGATTTTATTATTTATTTTTAGGGGGGAAGGGAGAAAGAGGAGAGTGACTTCGATGTGTGGAGAGATACTGCATCAATCAGTTGCCTCTCACATGCCCCTGAGTACCTGGCCCACAACCCCGGCATGTACAATGACCAGAAATCAAACTGGCAACCTTTTGGTTCACAGGCTGGCACTCAGTCCACTGAACCACACTAGCCAGGACATAGTTTTTAGTGTATATATTTTTCACCTTCTTGATTAAATTTGTTCCTAGACATTTTATTCTTTTTGATGCAATTATAAATGGGATTGTTTTCTTAATTTCTCTTTCTGATAATTGATTGATTTGTGGATATTGAACCATCTTTGCATTCCTGGATTAAATCCCAGTTGTTTATGGTATATGATCCTTTTAATGTATTGTTGAATTTGGTTTGCTAATATTTTTTTGAGAATTTTTGCATCTGTGTTCATCAGGCATATTGGCCTATAATTTGCTTTTCTTTCTTTTTTTTTTTGTGTGTGGGGGGGTAGTTTCTTTTTTATGATTTTAGTACCAGAGTAATGTTGGCTTCGTAAAATGAATTTGGAAATGTTCCCTCCTCTTCTATTTTTTGGAAGAGTTTGAGACTGATTGGTATTCATTCCTTTCAGTGTTTGATAGAATTCACCAGTGAAGCCAACTGATCCTGGACTTTTCTTTGCTGTGAAGCTTTTTGTTTTATTTTGTTTTATTTTGCTTTGTGTTGTGTTGTCTTTATTGCATTTTTTCCATTAGCATTTAGTACTCTTATACCCTCCTCCTCCCCTGTAATCACCACACTGTTGACCATGTCCATGAGTTCTTTTTCCTTTTTGCTAAATCACTACACCTGCTCCCACCAACCCCCATAGCTGTCATCCTGTTCTTTATGAGTCTGTCTCTATTTTGCTTGTTAGTTCAGTTCCTTAGATTCCACATATGAGTGAAATCATATGGTACTTTTCTTTGTCTGACTGGCTTATTTCACTTAGCATTATGTCCTCCAGGTTGATCCACAGTGTTGCAAAGGGTAAAATTTTCTTCTTTTTAAAGTGGGAATAGAGGGGACATACCTAAACATAAAAAAGGCCACATAAGACAAACCCACTGCCAGCATCATACTCAATGGACAAAAACTACAACTATTTCCCTTAAGATTGGGAATGAGACAGGAATATCTGCTTTCACTTCTATTATTCAACATAGCACTGGAAGTCCTAGCCACAGCAGTCAGACAAGAAGAAGAAAGAAAAGGCATCCAAATTGGAAAGGAAAAAGTAAAACTATCTTAATTTGTAGATGACATGATATCATATGTAGAGAATCCTAAAGATTCAACCAAGAAACTACTAGGACTGATAAATGAATTCAGCAAAGTAGCAGGATGTAAAATTAATATTCAGAAATCAGTTGCATTTTTATATGCCAATAATGAACTAACAGAAAGGGAAATTAAGAAAACAGTCCTATTTATAATTGTTTCAAAAAGAATAAAATACCTAGCAATAAACCTAACCAAGGATGTAAAAGACCTGTACTTGGAAAATTATAAGACACTGAAGAAAGAAATTGAAGAGGACACAAATAAGTGGAAGCATATACTGTGTTCATGGATAGGAAGAATTAACATCATTAAAATGTCCATACTACCCAGAGCAATCTATAGATTCAACACAATTCCTATCAACTTTCCAAAGGTGTATTTCACAGAACTAGAACAAATATTTCAAAAATTTATGTGGAATCACATAAGACCCCAAATAGCAACAGCAGTCCTGAAAAAGAAAAGCAATGTTGGAGGAATCATGCTACCTAATATCAGGCTGCAAAGTTTTTAATTAATGATTCGATCTCCTTACTTGTAATTGGTCTGTTCAGATTTTCTGTTTCTTCATGATCCAGTCTTGTTTGACTGTATGTTTCTAGGAATTTATCCATTTCTATGGTATCAAATTTGTTGGCATATAATTATTCATTGTAGTCTCTATTGATCTTTTGCATTTCTGTGGCATCAGTTGTAACATCTCCTCATTCATTTCTAATTTTATTTATTTGAGTCCTTTCTATTTCTTTTAATCTAGCTAAAGGTTTATCTTTTTTAAAAGCAGCTCTTAGTTTTATCAGTTTTTCCAATTGTCTTTTCAGTCTCTGTTTCATTTATTTCAACTCTGATCTTTGTTACTTCCTTTTTCTTATTAACTTTGGGGATAGTTCTTCTTTTTCAAGTTCCATGAGATGTACAATTAGATTGTTTATTTGAGCTCTTTTTTTTTCCTTAATGTAGGCGTTCATTGCTCTGGACATCCTTCTTAGAACTGCTTTTTCTGCATGTCATTCATTTTGGAATGTTGAATTTCCATTTTCAATTGTCTCAAGATCTAGTTTGACTTTTCTTGACTTCTTTGACCCACTGATTGTTCAATAGTATGTTGCTTAATTTCCACATATTTGTGAATTTTCCAGTTTTCGTCATTGTAGTCAGAAAATTGCTTCAGTCTTTTTAAATTTACTAAGACTTGTTCTGTAGCCTAACATATGGTCTGTCCTGAAATATATCCCATGTGTGCTTGAAAAGAATATATATTCTGTTGCTTTTGGATGCAGTGTTCTTTAAATGTCTGTGAAGTCTACCTGGTATAACAAGTAGCTTAAGTCCAGTATTTTCTTACTGATTTTCTACAATATCTGTTGTTAAACGTGGGGTATTAAAGTCCCCTAGTATTATTGTATTGCTGTCATTTCTCCCTTTAGACCTGTTAATATTTGAAGGATTTATTAAGTAGTTGTATAAAATGAGAAAATTAACCAATATGTACTTAGTGATCATTTTTATGATTGAAAGAAGACTCTAAAATCTGACAGACTTTATATTTAATTCCAGCTCTATTTACCTTAAAAAACTTAACTATCAGAGGTGTCTAACCTTTTGGTATCTCTGAGCCACACTGGAGGAAGAAGAGTTGTCTTGGGCCACACATTAGATATACTGTGATATGCAATCACAAAAGGATCTCATAATGTTTTAAGTAAATTTACAATTTTGTGTTGGGCCACATTCACAGCCATTCTGGGCTGCAGGTGCCCCATGGGCCATGGGTTGGACACCTCTGCAAACCTTAGAGACTCACCTGTAAAATGGAAATGGTAACTCCTAGCAGAGTTTTCCCCTGATAAATGAGGTAATTAGAAATGTTAGGATAAAGCACCTAATGCAGCTATGTTTTATTCCAGAGCATGAGCTCTAAACTAGTAGACTCCAGTTCTACTGGAATAATTGTCTCAATAGTTAACAGAAACTTTTATGCTTTACACTAATCCCAATTTCTTTTTTCCCAGCAATGTGGAGTGGCCTCTTCACCCACTTAACAGAATCTTGGAACAACTTTAAGGGCCTAGATCCAAATTATACAACATGGATGGATATCATGGAGAAGCATGGCTACCGAACACAAAAATTTGGAAAACTGGACTATACTTCAGGACATCATTCCATTAGGTAAAAAAAAATAAAACAAAAAAACAGTCCTAATAGGTTTCCCTCTGCTATATCACATAAGTATATATGTCACAAAAGTCTTTTTGACTTTTTAAAAATTTCTCTTCAAAGGTAAAATTAAATTTCTTAATGCCTCAATTGTATTAATTTGTCTAAAACTTTAGCTTTCTTTAATCTTCTTAAAATATTACATTTGCTAATATGCTGATAATTTTGTTTTTCTTAAATATTAAAGGTCTATAAAAGTATTTATAAAATTATGTAGGCTGTGATTTATTTTTGACTTTTTATTATATAATGGCTGCTTCATTATTTATTTCACCTGTTTTAAGACTGTTGTCTTCTTGCTACTTGTTTTTGTCAGTTCATTCTGTTATGAGTCTATTGTAACTTTTTTTTTTTCATTTTACTAAGCCCTCAAAAATCAGACAGCCAAGCATGGTGGATAATAGTAGAGATCTAGAATCAGATTACCTGCTTTTGAATCCCAGTTTCTTTATTTACTACTAACCTATAATGGTATAATCTTGGAAACATTATCTAAGTTAAGGAAGTTTAATTTCTTTTTTGTCAAGATAAAATGAAATAATATGTGCAGAAAAGAGCTAACACAGTAAGTCTCAGGTTTCTATCTTTAGAAAGACTTGCTTTCAAAGTTGGCCCTTGGCTGACAACTGGGAACTTGGATTTCAGGAGTGTTCCCTATATTCCCTAGCTGATAAAATAACTTACTATGTACCTTGAGTTTTTGTACCATGTGGTTTATGCTGAACCTGCTTTCACTCTGGGAGTCTGGGGTTTTGGTATGTTCTAGGCAGAGGGTGTCTACATAATCAACCCCAATAACAACCTAGGTAGTGAGTCTCTAATAGCTTTCTGATAGACAACACTTCACATATATTGCCACAGTTAGATGCCGGATGAACTCAGTGTGCCCTTTGTGACTCCACTTGGCTACTGATACCTGGTTTCCTATGGAATTACCCTAAGCATATTTTCCCTTTTCTGATTCTGCTTTGTGTCCTTTCACTGTCGTAAATCCTCACCATGAGTAACACTATTTGCTGAGTCCCATGAGTCTTCCTGGAGAACTCAGGTGTGATCCCAACACTTGTGACTTCCTGGAGAACTCAGGTGTGAGGTCTATATTAAGACCTCAGAGCAGTGCCTCTTGCTTAACAGGTGCTAATTGAGGACTATGGTAATGATATTAGTGATGAGGATCATGCTAATGATAAGAATGAACCAGAGAAATAAGTCAGTATACATAATGGTGAGTGTAGTGAGATAAATATTGTTTCCCAAAAGTTCATGTCCACCTGGAACTACAGAATGTGACCTTAGTCAAAAAAAAAAAGATCTTATCTGAAGATTTAATTGGAGGTGAATTCATCCTGGATTTAGAATAAATCCTAATCCAACCACCAGTCCTTACTAGAAGAAAGGACACACAGAGAAAATAGTGTGAAGATGGAGACACAGATGGAAGTGATCACAGCTACAACCTAAAGGATGCTAAAGATTGCCAGGAGTTACCAGAGGCTAGGAAGAAGCAAGGAAAAATTCTTCCCTAGATCCTGTAGATGAGTGATTTTCAACCATTGTGCCACAGGAGTCACATTGGCGTGCCAAGAGTTTTTAAAACTTGCAACACCTGACTATTTAGTCAGGGGCACTGACCTCTTTTCCCTTACATTGTCAAATAAAAAAAAGACAACAGCCAATACACAAAAGCTGTCTAGTGTGAATGAATCAAAATAATTACCTATTTTTTTCAGATTAAAAAAAATACATTTTTGGTGTCCTGCAGAATTTTAGCCATTAGTTTACGTGTGCCACGATATGAACAGGGTTGCAGATTGCTGCGTTAGAGGGAGCATGGCCCTGCCAGCACCTTGATTTCAGATGTACAGCCTCCAGAACTGTAAGAGAATAAATTTCTGTTGTTCTAATCCACCCAGTTTGGGTTAGAACAACACCCAGTTTGTAGTAATTTGTTATAGCAGCCCAATGAAACTAATACAGTGAGTTTTAGGTAAACAGATACTGAAATAATCTAGAAGAATCTGAGTAGAACAGGTCTTCTAATAATGTCCTTTTGTTCAACCCCTCATTTCATTGTAATGTTGATGAGATGCCCTAGGAACATAACACATTTTTGTATCAATTAGCCATTGGTAAAATTGGTTTTGTTATAGGTCATTTCACTAAAATCACAGAAATGAACAATGATGTTAAGTGAAGACTTAATGTATTAATCTTGCTCTTCTGGTTAATGTTAATTTTTTTCCCTTTCTGTCATCCAAAATCTAAAAGATATCAAGACTGGAAACCCAGAAGAAATCCTTATTTCTCTTCCCCACCCCTGCCTTCTAATCCATCACCAAATATTATCAACTCCACTTCTAAAATATTTCCCCAGTTTATTCACCTCTCATCCTCTCCAGCAAGTACTGTCAGCTCTTGCCTAAACTATTGAAATGGCCTCCTAACTTCTTTTCTTCTTATTTTCTGTAGGCAGCCAGAGTGATATTTTTTAAATATGCATCTAATCGAGTGACTTACGTACTTAAAATCAGTGATTTTTATCTTGGCACATAGGCCAAAATCCCAGATCCACAACACTGTTAATAAGACCCTACCTCCAGTCTCACTTAGTACCACTCTCTTTCTCCCTCAGTATGCACTTGGTCTTTCTTTAATCCTTTAACATGCTTTTGACTCCCTGTGGACCATGGGCTAGCCAGTCCTCCTGTGCAAAATACTCTCCCCCTATTCTGCCCAGCTATCACAGCAGAAAGAAAGGCAGCAGGGAGTGTGGTGGGAGGAGCATAGGCTTTGAATCCATCAGAATAGTTAAATGCCCAGAGGTGCCTTGTCTACCATACTTGTGACCTTGGACAAGTTACTTCTATAAGTGTCAGTGTTCTTATCTGTCACTAAAATTAATAATACCCACCTCACTGGATAACTGTCATTTTTAAATGAGTTAATAAGATTATATAAAAGAATTAAATGAAATGATAAAGTATTAATAGTTCCTGGCAAAAGGTAAGCATTTAATCAAGGTAAAATATTATTGTTATAAAAATGGCTTAACCAGAATTGTAGTTTAATACTTACATAACTTTGCCTTCTTCTAAAGTTCCTTGCATTGCTGTTATTTCACAGAGTTTCACAAATTCTCCTCAAAATCCTTCTCCTCTTTATAAAATAAAGCCAATCCAAAGTAACATACAACTGTTCATATTATCCTATTTGAAATTCTTCCTCTTTGTTTCCTCAATCAATCTAATAATACAAAGAAATTGGTCCTGGCTGGTGTAGCTCAGTGGATAGAACTGCAGCCTGCAAACCAAAGGGTCGCCAGTTTGATTCTCAGTCAGGACACATGCCTGGGTTGCAGGCCAGATCCCCAGTAGTGGACACATGAGAGGCAACCACACATTGATGTTTCTCTCCTTTTTCTCCTTCTCTTCCCCTCTCTCTAAAAATAAATAAGTAAAATCCTTTAAAAATAAAATAATAAGAAACTGAAGTTGAACCCCTTTTGCTCCCTGTTATCATTATTCTAGGTATGAAATGGTTAAAATATGGCCTGAATTTTATTCTTCAGTGTGATAAGAATTCTTGGAGGGAAGGACCCTGTCTTTTTCATTGTTTTGTCCCATTGCCAGTAGTGCCAGTGCATTTTAGGCACACAATTAAATGTTTGTTGAACTAGTGAATGGAATGTAAAATTATATTGCTCTGTCGATAGCTTATTATTTGATAAACATTGATGTGCTGTTTAATCCAGGGTCATGTCATCTTTTCATTATTAGTATTTTATATATATCCTCAACTAATACAGTATATCCTGGTTTTGAGTTTTCAATATTTAAATATCCTTATTTTTCCTAAGTTCTTTCTCATGCAGAATGCTATAATTAGCAAAAGGAGAAAGGCACATAAATGTTCACATTTCAGAAGTCAGAGATGGTTTTCAGAATAATAATTGCTTGCAGTGTATTTTCATTTACTCACCCTCCCACCAGAGCTTAGGAAATTGAAATAAACTGTCAGGACTATTTGTATGGGTACTGTATCTTCCTACACAGTCATCTGGCTGACAAATAGGTCAGGGTTTCTGTTGACAGCATGTCCACAAAGGTTATATGAGTTATGGCACATTATCTTTCAGATATTTCTGTGTAAGTTTAAAAGTGGATCTTGGGGAGAAAAGGTCTCTTAATATCAAACTTCATAAATAGAGGCATTCAGTGTTTTAGATAGACTGACTCTTAAAGTCAATACTCAAGTTTCTATAACTCTTTGTGCTACATTTACCACTGAAATTGGCTATTTTTGATCCTGCTTATGTTTTCAACCAGAAATACAAGTTTTTCAGTTTATTACTACAGTGCCCCACCTGTCTTTCTTAGGCATCTAGTGATGCTTCCTTCGTGTACCCATTTAGGAACACTGGTCCCGCTGTGTGCTCCTCACTCTGTGTGATAAACTGCCCTGCACTGGAGCTGTACGGGCCCCACTCTCGTTTCTTCCAGACAGTCGTGAATAAAGCAGTGGTGGTACCACTCAGCAAGATCCCACTTACTTAACAGAAGACCTTGAGCAAGTTGTTTGTCTACTTAGGATACCAGTTTAATCCAATGAGCTTACATTACCTGACTTCAAAGGATTTTCCTTTCTGAAATTATGCAACTTCAATGGAGTACAGTGAAGTGGTTAATAAAGTCCTGATATTCATTTGCCCCCCTCATATTATATGTATTGTGCTTATAGTAGTTTTGATTAGGTTCCTATTTGCTATATCTTCTTAGCAATTGAAAAGAGACATTTGTATTTAATTCATTAGGTTTTTTAAATCTCCTCTACTATCAGATAAAACTGCTTTGCCAATATATTCCCAGTACTTAAAACAGTGGTTCCCAGCCAAGGGCAGTTTTCCCCCCAGAACATGTTTGATAATGTCTGGAGAGGTTTTGGCTGACACCACT